CAATTCCAATGTTTGTTTTACGGAGATAACACACCAGGCGAGCCGTGACCGTCATTTCTATTTCATAAGTGGGTATGTGAGCCAGTTTATGGGGGTGATTGAGACAGTGCTGTACTGTCCAACGTGTCTCACGCCCAAAACCACATTTAAGCCAGTAGGGCCTAGACCATGTACAAGTTAAGACGTCCTCATCCTCCCTTCCTGAAGGAAGGGACGCAACACAGAGTCCTTTACCGCGACACCGTCCTGTGGACTGTCAGTAAAAAGGACTGTGTGGGTGTCAACCCAAGTCACCTCACTAGTTCTCTTGTGTGACACCGTCTACAGTGACTGTCAGCGACACGAGACTATGCTTGCTAACTCAAGGTTTTGTTATTCCCCGTGGAAAGATCACGTGTGAAAGCCTGGTTGCAACACGAGCGACCCAGGCTGGCAGCGAATGTATCACTTGAGGAATTAAAGCTCTGTTAAGTCATACCCATAGTAGAGTAGTCAATTGTGCGGCCTCAGGTTAGAAATTCCTTCTTTACAAGATTAATTTTATTATGGCGTGAATGTGAGTGACTCATATATCCATGCAAATTGTAAATCATTGTATGGAAGCTTGACAAATAAATGTAAGTGCAATTGTTTGCCCGTATTTGTGATCCTATCTCATTATTACTAAAGGTAATGACTGATTGGATGACAACGTATAACCAATAACTTAGATGGATGTTGGAAATTAATGGAATTCATAAAATCATTATTTATCAAGTATAAATCACAAGGAATGTCGGGTGGTGGAGTGAATTTCTACGTCGATACGCCATAATCTCCTGTAAGTAACCAGTGTGAAGGTACAGTATCTAACTCTACGGTAAGAAATTAAAAACACATTGTATTAAATCCATCCCATATATTTTGAGACATTTTATTTATTTTTGTTATATTGATTCAGGTACAGTACGGCGGCGGAATGCTTACCGTACTGATCTTAGCGCTCTAATTATCCCGGATTTAAATAAGTGTTGAGGATTACGTAAAAGGCGTCCATTCTGCGTTGATGGTGACACATCCGGTGATCCTTACTGTACGTTGTGTGAGGAGCTTGTGCTATCCGTACACTCATGATCCGCCACACTGACTAAAATATTTTTACTTGTTGAATTTATTATTGAGCCGCCCGTCCCTGCAGCTCCGCCCGTCCCGTCAGCTTTGGTAATGTAAGTTTATGATTTCTTTGTTGATTTTATCAGACAGAAAACCGGCTTTATAACCAGAGGATGATGTAGTGAGTACCCAGTGGTGTGCTCGCGTTCAGACCGAGGTGACATGTTACGCTTCTATTTCTTTCTTTTTTAATTAATACTCGATAACGTTTACTGTGATCCAGACACAGGGAAGAAAAGCTAACTTAGGTCGCTGTGTGGAGGTAAGTGTTGTTATGGTACTGTGTGGTGAGGTGTAGTGTGTGTGGTGAGGTGTAGTGTGGTGTGGTGAGGTGTAGAATGGTGGTGTAGTGTAGTGGTGTGGTGTGGTGCTGTGTAGCGAGGTGTAGTATGGTGTGGTGAGATGTAGTATGGTGTGATGTAGTGTAGTGGTGTGGTGCTGTGTGGTGAGGTGTAGTATGGTGTGTGGGTGTGGTGAGGTGAGGTGTAGTATGGTGTGGTGTGGGTGAAGTGTAGTATGGTGTGGTGTGGTGAGGTGAGGTGTATTATGGTGTGGTGTGGTGAGGTGTAGTATGGTGTGGTGTAGTGTGGTGTAGTATAGTGTTGAGGTGTAGTGTGATGTAGTGTGGCATTTGGACAAGCGGCAGAGCTGAAAATGTTGTCGCTGCTGCCCAGCGCTAGATGTATATAAGATAACTTATAGAAAACGTACAAATTAAAGCCCTCATAATTATCTTAGGCTGACCTATGAACTGAAGTACTTAATATGAGGAAACTACGTATACCCAGTGTCAAAGATAGAATAATTGAAGTCAACCTCATGATAGCCCTGAGGCTTTTGTGTGGTGATCCTGATAACATTGTGCCGTGAAACTGCTAGAATATTCGAGTCATGAAATTGGTGAATCTAAATGGATCCAAACTACAGATACACATTTGAGGATGTTTGAACGAGACCATCAGTCTGTACAAAGCTGAGACACAGCAGCGCTTCCTGCCACCCTGGCGGACAGTTCCTTCGACATCACAACACCTCGTACCCGCCTCAAGCGACTGACTACACATAATTCCTAATTTCATCGTGGTGATAGTTTACAACAATACTATTACTACTCGAGCACAATAACTACCTCATATTGTTAATGGCTGTTAGCGACATCTCATTTGACGACGATACTGTTATTGATGGTGGTGGAGCCTGTATCACGCTGGACAGCTTGGAGGAAGAAGGACCGCTTCTGGTGGAGGAGGGAGAGGAAGAGACACGTTACTGACGGGTAAACTAGTTTACACCCGATGCACACACACACACACACACACACACACACACACACACACACACACATTATATATTTTTTTATTTTAGCGTAAGTAAAGGCGGGTCACTAGCACTTTTCCGTTAGCTTTTACTTTCGTCGTATTTTCCACAAATTATCAAATTAGCCCGTCTCATTCAAATGAAACGTATTATTTCCGCATAACTGGTTTGTGCCAATTCTGTGGTCAAGATAATGAGGACAGGATATTTTATAAAATATCGAACCACATTAAGTAACTAAATTTAATCTTAAAAGTATTCAATATCATATTTTTAATAAATTGCTTATGTAAGTTTTTTATTGGTGTTGATATTCGTAAATATATCTTACATGTTCTTTACATTGAATCATGAGTTCAACTTCACGGCTCTCTATCAGTTCTGTGTGGACTCGCCTGTCTGAAGACTTCATGATAACCAATATTAGATCTCATTGTTTCCTGTGAGACCCAAGGGACGATAGATAAGTAAAAAAAGAAAATATGAAAAGGAAGGCAAGCAACGCCATTTCTTTTGTTTGGAATGACGAACGTGAAAGATTGTGTGAGTTTATCTACTGTATGCGCATGTGACAGGACGTTCTTAGAGCCAGTTACGTATGTTCTATGAACCAGTTACGTACGTTCTAAGGAACCAGTTACGTATGTTCTATGAACCAGTTACGTACGTTCTTAGCGATCCAATTACATACGTTCTTCAGTGAGCCAGTTATAAACGTTCATAATCTTGATATAGAAGCGAACTATAGTTACGTACGTTGTGAGACTTGAAGGTGCTTCCGGAAACAACCACGCCTGGGCGATGTTACGAACGTGGATTTCCACTATGAAATATTTTAACTATAGTAAATTTTCTTGATCGTGTTGAAATGGTATGAGCGATCAAGACGATTTTGATGTTTTGATGTCTTGGTCTAGACTGACACAGAACATCTACACACCAAAGACTCAACAACTTTGGTGATTTTCAGTTGGAGAAAAGAAAGCTTATTGGTGTTGTGTGAGACAATCTAAAACTGAAAGACCGGAAATGAGACTTGCGGTTATCAGTCCACACACACGTAAACACACATACACACGCGTACACGTCATGCATACATACATACATTCACACGAAGACGACAGGTGGATTGATCCGAGGTCGTGGGATTACAGAACTCCAGCGAACAGAAGGCTGCTTGCTTCCCATGCTGTTGTCGTCTGGCTCTGCAGATACTCACAGGTAGATATGGACCCAGTGAGCAGCACAAAAATGTCACACGGGCCAGACAGACAGTGTATGATAAGGATATGAGGAGCTTATTAGCTTATCTTCAAAATAAAATCCCTTCACTTAGATTCATCTCAACGAAACATTGTCATTGAATGTGAAGGCTGACAAAGGGAAATAAGATGCCAGACTTAGATCAATGGTGGTAACAAATGTTTTGCACATACTGTACATTCAAGAAAAAATGGATACTCACAATGGACAGCAAATTATTTGCGAAGGTTGATGAGCAATCCATCCAAGTGGACCCACAGCTGCTCTTTCAGCGTCTACTAACAACTGCAGGCGAAATCGATTAATCTACTGCAGATATCTTCAGGTTTGAGCCACCAACAACTCATCTGCCTTGTTTGGAGCCACTAGTCAGCAGTGGATAGGCGAGGAAAACACTGAACCCGGAAGAATGGGTTGATGAAAGTTCATGATCGCCTTCAACTGCAAACAAATGATTTATCTGAGCTTCAGAAGCTCTACTGAGAGTGGTTAATTGGAACTGTAAGATGACTGTAACACGGAGAGGTGTGTGCAAGAAACTGGTATTCATGTGTACAGTTGTGGAAATGTATTCCTTACACTCCTTTGGTAACCCGTGTCACCAAACGGCCAACTTATTTGACCTATAGCAAACCTATCCACCAATCACGTCCGTCGTTACAAGAGCAATACCCATTCATTCCTAAAAAGGACACTACTACTGCAGCGACGGTGCTGTTTGGAGACATGGGTTACCACAGGGGAGAGGAACACATTTCCACAACTGTACCAGAGCATGTGGCGAGTGAAGAGGCTGTAAAATAAATTCACCTTTGCTTTCCATGGACAACATTGCTGATGACCTGCTCAGTGCATATATCCCTCCTCCTAGTCACAGGCCTGGCATTGACATTATTAGGAACCTGCCACACTTTGCCATAAACAGATAAAATGTACCGAACTTTCCCCCACACACTCATCATTCTCTCTACTTATGTAACTTGACAAAACCTATGACCCTTCAGGTTTTACGCCCTTAATGTACGAGTCATAAAGGCAAGTATGAACTTTTCATACTTCCCTGTTGGGAGCTGTAAACGCTTCTGCACTTCACCTTGCACAGGATGTAAGTGCCCATTAAACTAGCCCTCAAATCTGAAATCTGCTCAGTGCAACCGGCACAAAAAAAAAAGATGATATGAATTATTTCAAGTTTTCAGTGATCATTAACATTGTGTCATGCGCCTGAATAGTTACCAAAATGTTAATTTTGTAATTTGGATTATATATTGTAGTTAAGTATATGTTTAGTTATATAGTTTTTGATTTAAACTAGCTAATGAATGTGCAAAATGTGTATTGAGAAAACTGGATCGTGGCCGTAAACAAGTAAAAATAAGATAAATAAATAAATAAATAAATGTTCCCTACCTATTGTCGATAAATTGTTCTGAAAGAACAATTGGGGTAAAGGTTACAAATGAGAATTTTGTACCGAAGCACAGATTGACCTACTAGTAATGACCAAATTCTCCTCCTCCAGCGACGACTTGATGCTTGCTCGAGCACTCACCACCCTGGGTGAGTACCTGAGTGTTGTGACTCACAACTGTCTCACTCAACATTGGAGGGTCTATATATATATATATATATATATATATATATATATATATATATATATATATATATATATATATATATATATATATATATATATATATATTTATTTATTTATTTATTTATTTATTTATTTATTTATTTTTTTTTTTGTATAAGGCCAGGCCATCCTGGCACAGGTCACTGACCAACATCAGGGCCTGGGGCTAAAAATATAAGTAATAGTAAAAATAATAACAATAACAACAACAATAATAATAATAATTATAAATAAAAATGAAAAATAAATAAGTTCAAGTAGTAATAATAATAATAATAATATAATAATAATAATAATAATAATAAATAATAATAATAATAATAATAATAATAATAATAAATAAATATATAAATGAAAAATAAGAGTGAGAAACAATATATGTTTGTTGTGTTGCCAAAGTAAGAGAAACAATTGAGACCCTGCAATTGTGTGTAAATGGGTATAAAGTCAGATCATCAACCTGAGACTTGTCACATATAGCAGCAGGGTCTACTAGACAACACATTATGCTTCCAATATCTTCCCAGGCGGTAGCACCTCCTGTTTAATAGCTGCCTACTACCTTCTAACAACCGTCTTCCTCAACAGTGGTGGTGGGTGTAGTGGTAAGACATGCCAGACCTTGGCCAGGTCAAATCATGGACACAGAATAGCAGAGAATACAGGTTAGTGTATGAAGCTGTGGTCTGTGTCTAATGGTTTCTTGCACAGTGTGAGACTTAATCTTCTCTACGTCATTTTTATCTTGCGTACGACGCCAACCCTGAGTAATAATAAAGTAATCCTGTGAGTAGAATAACCGATTGAGTACCATGACTTATTTCCTTGACCATGATGCTTAAGCCCTTTGAGGACCATGAACTGTTAACATCAATACGATGGTAATTGTACTCTGGTGGTTATCTCACATGCAGCCAAGTTTCTGTTTATTGTGTATTAGTATTTTTGGGTGAGCATTAAAGTTTTAATTGGATAATTTAATTTGTGGCGTTAATCTGAACTCTGTTAATCCCCACACACTGTGACCCGGAACATGGTGGACACTGCCTCTAACACACACTGTGACCCGGAACATGGTTGACACTGCCTCCTAACACATTGTTGACCCGAACATGGTGGACACTGCCTCCTAACACATACTGTGACCTGAACATAAACGTGTATGTTAAGATACACAAATAATACAAGGGTTTGGCTGTTAACTTGTGTCGTCATAACATTACAGGTGCAGAACTGTATGGGCCAGTAGCCTCGTGTTGTCTGGCACTGAATACTACGATCAGGTAAGACTTTTCTCTTAGTTCACTAGTACTCAACCAATCAGAGGCTGTTGAGGTTAATGGCATCATAGTTCACTAATATTCAACAAATCAGAGGTGTGAAGTAAATGACGTCATAGTCCACTGATACCCAAACCAATTAGATGTTGTTGAAGTAAATGACGTCATAGTTCACTACCATTCAACCAATCAGATGTTGTGGAAGTATATGACGTCATAGTTCGAGAGTCTTCAACCAATCAGAGGTTTTTGTCTGGAGATTGTTATCTAAATCACGACCTTATGTTTCCTAAAGGTCCCCCCATCTCCTCCTCCAGCCTTTTTATACACCCTCTTTACTCGTCTTTCAACCCCTGCTCTGTCTGGCCAATTTTTTCCTTATTTCTATGTCTTAATTTCTTCCTTGTGCTACGTCATTTCTATTGGTCTATTCTGTTCTCTCTACCTCCAGTGACGTCCCTTAAACTAAATATTTACTTCTCATTCGTCTCTCCTTCTCTGTTTATTTTCATCCTTTTACTCTCCTCCACATTCACTGTTAACCTTCTACTACACATTCTTCACATTTACTCTTAACCTTCTCCCCAACACACACACTCAATAGTTGCTGCGTCATTCTTGTTTACTTTAGTCATACGTAGTTTCCCCAATTATCCCTCCTCTGACGTCAGTGATCATTCCTCCATATTGTTTAAGTAATGTAGTAAAGTTATATTTTAATTATATGGATAATCAGAGAGTAAAACAAATGCAACCAATTAGCTCATTACCTAACTACTGTAATGATTGTTATGGACCTTTGTCTACCACCAGGGCTCGCCAGTGTGTGTGGCAGCACTTCACTCCGGTGCCATTAACACCAACGGAGGAGTATTCACTATCACAAGATCGTACAGTAGCGCCACTCCACGCCTTTATGGCTCCGCTAGGAACAGAATTCTCTCAAACAGCATGTGAGTGGTCAGGGACAATCAGGGGAGAGTCATTGATCAGGGGGAGACAGTCAGGGTACAGTCATTGGTCAGGGGGACACAATCAGGGGAGAGTCATTGGTCAGGGGGTGACAATCAGGGTAGAGTCATTGGTCAGGGGGAGCCAATCAGGGGAGAGTCATTGGTCAGGGGGTGACAATCAGGGTAGAGTCATTGGTCAGGGGGTGACAATCAGGGTAGAGTCATTGGTCAGGGGGAGCCAATCAGGGAAAGTCATTGGTCAGGTGGAGACAATCAGGGAGAGCTGCTGGGTCAGGGAGACAATCAGGAGAGCTGGTCAGGGGTGACAATCAGGGAGAGTCATTGGTCAGGGGTGACAATCAGGGTGAGTCATTGGTCAGGGAGACAATCAGGGAGAGCTGGCTGGTCAGGAGACAATCAGGGAGAGCTCATTGGTCAGGGGAGCCAATCAGGGTCAGGGGAGCCAATCAGGGTGCCGCTGGTCAGGGGAGCCAATCAGGGAAAGTCATTGGTCAGGTGGAGCCAATCAGGGAGAGCTGGCTGGTCAGGGGTGACAATCAGGTGAGAGTCATTGGTCAGGGGGTGACAACTGGTAGAGTCATTGGTCAGGGGAGACAATCAGGGAAAGCTGGTCAGATATAATCAGGGGAGAGCTATTGGTCAGGAGCCAATCAGGGGAGAGTCGCATTAGGGGTGACAATCAGGAGAGTCATTGGTCAGGGGTGACAATCAGGGAGAGCTGGTCAGGGGGTGACAATCAGGGAGAGTCATTGGTCAGGGGTGACAATCAGGGATGGCTGGTCAGGGGGAATATAATCAGGAGAGTCATTGGGTCAGGTGAGCCAATCAGGGTAGAGTCACTGGCCAGGGGAGACAATCAGGAAGTCATTGGTCAGGGGTGACAATCAGGAGAGTCATTGGTCAGGGGTGACAATCAGGGGAGAGCCATTGGTCAGGGGTGACAATCAGGGAGACAGTTGGTCAGGGGATATAATCAGAGAGCTGGCTGGTCAGGTGGAGCCAATCAGGGAGAGTCATTGGTCAGGGGGAGACAATCAGGGAGAGAGCTGCTGGTCAGGGTGACAATCAGGGAGAGTCATTGGTCAGGGGTGACAATCAGGGAGAGTCATTGGTCAGGGGCACAATCAGAGAGCTGACAGGGGTGACACCAGGAGAGTCAGCTGGTCAGGACAACAGGAGCCTGGTCAGGAGCCAATCAGGGAGAGCCGCTCAGTGACAATCAGGGTAGAGTCATTGGTCAGGGGAGCCAATCAGGAGAGCGTCATTGGTCAGGGGGTGACAATGAGTGGAGAGTCATTGGTCAGGGGAGACAATCAGGGAGAGTCATTGGGTCAGGGGTGACAATCAGGTAGAGCTGCTGGTCAGGGGAGCCAATCAGGGAGAGCTATTGGTCAGGTGACAATGAGTGGAGAGTCATTGGTCAGGGGGTGACAATCAGGGAGAGCTGACTGGTCAGGGGTGACAATCAGGGAGAGTCATTGGGTCAGGGGGTGACACCGGGGAGAGCTGGCTGGTCAGGGGACACAATCAGGGAGAGTCATTGGTCAGGGGTGACAATCAGGGAGAGCTGGTCAGGGGTGACAATCAGGGGAGAGTCATTGGTCAGGGGTGACAATCAGGGAGAGCTGGCTGGGGGGGGTGACAATCAGGGAGAGCTGGCTGGTCAGGGGGAGACAATCAGAGAGCCGCTGGTCAGGTGGAGACAATCAGGGAGAGCTGGTGGTCAGGGGTGACAATCAGGGAGAGCTGGTCAGGGTGGAGACAATCAGGGGAGAGTCATTGGTCAGTGACACCAGGGAGAGTCATTGGTCAGGGGGAGACAATCAGGGAGAGCTGGCTGGTCAGGGGGTGACAATCAGGGAGAGTCATTGGGTCAGGGGTGACAACTGGGGAGAGCCATTTGTCAGGGGTGACAATCAGGGAGAGTCATTGGTCAGGGGTGACAATCAGGGGGAGAGCCATTGTCGTGGAGACAATGAGTGAGAGTCATTGGTCAGGGGTGACAATCAGGGGAGAGCTGCTGGTCAGGGGTGACAATCAGGAGAGCTGCTGGTCAGGGGGGTGACAATCAGGAGAGCTGTGCTGGGTCAGGGGTGACAATCAGGGTAGAGCTGCTGGTCAGGGGTGACAATCAGGGAGAGCTGGCTGGTCAGGGGGGGCACCAGGAGAGTCAGCTGGGTCAGGGGCAATCGGGGAGAGTCACAGACAGGACAATCAGGGGAGTCATTGGTCAGGTGACAAATCAGAGAGCTGGGTCAGGTGACAATCAGGAGAGTCATTGGTCAGGGGTGATAATCAGGGAGAGTCATTGTCAGGGTGACATGAGTGGAGAGCTGCTGGTCAGGGGAGACAATCAGGGAGAGCTTGGTCAGGGGTGACAATCAGGGAGAGCTGCTGGTCAGGGGTGACAATCAGGTAGAGTCATTGGTCAGGGGGGACAATCAGGGAGAGTCATGGTCAGGGAGACACACACTATGGTCAGGGGAGACACTATGGTCAGGGGGAGAGACACTATGGTCAGGGGGGGGGAGAAACACTATGGTCAGGGGAGACACATTATGGTCAGGGGAGACACACTATGGTCAGGGGAGAGACACTATGGTCAGGGAGACACTATGGCTGGGGAGAGACACTATGGTCAGGGGAGACACGCGGTCGGGAGACACTATGGTCAGGGAGACACTATGGTCAGGGGGAGACACATTATGATCAGGGGGGACACTATGGTCAGGGGGAGAGACACTATGGTGGGGGAGACACTATGGTGGGGGAGAGACACTATGGTCAGGGGGAGACACACTATGGTCAGGGGAGACACTATGGTCAGGGAGACACTATGGTCAGGGGGAGAATAATTATGGGTCAGGGGGAGACACACTATGGTCAGGGGAGACATTATGGCCTGGGGGGGGGAGACACACACTATGGCTGGGGGGAGACACTATGGTCAGGGAGACATACTATGGTCAGGGGAGACACTATGGTCAGGGAGACACTATGGTCAGGGGAGACACTGTGAGACATACCATGGTCAGGGAGCACCTATGGTCAGGGGAGACACTATGGTCAGGGGAGAAACACTATGGTCAGGGAGAGACACTATGGCCAGGGGGAGACACTATGGTCAGAGACATACTATGGTCAGGGGGAGACATTATGGTCAGGGGGACACTATGGTCAGGGGAGACACATTATGGTCAGGGGGAGACACACTATGGTCAGGGGGAGACACACTATGGTCAGGGGGGACACTATGGTCAGGGGAGACACTATGGTCAGGGAGACACACTATGGTCAGGGGGAGACATTATGGTCAGGGGAAGAATAACTGGGGTCAGGGGGGAGACACTATGGTCAGGGAGACATACTATGGTCAGGGGGAGACACTATGGTCAGGGGAGACACACTATGGTCAGGGGGAGACACTATGGTCAGAGACACACTATGGTCAGGGGAGACACTATGGCCAGGAGAGACACTATGGTCAGGGAGACATACTATGGCCAGGGGAGAGACACTATGGTCAGGGGAGCATATACTATGGTCAGGGGAGAGACACTATGGTCAGGGGAGACACACTATGGTCAGGGGAGACACTATGGTCAGGAGACACACTATGGTCAGGGGAGACACACTCGGTCAGGGGAGACACTATGGTCAGGGGAGAGACACTATGGTCAGGGGAGAGACACTATGGTCAGGGAGACACTATGGTCAGGGGAGAGACACTATGGTCAGGGAGACACTATGGTCAGGGGAGACACTATGGTCAGGGAGAGACACTATGGTCAGGGGAGAGCACTATGGTCAGGGGACAACTATGGTCAGGGAGAGACACTATGGCTGGGGAGACACAATGGTGGGGGGGGAGACACTATGGTCAGGGGAGACACACTATGGTCAGGGGAGAGACACTATATCGTGGAGACACTATGGTGGGGGAGAGACACTATGGTCAGGGGAGACACTAGGTCAGGGGAGACACACTATGGTCAGGGGGAGACACTATGGTCAGGGGAGACACACTATGGTCAGGGGGAGACACTATGGTCAGGGAGACATACTATGGTCAGGGGAGACACTATGGTCAGGGAGACACACTATGGTCAGGGGGAGACACTATGATCAGGGAGACACACTATGGTCAGGGGAGACACTATGTCCAGGGGAGAGACACTATGGTCAGGGAGACACTATGGTCAGGGGGAGACACTATGGTCAGGGGAGACATACTATGGTCAGGGGAGACACTATGGTCAGGGAGACACTATGTCCAGGGGAGAGACACTATGGTCAGGGGACACATACTATGGTAAGGGGGAGAGACACTATGGTCAGGGGGAGACACTATGGTCAGGGGAGACAATACTATGGTCAGGGGGAGACACTATGGTCAGGGGGGAGACACACTATGGTCAGGGGAGACACTATGGCCAGGGAGAGACACTATGGTCAGGGGAGACATACTATGGTCAGGGGAGACACTATGGTCAGGGGAGACACACTATGGTCAGGGGGGAGACACTATGGTCAGGGGGAGACACTATGGTCAGGGGAGACACTATGTCAGGGGAGAGAACACTATGGTCAGGGAGACATACTATGGTCAGGGGAACACTATGGTGGGAGACTATGGGGAGACATACTATGGTCAGGGGAGACACTATGGTCAGGGGAGACACTATGGCTGGGGGGAGACACTATGGCAGGGGAGAGACACTATGGTCAGGGAGACATACTATGGTCAGGGGGAGACACTATGGTCAGAGACACCATGGTCAGGGGAGACACTATGATCAGGGGAGACACACTATGGTCAGGGGGAGACACTATGGTCAGGGAGACACACTATGGTCAGGGGAGACACTATGGTCAGGGGAGACACTATGGTCAGGGGGAGACACTATGGTCAGGGAGACACACTATGGTCAGGGGAGACACTATGGTCAGGGGGAGACACTATGGTCAGGGGAGACACACTATGGTCAGGGGGAGACACTATGGTCAGAGGGAGAGACACTATGGTCAACGTTAATTATAACTTAGTTTCGTCTCCCCACAGGACATCACAGGGTCTGTTTGTGTACAAGATAGAGAAGACTCAAGCTACTGTTACTGAGGCCGGTAAGTAAGTGTGTGTGTTGCTCATATTGTCTTGTGTTGTGGTGACCATCTTTCTTTATATATATATATATATATATATATATATATATATATATATATATATATATATATATATATATATATATATATATATATATTATAATTCATGGTGGTACAATACCACTCATCACGATGGTACAGTGCCACTCATCATGATGGTACAGTGCCACTCATCATGATGGTACAGGTACAGTGTCACCCAACAGACCTGAGTGAGGACGTGGTAGTGGTACACAACTCGTACACCCAGGACCGCAACTCATGCCCTTACGACCCTGTAAAATCCAGAGCCTGCTGCACCGTCCTCGTTGCCTGCCTCAGCCAGGGGTCTACCTCCCCCCGTCTTGTTGGATGGGATTTCGCTGAACGAAGTTACATAAACACTGCAGGTATTTACGTCTTAGTGTTGTTTATTAACTCAGTAAACCTCTCCCTCTTAATATAGACACAAGTGTTGAAGGAACTTATTATATTGTCAAAGTAAACCTAGTATTGATCCAACATGGTTAGATTTGTGGCAGCCATCTTTTAAGACAAGAAGTATGTCATGTGCCAGCTAGGTATCATTATGTCCGGGCACAGTTTTTGTCTTCCTTGGAGGTGTCAGTTATACTAAGTTTGTTGTCAGTCTTCTCTTAATACCATTTTCTTTTATTTATTTATTATTTACTTTTTTTATTTTTTATTTCTTCACTTTTTCTGGTTTCTTTATTTCCTTTCTTTCTTTAATATTTTTCTCTTCTAAGTTTGTTTATTTTCTTTTTTCTTTCCTGTCTTCTTTTTCTTTTATTTCCTTATTTTCGTTGTGCTCCTATTTATTTATTTTCTTTCTTTATCTTTCCCTTGAAAGCATTCAGAAGAGAATGACAAGACTAATCCTTGAGTAGAGACAGGTTAAAGCATCTTAATTTACACTCCCTCGAGAGACAGAGTGAGGGGCGATATGATCGAGGTGTGTACATGGAAGTCAGGGATAAACACAGGTGATATAACAAAGGTACTCAAAGTATCCAACAGGAGCGAACCCGTAGCAATGGTTTTACATTGCAAATGGTGTCAATTATTTAAAATGTTTCATCATATACAATAAAACATTGATGTATAAAGCACACCTCAGAATATATTAATGACGCGTACTGAACTTCAGTGATAAGCAGTTCCCGCCATCGCGTTGTGGTGGCGAGCAGTGGAGCCAATCTTCATGCAGTCGCGTGTTTGGGGAGAAGTCCTGCCACAGACGTCTCCCTGTGTCATACAGTTTCCTGGTGGTGAGTACTGCTACCTACTACCTGCTGCCCCACTAACAGTAACACACTACCTGCTGGCCCAGTAACAGTAACACTAACTGCTGGCCCAATACCAGCAACACACGACCTGCTAGCCCAGTAACAGTAACACTACTTGCTGGTCCTAACACTGTGTTAACACTATCTGCTGGCCAGGTAACAGTAGCACGTGTGCTTGTATCAGCTACATTCTCTAATATATCAATGTATGTGTGAGCTACTGTAGTTAATATATCAGTATGTGTTGAGCTACTGTAGTTAATATATCAGTATGTGTTGAGCTACTGTAGTTAATATATCAGTATGTGTTGAGCTACTGTAATTAATATATCAGTATGTGTTGAGCTACTGTAGTTAATATATCAGTATGTGTGAGCTACTGTAGTTAATATATCAGTATGTGTTGAGCTACTGTAGTTAATATATCAGTATGTGTGAGCTACTGTAGTTAATATATCAGTATGTGTTGAGCTACTGTAGTTAATATATCAGTATGTGTTGAGCTACTGTACTTAATATATCAGTATGTGTGAGCTACTGTAGTTAATATATCAGTATGTGTTGAGCTACTGTAGTTAATATATCAGTATGTGTGAGCTACTTAGTTAATATATCAGTATGTGTGAGCTACTGTAATAATATATCAGTACGTGTTGAGCTACTGTAGTTAATATATCAGTATGTGTTGAGCTACTGTAGTTAATATATCAGTATGTGTTGAGCTACTGTAGTTAATATATCAGTATGTGTTGAGCTACTGTAGTTAATATATCAGTATATGTTGAGCTACTGTAGTTAATATATCAGTATGTGTTGAGCTACTGTAGTTAATATATCAGTATGTGTTGAGCTACTGTAGTTAATATATCAGTATGTGTTGAGCTACTGTAGTTAATATATCAGTATGTGTTGAGCTACTGTAGTTAATATATCAGTATGTGTTGAGCTACTGTAGTTAATATATCAGTATGTGTTGAGCTACTGTAGTTAATATATCAGTATGTGTTGAGCTACTGTAGTTAATATATCAGTATGTGTTGAGCTACTGTAGTTAATATATCAGTATGTGTTGAGCTACTGTAGTTAATATATCAGTATATGTTGATCTACTGTGATATATCAGTATGTGTTGAGCTACTGTAGTTAATATATCAGTATGTGTGAGCTACTGTAGTTAATATATCAGTATGTGTTGAGCTACTATAGTTAATATATCAGTATGTGTTGAGCTACTGTAGTTAATATATCATGTGTTGAACTACTGTACTTAATATAACAGTATGTGTGAGCTACTGTAGTAAATATAACAGTATGTGTTGGTACTGTACTTAATATAACAGTATGTGTGAGCTACTGTAGTAAATTAACAGTATGTGTTGAGCTACTGTACTTAATATAACAGTATGTGTGAGCTACTGTAGTTAATATATCAGTATGTGTTGAGCTACTGTAGTTAATATATCAGTATGTGTTGAGCTACTGTAGTTAATATATCAGTATGTGTTGAACTACTGTACTTAATATAACAGTATGTGTGAGCTACTGTAGTAAATATAACAGTATGTGTTGAGCTACTGTACTTAATATAACAGTATGTGTGAGCTACTGTAGTAAATATAACAGTATGTGTTGAGCTACTGTACTTAATATAACAGTATGTGTGAGCTACTGTACTTAATATAACAGTATGTGTGAGCTACTGTAGTTAATATATCAGTATGTGTGAGCTACTGTAGTTAATATATCAGTATGTTGAACTACTGTACTTAATATAACAGTATGTGTGAGCTACTGTACTTAATATAACAGTATGTGTGAGCTACTGTAGTTAATATATCAGTATGTGTGAGCTACTGTAGTTAATATAACAGTATGTGTTGAACTACTGTACTTAATATAACAGTATGTGTGAGCTACTGTAGTAAATATAACAGTATGTGTTGAGCTACTGTACTTAATATAACAGTATGTGTGAGCTACTGTAGTAAATATAACAGTATGTGTGAGCTACTGTAGTTAATATATTAGTATGTGTGAGCTACTGTAGTTAATATAACAGTATGTGTGAGCTACTGTAGTAAATATAACAGTATGTGTTGAGCTACTGTACTTAATATAACAGTATGTGTGAGCTACTGTAATAAATATAACAGTATGTGTTGAGCTACTGTACTTAATATAACAGTATGTGTGACTACTGTAGTTAATATATCAGTATGTGTGAGCTACTGTACTTAATATAACAGTATGTGAGAGCTACTGTAGTAAATATAACAGTATGTGTTGAGCTACTTACTTAATATAACAGTATGTGTGAGCTACTGTAGTAAATATAACAGTATGTGTTGAGCTACTACTGTACTTAATATAACAGTATGTGAGCTACTGTATGTAAATATAACAGTATGTGTTGAGCTACTGTACTTAATATAACAGTATGTGTGAGCTACTGTACTTAATATAACAGTATGTGTGAGCTACTGTAGTTAATATATCAGTATGTGTGAGTTACTGTAGTTAATATATCAGTATGTGTTGAGCTACTGGTAATATATCAGTATGTGTTGAGCTACTGTAGTTAATATATCAGTATGTGTTGAGCTACTGTAGTTAATATATCAGTATGTGTGAGCTACTGTAGTTAATACATGTAGACAACATAACTGCTGCGACCTTCCATACAGCATCAGCGAGTCTCTGTCTTACCATTTACAGCAAGATACCAGTCCAGTTCCCCCACTGTGAGGTTCAGTAAGGGGCAACAGATGACCATCCCATTAGTTAAGAGGCCTTCAACCTTACCTAACACGGTGTATACGCGGAGACTACCAGATAAATGGACGTCCAGTACTTCTGACATACTGCCTCTCATGTGGTCACAAGCTGAACTTTACCACTAGCGTCTACCTGGTCAACCACGAAAATGGCGAATCCCCAAGTTCTCATATAACAGCGGGTTACCTGAGTATGGTGGTGAGGTGTGAGTGTTACCTATAGTGGTGACTGATGGTGAGGAGTGTTACCTATAGTGGTGACTGATGGTGAGGAGTGTTACCTATAGTGGTGACTGATGGTGAGGAGTGTTACCTATAGTGGTGACTGATGGTGAGGAGTGTTACCTATAGTGGTGACTGATGGTGAGGAGTGTTACCTATAGTGGTGACTGATGGTGAGGAGTGTTACCTATAGTGGTGACTGATGGTGAGGAGTGTTAGTGAGGGTTAGTGTTAGTGCTAAACTAACTGTCTCCATATTATGAAGAGATTCACTCATCAAGTCATTCTGATATATTTCATAGTTACTCTTAAACTTTTCTTGTGTTGATAATTAAATATTTTTACTCTTGATCCACATGTTGTTGTCTTTGTTTTGTGTATTATTAATTAAGGTGTTTGTGTGACAGAGTGTGGGAGGAAGGTACGGTGTGGGGTGCATGAATCAGTGCCCACAATGTTCCCGGGAGGACAGTGCCACCCTCAGACTGGCACCTGTGTGTGTCCTCCAGGCTTCATGGGTGACTCCTGCCAGAGAGGTGAGCCTTCTTGTTCTTAATGAAACTCTATACTACGTCTAATTACCCTGCCTTGTATAGCTTTATACCACGTCTAACTACCCTGCCTTGTATAGCTTTATACCACGTCTAACTACCCTGCCTTGTTTGCTTTATACCACGTCTAACTACCCCTGCCTTAGCTTTATACCACGTCTAACTACCCTGCCTTGTGTAGCTTCATAACACGTCTTCCTGCCTATAGCTTTATACCGGTCTAACTACCCTGCCTTGTGTAGCTTTTACCACGTCTAACTACCCTGCCTTGTATAGCTTATGCCCGTCTAACTACCCTGCCTTGTATAGCTTTATACCACGTCTAACTACCCTGCCTTGTGTGGCTTTATACCACGTCTAACTACCCTGCCTTGTGCAGCTTATACCACGTCTAACTACCCTGCCTTGATAGCTTTATACCATCTACTCTGCCTTGTGTAGCTTTATACCACGTCTAACTATCCTGCCTTGTGTAGCTTTATACCGTCTAACTACCCTGCCTTGTGTAGCTTTATACCACGTTCTAACTACCCTGCCTTGTGTAGCTTTATACCATCTACTTCCTTGCCTTGTATAGCTTTATACCACGTCTAACTACCCTGCCTTGTGGCATACCACGTCTAACTACCCTGCCTTGTATAGCTTTATACCCGTCTAACTACCCTGCCTTGGCTTCATAACACGTCTAACTACCTGCCTTATGGCTTTATACCACGTCTAACTACCCTGCCTTGTGTAGCTTTATACCACGTCTAACTATCCTGCCTTGTGTAGCTTTATACACGTCTAACTACCCTGCCTTGTATAGCTTTATACCACGTTCTAACTACCTCCCTTCTGTAGCTTTATACCACGTCTAACTACCCTGCCTTGTATAGCTTTATACACGTCTAACTACCCTGCCTTGTGTAGCTTTATACCACGTCTAACTACCCTGCCTTGTATAGCTTTATACCACGTCTAACTACCCTGCCTTTGGCAGCTTTATACCCGTCTAACTACCCTGCCTTGTGTATTTATACCACGTCTAACTACCCTGCCTTGTATAGCTTTATGCCACGTCTAACTACCCTGCCTTGTATAGCTTTATACCACGTCTAACTACCTGCCTTGGTGGCTTTATACCACGTCTAACTACCCTGCCTTGTGCAGCTTTATACCGATCTAACTACCTGCCATAGCTTTATACCGTCTAACTTCTGCCTTGTGTAGCTTTATACCACGTCTAACTATCCTGCCTTGTGTAGCTTTATACCACGTCTAACTGCCTTGTATAGCTTTACCATTCTAACTACCCTGCCTTGTGTAGCTTTATACCACGTCTAACTACCCTGCCTTGTATAGCTTTATACCACGTCTAACTACCCTGCCTTGTATAGCTTTATACCACGTCTAACTACCCTGCCTTGTATAGCTTTATACCACGTCTAACTATCCTGCCTTGTGTGGCTTTATACCACGTCTAACTACCCTGCCTTGTATAGCTTTATACCACGTTCTAACACCCTGCCTTCTGTAGCTTTATACCACGTCTAACTACCCTGCCTTGTATAGCTTTATACCACGTCTAACTACCCTGCCTTGTGTGAGTATACCACGTCTAACTACCCTGCCTTGTATAGCTTTATACCACGTCTAACTACCCTGCCTTGTGTAGCTTTATACCACGTCTAACTACCCTGCCTTGTGTAGCTTTATACCACGTCTAACTACCCTGCCTTGTGTAGCTTTATACCACGTCTAACTACCCTGCCTTGTGTAGCTTTAACCACGTCTAACTACCCTGCCTTGTATAGCTTTATACCACGTCTAACTAATCTCCTCACTGGAGGAGTATGAGGTGCACAATAAACTAGCCATGTAAATGCAAAATTAAAAAAAATTCAACAGCAAACGTGTTGCTCCTCATTGACAGGCAGAACAACCCTAAGTCTCGGACCAAAGTTGATACCTTCCATGAGAAGAAAGCGGCGGCCCAGCACGAACTTCGCAAACTAAGGATCGAATGGTGGAAAAATAAAGCGTATATGGAATGCAAAAATTTGTAGATCAACACAAGATGGGCGAATTTTTTTATTCCGCTAGAACAATACCTGGTCCAACTACTCATGGCGTGGGCCCCCTCCGCACATCCAACAGTAACTCCCTAATTAAAGACGAAGAAAACATCCATCAGTGCTGGAAAGAGCACTACCATTCACTGCTCAACCGAAACACCGATGTGGATGTCCTAACAACCCAGCAGGTCCCTCAGCATCCAGAACTGACCCACCTCAGTATCTATCCCTGGATTGGGATAACTAATACCACCATGCAGATGGAAAATAACAAAGTCTCGGGGCATGATGGAATCCCAACCGAGGTGTATAAAGTAGAAGGACCTCTGCTTGCCAGCCGTCTCCACTCTCTCCTGGAGAATATATGAGAGAAGGAGGAAATTCGCCAAGATCTAAAACACACCTCCATTGTCGATATTTATAAGAACAAGGGAAACCGGTCAGATTGTGGCAACTACCGCGGGATCTCACTGCTGTCCGTAGCTGGCAAGATTATCGCCGAGTCCACCGATACAGACTTCTTCCTGAGGAAGAAAACTTCCTCCCAGAATCTCACTGTGGCTTTAGACCACCTCATGGGACTAGTGACATGATCTTTGCTGCCCACCAAGTACAGGAAAAGTACAGAGAACAAAGTCGTGAATTGTACGTGGCCTTCATTGACCTTACAAAGGCCTTCGACTAGGTCAAAGAAACCCTCGTTTTGGCTGCCACAAAATTGATTGCCATTGTGGTGGCAGCGTCGGCCGCTTCAATCATTTTACGTGAATGCATGTAAGACTCCTATTCTCTTTCAGCCTGCCCCTGGTTCAACCACACCTCTATCATCCATCCAGCTTAACGATTTTCTCTCTAATGTTACCCACTTCCAGTAACTGGGCTCCCACCTGTCCATCACCGCAGACACCGATGAAGATTTCCAACATCGGATCAGATGTGCATCTCAAACCTTTGGTTTGGCAGACTCCATACCCGTGTCTTCAGCTGTAGGGAGCTGAAATTATCTGCAAAGTTGCACGTATATCGAGCAGTGGTCCTCCCCACCCTGCTGTATGACAGCGAGACATGGGTCACATACAGAAGGCACCTCAAGGCATTTGAAAACATTTATCAACGCATTCTACTTTCCATCCTCCGAGTTCGCTGGGAAGACAAGAGAACAAATGTCAGTATTCTTGCTGACACCAACTGTAGGAGTATAGAGGCTACCATTATCCGTGAACAACTGCGTTGAACTGGCCATGTTACCAGCATGGACGACAGTAGACTGCCAAAGCAGCTACTTTACAGTCATCTAACGAATGGTAAACATAACGCTGGCGGACAACGGAAGAGGTATAAGGACAGTCTTAAGACAAACCTGAAAAAGTGGCAAATCGACCCCCTCACCTGGGAGACGATAACTCCACACCGTAACGCTTGGAGGAGCACCACGAGAAGGTGTCAATGTTTTCGAGTTAGTCCGACTGTATACCGAGGCAGGCAAATGCCAGCGCCGGAAAAACGCTGCCGATGCCCCTCCCGCACTAGATGTAGCCCTCCACATGTTCAACATCTGTGGACGTCCCTACCGGTCCAGAATCTGCCTCTTTAGTCACCTCAGAGCTCACCAACGAAGGTGACATCCTTAATAACTCATACCATTGTATCATAGCTGGACGATCGTCATACTCGTTTCCGAGTGACAGCAAATTAGTAGTATTGTATTAGTTGTGTGTTTAGGTGTGTTTGTGTTTGTGTTTGTGTGTGTGTGTGTGTGTGTGAGGTTCGGTGTAAACTCTGTGATCCTCTTTGTTGTCCTGCAGCGTGTGCAAGAGGTTCATTTGGACACAATTGTCAGCTGAGGTGTAATGAGGACACACTGGGGTTCACCATCGCCCAGGACGGTGACTGTCGTGGTCTTATCATCTGTCTCCCGGAGCCGTATGGTTGTTCCTGCGCCCCCGGCTACACCTCCTCTAGCAGCTCAAACGATACCGACCCCATCTGCACACAAGGTGAGCTGACTGTCGCTGTGTGTGTGTGTGTGTGCGCGCGCCCACTAGGTAAACTGACAGACTATGTGTACACTTGGTAAACTGACAGACTATGTGTACACTTGGTAAACTGACAGACTGTGTACGCTAGATAAACTGACAGACTGTGTACGCTAGGTGAACTGATTGACTGTGTTATCAAGCACACTAGCGTTGTTTTAACAGTATTTGAGAACTATAACTGTTGTGACCTTCATGTGAGGCAGGTATGAGGGTCTACACCTGTGGGTAAGGGGAAGCTTTTAATTAATAAAGTAGAGGCAAGAAGAGAGCCCAGAGGCACTCCAGTCACTAATAGCCACAGCGCCTCAGTCATTTATTGTAACGGGATGATGAATATCTGTGTTATAAACTGAACTCTTTTTGGATTTCCAGATTGTTCGGCAGGAAAATATGGAGCCGATTGTACTGAGACTTGTGCCGGATGTGATGATGGTTGTGACCAATACACCGGTATTTGTGGTGAGTGTTGCCTGGTGATGATGTGTGGGTGTTGCCTGGTGATGATGTGTGGGTGTTGCCTGGTGGTGATGTGTTGCCTGGTGGTGAGGTGTTACCTGGTGATGATATGTGGGTGTTGCTGGTGGTGATGTGTTGCCTAGTGGTGAGGTGTTGCCTGGTGATGATGTGTGGGTGTTGCCTGGTGGTGATGTGTGGGTGTTGCCTGGTGGTGATGTGTGGGTGTTGCCTGGTGGTGATGTGGGTGTTGCCTGGTGATAATGTGTGGGTGTTGCCTGGTGGTGATGTGTGGGTGTTGTCTGGTGGTGAGGTGTTGCCTGATGGTGATGTGTGGGTGTTGCCTGGTGATGATGTGGGTGTTGTCTGGTGGTGAGGTGTTGCCTGATGGTGATGTGGGTGTTGCCTGGTGATGATGTGTGGGTGTTGTCTGGTGGTGAGGTGTTGCCTGATGGTGATGTGTGGGTGTTGCCTGGTGATGATGTGTGGGTGTTGTCTGGTGGTGAGGTGTTGCCTGATGGTGATGTGTGGGTGTTGCCTGATGGTGATGTGTGGGTGTTGCCTGGTGATGATGTGTGGGTGTTGTCTGGTGGTGAGGTGTTGCCTGATGGTGATGTGTGGGTGTTGCCTGGTGATGATGTGTGGGTGTTGCCTGATGGTGATGTGTGGGTGTTGTCTGGTGGTGAGGTATTGCCTGGTGATGATGTGTGGGTGTTGCCTGGTGGTGGTGTGTGGGTGTTTCCTGGTGCTGATGTGTGGGTGTTGCCTGGTGGTGATGTATGGACTGGTGATGATGTGTGGGTGTTGCCTGATGGTGATGTGTGGGTGTTGTCTGGTGGTGAGGTGTTGCCTGGTGATGATGTGTGGGTGTTGCCTGATGGTGGTGTGGGTGTTGTCTGGTGGTGAGGTGTTGCCTGGTGATGATGTGTGGGTGTTGCCTGATGATGTGTGGGTGTTGTCTGGTGGTGAGGTGTTGCCTGGTGATGATGTGTGGGTGTTGCCTGATGGTGATGTGTGGGTGTTGCCTGGTGGTGATGTATGGACTGGTGATGATGTGTGGGTGTTGCCTGGTGGTGAGGTGTTGCCTGGTGATGATGTGTGGGTGTTGCCTGGTGGTGATGTATGGACTGGTGATGATGTGTGAGTGTTGCCTGGTGGTGATGTGTGAGTGTTACCTGGTGGTGATGTGTGAGTGTTGCCTGGTGGTGATGTGTGAGGGTTGCCTGGTGGTGAGGTGTTGCCTGGTGGTGAGGTGTTGCCTGGTGGTGAGGTGTTGCCTGGTGATGATGTGTGGGTGTTGCCTGGTGGTGATGTGTTACCCGGTGGTGATGGGTGTTACTTACTGGAGATGAGTTACCCGTACTCACCTTACAGTGACAACGTTACACAATACCTGTGTCACTCATGGTCAGTGTCATTCATAAGTTATGCCACCTGTTACATAGCCAACATGTTACCTGTGTTACATAACCGATTATGTTACCTGACACGTGTATTGCCACAGTTCCGCCATCGCCACAACTAACAGTGGAAGATGGTAGCAGAGAACTGAGGATCACCTGGTCACCACCTTCCAGTAGTAAATACAACTACACCCTTACTTATCAGGTACAGTATATGTCTTACTGTTTCCTTGTTTATGTCTTAATGCTTCCTTATTTTCAGGTGTATGTCTGACTACCTAATATATACCGTTCATAGTGACTGGTCAACACGTCTTAGAAGCTACACACGACCATGTATGACAGTAAAGGCGGCAGCACACTGGGCGCTTGTTGTCCGTTTTGCTGGCAGTTGGTCTAAACGCCCAGTAAGCAGCAGGATTTCGGCTGTTGCTAGAAATGGAAAAACAGTTTGGCAGTGGGCTTTCCTGGCCGGGTTAGTGCTCAAATGAGCTTCATATTAGGTGTTGAATATTCAAATAGTAATTGAATAAATCATGGAACAATAATATTTTGAAATTTAACATAAAACGGTGACAGGTTTCTATTTATTCGTTACTTTAAAACTTCATTATTCAGGGTCTTCTTTGACCAGCCAGCCGCTGCCACTTGTAAGACTTCCCGACGTACCCATTGTCTTTTCTTTAGCTTTAGACAAACGTGTTGGGAGACAAGTGCCCAGTGTGCCGCCGCCTTAAGATCTTTTGCTACACAACATTTCGTCTGGTAGATGATTATAAGACGGGTTGATCACATCACTACCTTAAGTGTTAATGACTTGGTAATTCTTGGATGTATTAATATACAAATTTACAGTAGGTTAATGTACCATCTGTATCATTGCCATCACGTAAGAATTAATGTATTTCACTGTATATATGAATCTACACTTACGGGTATTATTATAATGTATACCTTGACTCTCACTTCAACAGTCTCTGGGACCCGGAGGCTGCACCAAGGACACCTGACACCGGTGACACGACAGGTGTTCAATCAGCCAGTAACTCTCCAAGAATTGGTCCCCTTCACTCACTACCGTGTGTGTGTGACAGCCACCAACCAGGGGGTACACAGTGCACCAGGATGTGTCAATGCCAGCACGTCCACTGAACGTTAGTAGTGTGTCATGCCTGAAAGGTAGTAGTGACCTTGTACACCGGCCTTCGTACACCGGCTCTCGTACACCGGCTCTCGTACACCGGCCTTTGTATAACGGCTCTCTCATACACCGGCTCTCGTACACCGGCTCTCATACACCGGCTCTCGTACACCGGCCCTTCTAAACTTAGTAATAGAGAGTTAGTCGGGTCACTATTTAGGCTACAATGTGGGTTAATGTTATCACGCAAGTTAAGCTACGTTTAGTGTAGCCATAATCTGTAGCTAGACTCATCAGCAAAGTCAGACTTTGTAAACAACAACAAAATATCAAGTATCAAGAGTAACAGAAGTTTACTCAGGTATTAGCGCGGACATATTCCCCAAGATATTGCCACGTTTAATAATACAGTCTTGTGGGATCCCTGAGGCTGCAGTAACCACTCTTGTGTGTTTCTGAGAACAACAATTTTAACCTTATCGCGACCTTAAGCCCACAGTAATAATAACAAGAGTAACTAATACTCTACAGTATCAGTAAACAAGAGCTCCACTATTTTGAATTATTTTTGTTTTTAAGGTAAATGATTTTAAAAATTCTTATCCCAGAACAGGAAACGCTAAAATTACTTTATTTAATTTTGATTATTGAATATTTGTGTCAATAATTCTTGTATTTCACTGGTATTGTACAGCAGTATGTGCTCAGGAGTATTATATCATAACACTTAACAAGAATTCAGTATTTTTAGGAGCAGTCTGAATGAATTACTGGAGAAATAATAGGCAACAAAAAGAGATCGATATCGCCAATACTTAGCTTACCGATTTATCGACAAAATACCGATATTGTCTGGCTGCCGATAACGATAGCATTGCTACAGAACGGTAGGCAGAGGTCTGTACAGAAGCATTTGTGCCCATAATGCAAGGAACATATTATCATAAACCACAGATATATAGATACATCAGATGGTCAGTTACACCTGTACCTATAATATTGTTAATATGTGATAATTATGTATTTCTGTCTAGTGAACCATATTAACCCAGATGTTCCTCCACAGCACCAGGTGTAGAGCTGAATGATTTACAGTGCCGGTCAACAAGGTTATCTACGATCTGTTCAGGTACACTGTCAGACACCTGTGAGGGGTATAACGGCCCTAACCTGGTCACCAATATTACCCTAAAGACGAAGCTCGCGTGTAATGACTCCGTGCACACGATCTTCAACACCGCCACAGATCAGTCAGACAGCGTCAGTCTGACCTTCAACCAGCTTATACCTGGCCAGGAGTACCAGGTGACGGCACAAGTCACTAACAGTGTAGGTGGCGGCCCAGTGACCTCCATCACTTATACTACCACAGCGACGAGTGAGTTATGTTCTGTGTGATGATGATGACAGCCCTAACCCTTCCCCCAGAGCCTTACCACTTAGAACCTAGTTATACATCTTCCCTCAGAACTTCCACCACTTAGAACTTAGTTATACATCTTCCCTCAGAACTTCCACCACTTAGAACTTAGTTATACATCTTCCACCACTTAGAACCTAGTTATACATCTTCCCCCAGAACTTCCACCACTTAGAACTTAGTTATACATCTTCCACCACTTAGAACCTAGTTATACATCTTCCCCCAGAACTTCCACCACTTAGAACTTAGTTATACATCTTCCACCACTTAGAAACCTAGTTATACATCTTCCCCAGAACTTCCACCACTTAGAACTTAGTTATACATCTTCCACAATTAGAACCTAGTTATACATCTTCCCCAGAACTACCACTTAGAACTTAGTTATACATCTTCCACCATAGAACCTAGTTATACATCTTCCCTCAGAACTTCCACCACTTAGAACCTAGTTATACATCTTCCACCACTTAGAACCTAGTTATACATCTTCCCCAGAACTTACCACTTAGAACCTAGTTATACATCTTCCCCAGAACTACCACTTAGATTAGTTATACATCTTCCACCACTTAGAACCTAGTTATACATCTTCCCCAGAACTACCACTTAGAACTTAGTTATACATCTTCCACCACTTAGAACCTAGTTATACATCTTCCCCAGACTACCACTCAGAACTTAGTTATACATCTTCCACCACTTAGAACCTAGTTATACATCTTCCCCAGAACTTCCACCACTTAGAACTTGGTTATACATCTTCCACCACTTAAACCTAGTTATACATCTTCACCACTTAGAACCTAGTTATACATTTCCCTTAGAAACTAGTTATCTCCACCACTTAGAACCTAGTTATACATCTTACCACTTAGAACCTAGTTATACATCTTAGAACTTCCACCATAGAATCTAGTTATACATCTTCCCTCAGAACTACCACTTAGAACCTAGTTACATCTTCCACCTTAGAACCTAGTTATACATCTTCCACCACTTAGAACCTAGTTATACATCTTCCACCACTTAGAACCTAGTTATACATCTTCCACCACTTAGAACCTAGTTATACATCTTCCACCACTTAGAATCTAGTTATACATCTTCCCCCAGAACTTCCACCACTTAGAACCTAGTTATACATCTTCCACCACTTAGAACCTAGTTATACATCTTCCACCATAGAACCTAGTTATACATCTTCACCAGAACTTCCACCACTTAGAACCTAGTTATACATCTTCCACCACTTAGAACCTAGTTATACATCTTCCACCACTTAGAACCTAGTTATACATCTTCCACCACTTAGAACCTAGTTATACATCTTCCACCACTTAGAACCTAGTTATACATCTTCCACCACTTAGAATCTAGTTATACATCTTCCCCCAGAACCATCACCTAGATACCTACAAGTCATGTTTACCTCACAGAGCCACCACCGGTGAAGGACCTGCGCGTTACTCCACGTAACAAAACTGCGGTTCAACTGTGGTGGAATGATCCCTGTCCTAGCAATGGTGATATTACTTCGTACTACGTTACAGGCGGTAGTAAATTTATTTATTATCCCGTGAAGTGCCTCTTATCGCAGGAGTATGAACGCTGCTACATCATTAAAGGAGTATTTACATTGGGTGTAGAATACGAGTTTTCGGTAAGTATGTGTTATTGATAACTTTTACTGATTAATGTATTCGAGTAAATGTTGTACATACACCGCCCCCCCCCCCCCATTGCGTCTCCAGCTGCCGCAAGAAGTGCTTGTCCGAGCTATGCCTCACACATATATTTATATATTTATTGGGTTAGGAAACTGAAATTGGGGACCCAAACCCAAAGTGACCAAGTCTTTATGCTCATGGAGGAGGAGGGTGTACACTAGGTGGCCGGTAATAAAGTCACAGGAAAAAAAGTCACAGAAAAAAAGTCAAAATTTTGGCTAGGAAACAAAGTAACAATTAATTTATGGTGGCCGGTAATAAAGGTTAGGTTAGGTTAGGTTAGGTTAGGTTAGGTTAGGTTAGGTTACCATCAGTTCTGCATACTCCTTTACTGAAACTGATTGACATATTAACCTTAAAAAATGTGAGAATTCAATAGTTAACTTTTCTTTTTTTCCTGTGACTTTTTTTCCTGTGACTTTTTTCTGTGACTTTTTTACCTGGATTCGTACACTATACGTGCCACTGCTTGTGGACACTTGTATCAACATGTTGCCTGGCATAACAACACGTGTTGAACAGCTATGTGTCAATAACATGTATTAACCAGATATGTGTCAACAATAAGTGTTGATTAGCATTGTGTCAACAAGCTATTTTGTTTAAGTTTGCTACTTACAGTGGCTAGTTTATTGTGCACCTCATAATCATCCTGCGAGCGGTAGCGCAAATGGATTGAGTAGAGGTCACAAAGGGTGTGTATAACTACCCCCCGTGGTCAGGATATTATGTCATTGAATGTTACAGAGTATATCAAATAAATTATTTGCTTAGTTCTGTACATAAAGGGTGACTTATTCGCAACAGCTTGACTACAGAAGTGTGAGGCAGGATGTCTGGTCGCACACTCTATTATTCACATTTGCTTGAGAGGCATTCAGCACATTGTGTGTTTGGTTCCATAGATGGGAACTCATATAGCTACTAAGTGCACAAAAGAGGATATAACATTAATATGTCGGCGTTCTTGTCATTTGAGATAAATGGTTGTACCATTTCACACACAGTGTGCTTGGACCTGTCCCTAAAAGGTTCTATCTTCACACAGTCGAGGACGTAGTGTTCAAGTGTGTGGCCATATGTCTGGCCACACACATTACATTTAGTCTTGTTCACATCTGCTTAAGGAACATACTGCCAGAGGTACTTATATCCTAACCTGAGTCTAGCGGTTACAACATCTTGTAATCTAGTAATCTTGTTCCTTGCTCCATATGCATGTTTCATTTGATACATCTCATCATGGTAAACAATGGATCGACTAGTGCCTGCTTGCACTTGTCTGTATGCGTCAAATTCATCAATAAGTTCCTTCCTAATTACAGTTTTAAGGGTTCTTTTTGACAGACCCAGATTGTATTCAACAGTGCCTTTGTTAGACGCGAGCTTGGCGAGGGCATCAACTCTGTCATGTTTTATGAGGCCTAAGTGAGAGGGGATCCACAACAGTTTGATCTTGACACCCCGGTCAACAAGGCACGCATATTTGTGTCTGGCTTCAGAGACAAGTGCGTGGCAACTTGAGTTGAGGGTGTCAACAAGTGCTGACCAGCTATGTGTCAACAAGTGTTGACCAGCTTTGTGTCAACAAGTGCTGACCACCTATATGTCAGCAACAAGTGTTCAGCTATGTACTGCACCAACAATAACAGTCATCTGAGCGGGTTGCTCTAGTACTAAAAGTATGGACACGTTAATAGAATAATTCAGCTTGTCATTTGCCATTTTCATTATAGTTCAGGATGGTTTGTCCAAAGAGCAAACACAGATTCTCCCTTCAGTCAGTGTCCATCATTTACTCTTACTGCTGTGAGAAATGTGTTCTGCTGTGTATTTATAATAATAATAATAATAATAATAATAATGGTTGCCCCTCGTGTAACGAGGATGGCCGGCCCAAGGGCCACATAGTATCAAGGAATAGTCCGAGAAGATCGGACAACTCGCCAACTGACCATTGCCCCGGAATACGAGCCGCAAATCGATTAACATCCAGGTTCCCAATTGCTGCTTTAACTGCTGTGGCAGATTTGTTCTGCTGTGGTGTTCACTTGACACAAGGGTCTAAGATATATATTAGTTTATACACTGTATGTCACATGACACAACCCGGCGTCACCACCAACCTTCCTCAATAGCCCCAACATGGAGGCCATGATCTCAGTCATTTATACACACAGCTTTCTTTCTTGGATGTCTGACCCCTTCACGTTTCGTTCGTCCTTCATCCCATCGTTCCTTCTCCTCTCCCACATACCATTCATCTGCGTGTTGTTATACTCCCTGTATGACCTGTAGGTCCTCAGCAGGTGATCAACCCAACCACTAGATGGCCTCTCTGTGCCTGAGAGAGCGACCCTGTAGTGTAAAGGCTGATCTACCCCCAGATGTCTGCAACACCTCACATCTCCCATTATATCTCTATTCACACTAATATTCGTTTCCCCTGACATTTTTGCCTACTTATTTTCGCCACTTAATACTTTATTCACATTCACGAGAAAGGATGAAGTACAGTAGGTAGTGGTACAAGTAGTGGCAGAGCGGATACAGTCTCCCCCTGCTCATCCTCCTGTTCTCCCAGCTGTAAATGGGTACTCGTCATTCTGTACTGCCATTGTAAATATGAGGATAACCCCAACTCAGATTTTGTCATTGTCTTTGTTAATATTACTGTCTGATAAAGAATACTTTGTCAGTTTAATATTTCAATGATACAATAAGCGTAAAATTAATCGTGGCAGTTATATGTAGAAGTTTGTGAAAAATGTGTACTTCTATCTTTGACAAGGTACTCGCGAGGAACAAAGCTGACTGGAGTACCGAGGAAAAAGTTAGCATAAAACTGGAGGAAAAAAGTGAGTATCATAACTAAACAACATCAGAGGCTTCCATTATGTTATGTTGTTTGTCAATATATATGATGATCAACCTTGAATGTCCATCAGAGACTTGAAGGTGATAGTGATGCTTTTTGCTAGTTAAATTAAAGCAGGAAATGCCAATGGTGGTGAGTGTTGATGTAATACTGTTGACATAATTATATTCCACGTGTATAAGAGTTTTAGTCATATGGTGTAATATTGTATTAACCAGTGTAGAAGGGGATAGAATTTCACCTTTTACCAGTAGAAATTGTGATCATCAAGACTCAACTCAAACAAGGTCGTTAACAAGATCATTAGCTCAAGAGAAGGTCATTAACGAGGTAATTAACTCAGAAGGTAATTAAAAAGATCTTTCACTCAAACATATGACCCACCACAGGGTCAGGTACAGTTACTCATGATCCACCACAGGGCTAGGTACAGTAACTCATGATCCACCACAGGGCCAGGTACAGTAACTCATGGTCCACCACAGGGCCAGGTACAGTAACTCATGATCCACCACAGGGCCAGGTACAGTTACTCATGATCCACCACAGGGTCAGGTACAGTAACTCATGGTCCACCACAGGGCCAGGTACAGTAACTCATGATCCACCACAGGACCAGGTACAGTAACTCATGATCCACCACAGGGTCAGGTACAATGCCATGATCCATCTGGGCCAGATACAATAGCCTCATGATCACCACAGGGCCGGGTACAATAATACTCATGATCCACCACTGGGCCAGGTACAATAATACTCTATGATCCACCACAGGGCCAGGTACAATAAATACTCATGATCAACCACAGGACCAGTACAGTAACTCATGATCCACCACAGGGCCAGTACAGTAACTCATGATCCATCACAGGGCCAGATACAATAATACTCATGATCCACCACAGGGCCAGGTACAATAATACATGATCCCACACAGGGCCAGGTACAGTAACCTTGATGATCCTACAGGGCGGAATGCAATAATACAATAATGATCCACCACAGGGCCAAAATCCACAGGCCAGGTATACTCATGATCCACCACAGGGCCAGGTACAGTAACTTATGATACCACAGAGACCAGGTACAGCAATACTCATGATCCACCACAGACCGTTACAATAATACTCCTTGTGATCCACCAGGGCCAGGTACGATAATACTCATGATCCACCACAGGGCCCAGGTACAATAATACTCATGATCCACCACAGGGCCAGGTACAATAATACTCATGATCCACCACAGGGCCAGGTACAATAATACTCATGATCCACCACAGAGCCAGGTACAATAATACCCATGATCCACCACAGGTCCAGGTACAATAATACTCATGATCCACCACAGGGCCAGGTACAATAATACTCATGATCCACCACAGGGCCAGGTCCACCAGCGAGCATTGTATCAGTACGAGGGTCAAGACAGTTAGAGGTGGACAATATACAGGAGCCTTCTGACCCAGGAGGACAACTGGTCAACTGCAGCCTCTCTGTTACTCCCGGCAACTTCAACTGTGTCTTCCGGTACACAACGCCTCCAGCCAACACCTGTGAGGCAAGTCTCGTTAATTACACTTACAGAACTTACTACTTGTTTGTACTAGTGCTTCACCCACCACCTAATAATTGACAAGTTATTATTGTGGACATTAATGAAAAAGAAATTACATCAATAGAAATAAATTAAGAAGAAAATGTTATTTAACGTAATTTGTATTAGCTGTACTGATTTGTAGACACGATCCAAAGAGTACTGTGAGTAGATAGTTACTACAGCTGTAGTATGTGGGTACTTCTTTAGATAGTCACTACAGCTGTAGTATCCCTTGGGCGAGTCTGCCGCGCCAGTACTGTACACACAAACATTCAAAGTGCTTAAGTACAACCAATAATCATCAATAATGAGACAAACAACAAAATTCTTCTGTTAACTGTAAACATTCTCCTTGCAGTTAGAAGGACTAACGCCTGGTAAACTGTACCAAGCAAAAGCCTTCTGTTGCAACAGCAAGTTCTGTGGGGATACACTGACCCAGGCGTTGGCAACACTGCCACGGAACCCAGAGATCTCGGGTCATTTGCAAGTTTTGAAGAAGACTAATTCTACCATCACCCTGAACCTGCCTCCCCTGGTCACTCACGGTGATGGTAACAGGTGAGTGCCCTCCCCTGGATCACTCATGGTGATGGTAACAGGTGAGTGCCCTCCCCTAGTCACTCGTAGTGTTGGTAACAGGTGAGTGCCCTCCATTTGATGACTTATGTGTCCATTTCAGTTCAGTTGTGGTCACCGTACTACAGAAATGATAAAGAATCCCTAGTAAGAATTCAAAGGAGAATGACAAGACTAATCCCGGGCATTAGGAACAACGAGTACAGAAACAGGTTAAAGCATCTTAATTTCCACTCCCTCGAGAGACGCAGAGTGAGAGGCGATATGATCGAGGTGTATAAATGGAAGTCAGGGCTAAACAAAGGTGATATAACAAAGGTACTCAAACTATCCAACCAGGAGCAAACTCTTAACAATAGTTTTAAATTTGTCAAATTTTGGATTTAGGCGCAAGATAGGTAAACATTGGTTTGGAAATAGAGTAGTGGATGAGTGGAACAAGTTACCAAACATCATCATTAACTCGAATACGCTGGATAGCTTCAAACATAGGTTGGACGGATATATGAGCGATAGGTGTTGGGTGTATACGGGACTCCCCAGTATGGGCCAAGAAGCCCGCTGCAGTTTCCTCCATTCTTATGTTCTTATGTTCTAATGACTGTCATGTGTCCAGTGAGTCATGTATCCCATACAAACTACACAGATAGCTGGGTTATGTGTCATTGGGTTCGTCCTTTAACACGAATATATCTGTGATTCATAAATTATTTCTATTAAGAGTAAAGATGAGTAAAATGGCATTCATATGTAGGCGAGGCAGGTGTTAGGTGAGGCAGGTGTTAGGTGAGGCAGGTGTTAGGTGAGGCAGGTGTTGGGTGAGGGTGTAACAAGTCAGATGAGTACACAATAAGTGACTCCTGGCACCGAGTCATCATGAGTTTTGATACTAATGAACTTTATGTCCCTCTTGTCTATCCAGTTCATCGGCTGTGGTGGTCATGACAGCTAATCATTCCCGCGACAACGTGGAGGATGAGGTAAAGCAGTTGTTGTCTGGCACAGGTGAAGAAGAGAAACGAATCCACGCAAGAAATACGAGACAGGCTCGGGCTTGTGAGATATCATTATGGGTCGCTGGGCTGGTGGATAAGGTAGAGAAAAAAAATGTTGCAGTTTTATTGTGTGTGTGTGTGTGTGTGTGTGTGTGTGTGTGTGTTGGTAGGATTGATCATTCATGTATTGCTGCAGTTAATCTTGAAGTTAATCATATAACGTAAAGTATACAGTACATGTTAATTGATAAAGTTCATACTTTATTATTTTTGTGGAAACTATTCTTTACTTAGTGTTTAAATGAATATTGAATTTCTGAGCCTCACCTTACATCATTCCTCCCAAACCCAGACGCCCTCACACTAAGGTATCACTAACATATGAAAGAAATTACACTTAGCTGAAAACGCATTGTCAGGAGGAGAATTGAGGCGTTGTTCGTAAGGAAGGCCACTTTCCAAGCAGTATCCTCGTCCTGGATATTTGAACTTATCCAACAGCCCACGTATGTACAGTATATACAAAAGAAACGGGGACGTCCGTTCCTCTCCAAAGTTGGGTAGTGAATCCCTTTCCGCGGTGAATCGGTTGACTGGCTAAACCTTGCCACGCCATCAACTGACTCACTGGTTTCTAATGCACACTACAATGTACGATATTTCTATATTGTTTTATATTTTTATGGAATTACTATATATTCTAGTAATTTATCCATATTTTAAATTTTGGTAAATCCTGTAATATATATCACAAATCAAATACCCCCTTATGCCTTCTGGACCTCCCCAGCTCAACCAAGGTTTACAGGGCTCCGAGCGGGTTCGAAACACGCATGCTAAGGGTGGAAAATGTTCACACTTTTTATATGTTTGGACTGTTATCGTTTATGTAATTATGTGTTTATACAAATGTTTGGAATTGTGTAAGATACGAAAGCGTTCTCTCACTAACTTGTATGTATGTGTTACTGTGTATGCAGGGAACATACAGCACGGTACCTGTCCTTTCATCTACAGTATATTGCCATCCACCCGTCACCCATCCGTTCTCCAATCCCTCAAACTTTGTTAGAATTATACAAAATATTCAATGTAGTTTTGTTGGCGTTCATGTCCGTGATCCATTCTCCCAAGATAAAAAGAAAATATTCACGTGTGATTATGTTTTGTATTTTCTGCAATTATTTTCCTTCAGTTTTATTGTTTGTCCACTGTGTTTAAATCTGATCAGTTTTTGTATCTTTTCTACATTACTTTCCCAATATCCGTTGTGTATATTTACTTAGTGGCGTGTCTGATCATATATTGAACTCTCAGAAAAGTCTTGTACTTGTGATTCATTCATTTACGAGATTTTTAGTCTTTCAAAATACTAACCTTACCAATGTTTTCAAATAAACCATTGGATATGATTTAATATACCTGTTATAAAATTATTTAATAACTGTAATTATTCATGTATAGAAAATTGTGACTCATTTTGCCCTCAGGAAGACTCTCAGTTCGAGATAGGAGATGGTAAGACTCATGGAGGATACTACAACTGTCCATTGAAGTTTCAGGAGTCTTATTATCTAGGCATGATGGCAGTGACGGAACTCTTAGGTGAGTGTTCAGTCTTAAGTATTTTCTGTTATCTTACACCACGTCATCACACATCAACTTATCGTGTATTTCCTCCCCATCTTCTTATTTTAATGTGTTTTAACGCTACCTTCATCCCTCTTATGTATACACTTCCTTCTCCTAACTCGTGTACAGTACTCACATTAACTCTCCCTCAGTTGCGTTCATTTCCAAAGCTTCAAGCATCAAGGACTTTTTCCCCTGTGTGATGTGTAGTGAGTGAAGCAACTGTTATTTGTTTGTGTGAAGACGAGATAAAATGAAAGCTCCCTTCTCATTTGTTAACATTCAGCAGCTAAACTGACCTTTAGTTAATAAGCCGAACATGTTTTTCACGGATAAATAAAAATAAATTCTGTTAACCATGCCATTTATATATAGTTGGATTATCATTTAATATAACATAGCAGCTTTTGGTCCCGTAAACATTTAGTCGGGAGTGAAGTGAGATGTTACCATAGTCTTGATATATATATATATATATATATATATATATATATATATATATATATATATATATATATATATATATATATATATATATATATATATATATATATATATATATATATATATATATATATATATATATATATATATATATATATATATATATATATATATATATACAGTATATATTTATCCTCATTTGACCATTAATGATGCAAGTAAATATTTTCCATTTTAACAATATATCACTATTGTATTTTACAGGTAAGAGGAGTTTTGCATGGACAGTGTTAACAACGAGTGAGAGAGTAGTACCTTTCACTCGTAAAGGCCTATACTGGATACCCATATTGATTGTCCTGCTGCTCATCGTTATCGCTGTAGCTGTTGTTGCTTGCTATATGTTAGTATACCAGGGTCTCAAGTATCACTGTAAATCATATTTTATGTATAAATCACTTCTGTCATTATGAGTTGTAAATAATACTTCTTTTGGCCCCTTCTCCTAAAGGCTACGACACAACTACTACCACACAACCACTAAGATAACACACAACCACTAAGATAACACATAACCACTAATATAACACAAATAGAACAGAAAATAGTATATTTTCTGTGATATTGAAGAGTGGTAGATGCAGTTACCATAAATATAGCAACAGGGTTTTTTTTTATGTACCGTTATAATCTTAATTATCGTTGTGTTTATTTTTTGTTTATGGAAATATTCAATCGTTGGTAAATATCGTATATACTTATTAAGAAGATCAAACCCTTTATTTACAGGTACTGGAGACGTCCTGCAAGGTTGGAATCATTAGGCTTCTTTAGGAAAGGTACGGTATACTGTATTGAACAAATTCATATAAATTTCTGTGTTTATTTTTCTAACAAATAAACAGTGTGACAGATACTTCCTCACAGTGGTAGTCGGGGTAATTTTACCAGTGAGGATCGGTGCCTGTCATGTGCTTTGGAGACATCACCATTGGAGTCTATTGAAAGATAGATTGAATGTGTGAGGAGTGAGAGAAAATGACAAGTAGAGTAGTTAACTTAATAATTTTTTTGGTGTGATCTCTTGCATGTTTGTAGTTACCGAGAGTCTGTTCATCTCCATTATACCTTTTCTTGTAATATACAGCAATATACTGGCACTGTTGAACCTTCTGATATCCGTGATGTGCTGAACAGTACATCACGGGTCACTATGGTCAGCATACATCAAGACATTCGTAGAGCTTTATTGACCATGTATACAATTGAATTAAATTTGAACAATTTGCAAACCGTATTTGAATTGTGATGATATTTCGCTTTCTTACAGGGAACAGCAACAATGGTCTTCACAGCGGAAATGAGACTTCAGCTGACAGTGACAGCACACATCCGACCCCACTGAGTCCTGCCGTCCACTTTTCATCTAAAAAAAACACCTCACTGGAATCTTGCACATTTCAAGTGAATATTCCCTCTGTACTATCTTTATCTAAAAGAATTTTAATGTGTGTGAGTGTGTGTGTGTGTGTGTGTGTGTGTTTAGATATGCACATGTATTATTGGTATACATAGCGTTGATCATTGTAAGAATGATATCAGGGAGGAACAGTAACAAATCACAACATGAATATAAAATGTTGTGCTTGTCACGCTTATTTAAGGGTTACACTGTTTATTATACCTAAGTAGATATATAATTCCTTTGGTCTCGAGGCAGACAACTCTGAAAAAGGTCACTTCACATTAATGATGGACAAGATGTTATAGGATTATAAAAAGTTTAACCACTACATCTTAAGTTTGCTCATGCGATAGAGAAAACATACCCACGTAACTCCACACAAGAGAGAGGTGTTGCATATTACGAACTGAAGGTAAATCTCATTATTTTCCCATTTACAGAGTACTGAAAAATTATCAATAAGTGAACCTACTTATGAGAACCTCGCTACAGAGGAGATCTATGGTAACTTGACGGCCAGAGTCCCACGAGAAAATGTTGAAGCTTACCTGAACATGACCATCAGATCTCGAGATGTTAGTGAGGAGTTCAAGGTTAGTTAAGCTCCCTAGATAGTATTGTCTTTACCTTATGACCAACAGAGAATTTAGGGAATTTTAGTCAGATGCCTCCAACTGTATTATGAGAGCAGAGATTTGACAGATACTGTACAGTTCATATATATAACATGCATAATTAGTTCCTGGTCATTTCCTGTCTTGCGTGAAGTTTCTATTACCCTTGATCCACTTCCTGTTACCCTTGATCCACCTCCTGTTACCCTTGATCCACCTCCTGTTACCCTTGATCCACCTCCTGTTACCCTTGATCCACCTCTTGTTACCCTTGATCCACCTCTTGTTACCCTTGATCCACCTCCTGTTACCCTTGATCCACCTCCTGTTACCCTTGATCCACCTCTTGTTAACCTTGATCCACCTCTTGTTACCCTTGATCCACCTCTTGTTACCCTTGATCCACCTCCTGTTACCCTTGATCCACCTCCTGTTACCCTTGATCCACCTCCTGTTACCCTTGATCCACCTCTTGTTACCCCAGTCCACCTCTTGTTACCCTTGATCCACCTCCTGTTACCCCGATCCACCTCCTGTTACCATTGATCCACCTCCTGTTACCTTGACCCACCTCTTGTTACCAGTCCACCTCCTGTTACCCTTGATCCACCCTTCCTGTTACCCTTGATCCACCTCCTGTTACCCTTGATCCACCTCCTGTTACCCTTGATCCATTCCACCTCCTGTTCCTTGATCCACCCTTGATCCACCTCCTGTACCCACCTCCTGTTACCTCCTGTTGATCCACCTCTTGTTACCCTTGATCCACCTCTTACCCTTGATCCACCTCTTTTACCCTTGATTACCTCTTGTTACCCTTGATCCACCTCTTGTTACCCTTGATCCACCTCTTACCCTTGATCCACCTCTTGTTACCCTTGATCCACCTCTTGTTACCCTTGATCCACCTCCTGTTACCCTTGATCCACCTCTTGTTACCCTTGATCCACCTCTTACCCTTGATCCACCTCTTGTTACCCTTGATCCACCTCTTGTTACCCTTGATCCACCTCCTGTTACCCATATTGTATAAGTATCTTCATGCCCAGTGACTGACTCTTGTACACAGTCACTCGTGTATGATGACTTAAGAGTACGAATGATAATGATACACCGATGTAGTGACCATAATTTGTTCTTATTTTCAGGTTCACGTGATTTTTCTTTTTGTTTTATTTTTTTCGGGATGACGCGATGGAATGATATTTATCCATTTTTAAATTTTTTATTCTAATACGACCATAGAATTTAGGGTACACAGAGATTAAAGAACTCGTGTATAACAGCCCTCAGAAGAGCCACAAACGCCTGCCTGATAAAGTTATTCACAAAGATCAAGACTACCTCAGTAGTCCTTTCCTGAGATACCAAAAGATAAGCCAATACACCTCAGGCAGCATCGTTCACATAGAGGAATAAAGAAAGAGTAAAAACAAAAGGGGGCATTAGTCTACGTATGTCCATATATGCTCTCTTTCAGTCATTTCTTCCACTCCTTGGAACATTCTACATGTGAACCTCCTCCCAATTGTTCCGATGCACAAGTATCTATACTGAATAAAAAACATCCCTCAGTCTCGATTGTCTTCCACAGTAATCCTAAAGGGGGTTAACAACTCTCTTAGTCGCCCTCTGAAAGGGTGGACGTGTAAGTGCAGCCACAGTCGCTCAGGCATTGAAGACAGCAAATGTGACGTTTTCAAAGTGAGCAACAAATCCCTGCAAACTCACAAGCTGCCATCTTCACCTATGACATGGGAAAGGTCTTTAATGCCCTTTTTACTTTATCCCTTTAACACTGTTGAATATATTGGACATAAATGGGGTGTTGGTGGTACAGCGTTAAACTCGCGTGTTCCTCACTACTGTCTTGATCTCAATTGCCACCCCGGAACATGTGTGAGGAAGGTGTTATCCAATGTGATCCTCTGAAACATCGCAGGTTCTCTCTGGGTACTCCGGGTTTCTCCTTTACCAGAAACTGAACAATGAAGGACAAATTCATGAGATGAAACAATGGGTGGATTAAATAAGCCACCAGCTTCCTTTCCACACCAAAGCAGTAAACTGTGCAGCTCTTATTACATGCTGTTGGCAAGCACTTGTACTGGGCAAGTTAGTCAAGTCTGGACTTAACAAGTACGCCAGAATAAAAGAATACAGAAACATTTATACTAAGTGGCATCACCAAGAGAACTCCAGTAAGGGTTCAGGAAAGGCAGGTCCTGCATCACCAAGGTATTGATAACGATCGTTAGCTGGACACATGGCAAATGGTGGGTCGTTTGTTTTCAATTTGCAAAAGTTTTTGGTACTATTCCAGAGGGATGCTTCATTAGAAAGCTAAATGACTAGAAACAGAGGACCACCCCTTCAGTTAATTAAATTGTGGTGTCTAAAGATAGTAAGCTTGGGTTCATATACTGTAGCTGAGGCTGTTGACCTCCCACACAGAACTCTCCATCACACAGCTGAACAAGGCTTCAACTTCAGGTCCAGTACGTTTGTGTACAACACTTTGACTACTACATCAATGTGTGGTCACCCCCCTGGAGTACTACATCAAGGTGTGGTCACCCCTCTGGAGGGGCATGTACTCAGCCCAACAAGCCAAGACCTTAGTTAAATTGTACAAAATAACTCTTCTTCACACACTGAGAATTGGATCCTGGGAATAATTTACTGTCCATTGTTGTTAATTAAAAACTATAGATAAACTTTTAAGAAATGTTACAATGCAAATATAGGCACTAATACAAAGGCTGGCAAATAATATTTGTATGATTCATTGATTGGTTAACGTATGTACTGTATAGCCACCAGTGTATTTAAGACTACACACACAGAATACGTTAAGGGAAATAATGTTTACTGTGCGTGTTAATTTAACCTTTTCTTGTTTTCTCCATTTGTTACTTGAAGCTAATACAATGTTAAATACAGTATACAATGTGATTTTTTTGTGCTGCAATAATTGGATTTACATGTTGCTTTCCTGACAGAGTGTTTCATATAACTACAACAAAACCACAGAAGCAGGACAACTCTTGCCCAATAAGCATAAGAATCGCTACAAGAACAACCTGCCAAGTTAGTATTACAATATATGTCGTCCATAATACTGCAGTGAATGTAGATTTTGCAATTTCTTTTTCTTCCTCTTTGTCATTCAGTCAACTTTTTTGTCAAAATCCAGTATATCAGTTACTTTATATCAGCATTTATCTATTCACCTGTTTAACTATATCTATCATCTCATTTGTCATAATATCTATTATTCCAGTTTATTCAATTTCTATATTTCTATAAACTGACTCTCTCAATTTAACTGTCAGTTTATCTTTGCTTTATCATTTTCACCACTGATCAGTCGGCCTGTTAACAACTTGGGCAGTCACTCGCGTCTCTTGTTATGCACTGTTGGCAAGTACTGAGCATTTAATGGCTCCAGAATGTAACTGAACCTGTGCCAGTGTTGGTCTAGTCTGATCTTAAAATGGGTGTGACAACTTTTTCTGGTAGATTATTCTTTTAGTTCACCAACTCTCACTCCAAAACAATTTGCCCCGACAATTTTCTGATTTTGTTGTTTCTTCAACCTTAAACTGTGTCCCCTAGTAAAGCGGACTTCTGCTAGTTCCAGGTATGAACGCTCGACTGGGTAATGTCCTCTGAGGTGCTTATAGACTGCTATTAAGTCACATCTTGCCCGTCTATTGTATAAGTTAGGCATCTGCAAGTGTTGAAATCTCTCTGGGTGCCAAAGGTGCTAGAGTGTAAGTGCCAATCTGGTGGCCCTCTGGAAATTTTATATCTGACTGACTCTAGAATATCTCAGGGATCAAACGGGCTGATAGTTCAATTTTCCAAATGGGAAAGCATCCCTCTTTTGAAGAGAGCTATGAGAGACAGGCCATCTAAGTTTATGAACGCCCTTCTTATAGGACCTACGAGCTTAGTTGCTTTATTTACTTTCTTCTCCCGCTGGTCCGATAATTTCAGCTCTTTGTCACCATGAACACCCAGGTCCTTTTCACATTTGGCCTCAGTTAATGTTTCCTCGTCCTGTTTGGTCACGAAATAAACATCCTTATAAATGATACGATTCAGGTGCATTGTTTTGCATTTTGTAACATTGGATCTTAATATCCATTATCCATTCCTTTGACCACTCCTGAAGCTTACAGAGATCTTCCTGTAGTGCTTCTCAGTCTGTTTAGTTCTTCATTTCCCTGAATAAATTAGCATCGTCTGCAAACAATTATATGGACGAATGTATAACATAAGGCAAATATAATTTATGAAACAATCAAGCAACAGCAGTCCCAGAACACAGCCCTGAGGTAGCCGACATGCCACGGGTATAATTGACGATTTCGTACCAATAATCACCACACACTGCTGGCGGTTCAGCCTTTCATGAGGTAAGCTATCGAAAGACTTGTCACCACGCTCCAGGAGTGACCAGGCATAAAAACATGTTGGCATTCCTTTACAAGTTTGTTTCATAGTAAATGTTTCATCACAACATCTCGTATAATGCAGAAGAGGATTTAATAACTTTGCAGATTCACTGAACTGATCAGTGTTTCTGTTAACGTGTATCATAATACGTTCCTACTGGGCTGCTGGCCCATGTCATTGTACAGTTGTACTGTACATATTACTTTTTCACACTTTTGCAAGACCTCTCCCACTATATTGCAGGATGGATGAAACAGAGAGCAAATACGGCTTTCGTCATTGTTGTCTCCCAATCATTCTTACTGCAGTAAATCAATGAAAGCTGTGCTCTTCAACTACAGTGACCCCTCGTTTAACGAATGCCTCGGTTAACGAAATTTCGGTTAACGAACTGCCTTCCATAAGGATCTTCAATTCGGTTAACAAATTTCTTACGAACCGACCTCAACATGTTTTCGCTTCCACTGACTGGGCAACCAGCTTTAGTATCAGTCCGCCAATACATTAATCGGTTCTAGGGCTTAAATTCCTTACTATTTTAGTAAATATCAAGAAGTTTATACTATTCAATAATTTTAAAAGTTTAATATTAAATTTTTTAGTCATTTTAACAATTATTGAACATAATTGAAGGTAAAGTGACTAGTTTAATGCGCGGCATCCAGCCTCTTAACACAGCAAACAGGCGTTAATCTCTCTCTGTTTTCACTGGAGGTAACATCTTGCTTGAGACTCTCTTCAACTAAATGCTTTTTTTCTGTTTCCAAGCAAATTATTGGTCATTTTGAATTATATTTTACATATTGACAATATATAATGCAATGCAGTGTTGATTTAAAAAAATAATCTTGAATTACACCAAGAGAGCTAAAATTTTATGGGTGAAATGGCGCCATGGGGTGACTTCTCTTCCACCCCAATGCCTTCTCTTCTTCCTTCTCCTCCACCCCCATTCTAAATCCCATCATCATCATCATCATCCAGGAGCCTTCTACATACACACCTCAAAGTAAGTGAACTTTTCTACCATTTTTGCTGAATTTAGGAAATTTTTGGTGAGCTGGAACCAATTACCCAAAAACCCATTGAAACAATGGTTTCGGTTAACGAACTTTTCGGTTAACGAACGACCTTCTGGAACGGATTGAATTCGTTAACCGAGGGGTCACTGTAATTGCAAACTTCACTGCTTTCTGGATGTCCATCCAGTCACTTCTGGTGTGTTTACTGCCCCATTCTTCTATAAAAACAATAATAATAATAATAATAATTATAATAATAGTACGTAGTAATAATAATAATTATAATAATAATAATAATAATAATAATAATAATAATAATAATAATAATAATAATAATAATAGTCATAATTATTCAGTAAAGTTATCACGTTATCATACAGGTTTACAGTAGGATTAGCATGTTTATAAGCTATGCAGTTATACAGTGCAGCATGAATATAGACACTGCAGGTTTACGGTGCATATAGGTCGTGGGAGTATACTGTTACCTGTGTGCCGAGACAGTGTTGATACACAATGATGGTAAACAGTAAAGCAACTTGACTAAGCACAGCTGTCAGTTGCTTATTTTACAGGAGGTTCCTTTGCTTGGCTTACGCTTAATCTCTAATAGTATGCCTACAGGAGTGTTAGTGAAAGTTTATTAATAGAATTCAACAAGTCTTCCCTTTCCTATTGCTGTATCTTTGTTAATCGATACATACCCAGCCTATATATAGAGTAGAAAATGAAGTATATAAATACAGGTAACTTTACATTGAGAAGTACTGTACTGTATACAGTACTGTATCACACCAAGATTTCAAATATTTTGTACAATACAGTATTTGTTTCTTATAGCCAGACAGTTGTGTGGCATAGAAACTTTTTTGTAATCATATTTAGACAATACTGTACTCTACAGGTTTAAGATTAATAATGAACCAATAATATTAGATACAGTGCCGTATATTCATACTGTAACAGTAATAAAATATTTGAGTTCCGCGGGTCAGTAGTGCCTTCAACATCTGACTCACGGCATTTCTGATACATTGTGTGGTTATACGGCTGGTGTAAGCAGCTGGCCAAAGCCACATAGTGCCTTCCTTCTTACCTAGGAGTATCACTCCATACTGTATACAGTTGGTCCTCACATTACGCGGTTAATGTAACCCGGAGGGTCCCGCGGAAAGTGAGGAACGTGTAAAGTGAACAACATAACATATGGGATTAATTGAAATGGAGTCCAGGCCGATCCCCAAACTCCACTTTTTGACGACACACAACTATGTTGTAGTAAAAATATTATCTTAACTTTATGATGGCATGCACACACAATTAATAATTAAGAGAAATATCAATAATATTAGGTTTTTTAACACTTACATTAGTAGAAAAGATGGCTGGGCACACGGGGATGGGCGGTTGGTTCCGAGGCAGAGGGCAGATTATTGGCCCTCACCTGTATCACTTGTATCAATTGTATCACTATCCACCACAGAGGCTTGCAGGGCCTCTTTGTCAAACCCCCCAAAGTTCATATAAGTCCATATCCTCACTATAATTATCACTATCACTGACTTGGGCCGGCTGTAGTGGGTGGCGGGTGAAGAACTGGTAATGTTTTGATGACTGGGCGACCTTGTGCGCACCATTTTTGCGTCTCTTACACAACATGGCGGATGGCGGGAGGTTTGGATCCAAAAATGGCGCGGCTTGCCAGCCGCTCTCCGCGTAATGGGGTTCACGACCGCGGAATGTGAAAATGTTAGGTTCTGGCAAGGCACCGCGTTAACGGTGAAACGCGGAATGCGGGACCGCTTAATGTGAGGACCAACTGTATTGTAGGAACAACATTATGGGTGTTCGCATTTTCTAACTTGTAGTAATACAGTAGTACTGTAAATAACTTTCGTAACTTGTAATCTTTACAGATGATGACACTAGAGTCATTCTCTCCACGATCAATGATGACCCTTACTCTGACTACATCAACGCTAACCATGTTCCTGTAAGTCCATTATAACTATTTCTGAAAGTAGCTGTCACATACAAGTAAACTCCCCATTGTATCACACTAATGTGTCCAATGTTTGCATTACTAATCAATCCATCTTAACCCTGGGGGAAAATAGGGTTGTGCTCTAAGTCCAAGAAGTCAGTGGGTATATTAGCTAAAATTTCCATGGATTCAATACCTGAGGTGTCCGCTAGGAGCATAAGCCTCATGGAAATTAATTTTTTGGGGTTAATTTTAGTAATAAATGAAAAACTATAAAAGTATACTGTACATTAAGATACCATTTAATGTATTCAACAACATAAAAGCTTCACATTTGCATTGTCTTTGAAATACATTATTTTTTAAGATTCAAAAGTTCATTTATCACAAGTACTCTCTCAACAAACACTTCTCCAACACCTGGGCACGATGGATGTGAGAATGGACAGATTTTTTTTATTAGAATGGACAGAATAGGGCTTGTCTTCTCGGAATGGTTTCAGATTCTTTGTTCATTTTTCAGATTGCATCGTGCTAATAGCGTTCGAGAAGTTTTTGGCGAGTGTACGTCATTATAACATGATGCTGTATATAATCAACATCACCTATAATATTGACAGGGGTATGGCAGGATGCAATACATCGCCTCACAAGGACCCAAAGATGCTAACGTATCCACTATTGCTGACTTCTGGAGGATGATAATGGAACAGAAAATTACAGCTATAATTATGGTTGCCAACTTCATTGAGGGAGGCAGGGTAAGGTGCTCATTTGAAGGGCAAAGTGTGGTGCTGTATTTTACTGTACTTGTTTATATAAATACAAAAAGCTGATAACTATGAATAGGTTGAATCTTTGTTTACTGCGATAATCCCCAACAACTCTGCAGGCCAAGGTTCAAATATTATAATGATAATTACAACAGAATGGGGGAGTTAAATGAAGAAATCGATTGGCCCGACTTGATAAGACATACATTGTGAATACAACCTTGAATATCGTAGATGGTAAAGTAAAGAACTTTATGGGAAAATACATACCCAAGACCAAACCTGTTAGTTCCAGGAAAACTAGGAGATCGTTGTACTGTTATGAACCAAGTGACACTTGAGAAAATTAAAAACACAAAAAAATCTCTTGAGCTTCAAGAGATGATTCACTACCTACTAATGATGAGTGTGACAGAAAGATGTGTCCTAGATATAGAAACCAAGCTAAATCACAGTGAAGAAGGGTGGAGAGAGAGTTCCGGAGATGGATTGTAATCAAGGCTCAGTCAAATTCAGAGGCTTCCTATTGTTTCCCTAAATCAAAATGTCTTGTTTCTTAGTTTGTTTTTACATCTCAAAGATAATGAGCAACATATGGACCTAGAAGGACTATACACTAAAATGAAATGAACCACTCCTTTTGGAAAAGTGAAATTACTATTTAAATTTGCTTCAGTTTGAGGTTCTTACCTTAACTAACTCACAATACCCCAATAATTTTTAGAGCTCACCAATATGTAGTGGTAGAAATTTTAAAAAAGCAGAATTCTAATATATGCGCATTTTGACGAGTCCTCCTTTAACTAATTTGTACACTTTTCTAGAACAAGGTTGGGGAGTACTTCAAACCAGGAGTTACTCTTGAATTTGATGGCTACTATGTCTCAGTCATCCACAGGGAACAGCTGCCACTCTTCACTGTCTCCACTCTGCAGGTGAGTCAGTGTACAGTATTTGTCCCCATCACAATGAATTATGTAATGTTTGCCTCCCATTTTTGTATTTTTTTCTTTACTACTGTGCTAGATTACTAGTCTCTAGATTATTAATGCATCGTTATAGTTGTATTTCATGTGCTTTGGTAGCCTATACCTGGTCACCAATACGCTTTTAATCATTATTTCATGAGTTTTTTACATATGTTTAATAGATAAATTTCATACACAGAAAAATACCATCAGAGAGTTTTTAATGGCATGTGTATAATTTTATCAATATCTAGAGCAGAGAACTATCTTGATAAACCATGAGTATACCTGTACACTAAACTCAGCTTCGAGTGTTTTAAAAATTTCTTCTGTATTAATTTTTCTTGATTCAACGTGAGGGATAAGAAAACTGGGCTGCCATTGTATCTTGAATTTATAATTTATTATTATTATTATTATTATTATTATTACTTTATTTTACTTTATCCTCTTCACCACTGATTGACCTGTTAGCCACTCGGGTAGTAGTTCACATCTCTGTTGCCATTCAGGTGGCTCGACTATTCAGGTCTGTTCATAAGCTGTGTGTGGAGGCAGGCATCAATCTGATAGCTTTAAGGGGGGGGGGGAGGGGGGGGGTTCTCACTCAAGTGGCAGTCTTTAACATATATCAGAGACCAAGGAAAGGGGCAGTACTCAAAGCAACAGACCATTACACTTTTGAAAAGACTTCTTAGAATGAATCATCAAAATACTTTGTTGTGAGTGTTTGTAATAATCCCATTGGGTAAGTAACAACACTTAATATTTGACAATAATCCAAGAGGTCTAGTTTGTTTCTTTACTTCTAATTTATTTCGTTTGCTACTGAGTAACCAGTTAGTCTTTGTTACACACTGTGTAGTGGGCTCCAGTGTTGGTCAAGTCTGGTCTTAAATAAGTTCACTCGGTGCCGTGGCCGTCACAACATTCTCTGGCAGATTATTCCTAAAGTTTACAACTCTCACTTTGAAAAAGATTAACTCTGACAATTTTCTGAACTTGTGGTTTATTCAACCTGAGGCTATGACCTCTAGTGGGTGGCCGAACATTTGGGGTTTCTAGATATGAAACTGAGTAGGGTATGTCCTTTGAGGAACCAGGTACTGTACAGTACTTATAAATTCATATTCAATCACTTTTTGTGCCTTTCAAACGAGTGTTTTGTTGTTGTTGTTGCACGATAGTTGCACATAGTACCAAAACAACATTAAACGGAATGACGTTATACGAGTACAGTACTTAATATATATATATATATATATATATATATATATATATATATATATATATATATATATATATATATATATATATATATATATATATATATATATATATATATATATATATATATATATATAGTGGGGTATGCTATAACGAATCTAATTGGTTCTAGAACCTTGTTCGTTATAGCATTCGTTCGTTATAGGATTAATCCGTTCCAGGCCCCCAAATACAACCACTTAACACTGAAAAATATAATATAAAATTGTAAAAATTGTAAAAAAGTGCATAAATATGCATCTAAACCCCTGAAATAAAGAATATCATTAATACTTGTAATAAAAAAAACAATAAATTAGTAAAAAAAAAAAAAAAAATTTTTAAATAATGTTCGTTGTAGGAGTTTCGTTCGTTATAGCATTCTCAATTTTATAGGTAAAACCGTTCGTTATAGGAATATTCGTAGTAGGATCCGTTCGTTATAGCATACCCCACTGTGTGTATATATATATATATATATATATATATATATATATATATATATATATATATATATATATATATATATATATATATATATATATATATATATATATATATATATATATATATATATATATATATATAATTGTTTACTTTTCTGACAGAAGGATCAGATAGAAAATCTGATATAAACACATTGGACAGGAGATTAACTAAGACGAATTAATATACCGATACTGTATAATATATAATTTTGCCTAAATCCAGTAGGCCTATGATTAATATTAAATTAATTAAAATTATGATCATCAACGATACATAAAACTCAGTACTGTACTGTAGCAGGTATTTATTTTGTAAAAACTAATTTACTTGTCTTTCGTCATCATGCTTATACAAACTTTCTTCTTAAGGTTAAAAAGGATGATTATTCTCTTGATGTGAAGCACTACCATTACGTCAGCTGGCCAGACCATGGCATCCCAGATGAAGCTCATTCAATGGCTCATATGATCAAACACTTCAGAAGTAATGTCTCTCAAGGTATGTTTCACTACACAATACACTACTTGTTACTAGTTGATTTCTATAAATGTTTTCTTTTATTTTACCTTCTTCACCACTTGTCAGCTTTCTAACTACTGTAGTTAAGTTGTCGGTCAGTTCCCTGTTACACAGTGCTGGGCATGTAAGGGACTTTGAATATACAGTATGTAAACATGTTCCATTGTTGGGTAAGGCCTGGACTTGAGAGAGCTCACACTCAGAGTTTTCACAACATTCTCTAGCAGGTTACTTCAAGAGCTCACGACTGTTAATCTAGAGCAGTTAGCTCACACAGTTTTTGGTGCAGTACTGCTGGTTTCTTTAACTAGAGGTTGTGACTTTCAGTAAGGTAGCCATCCACAGTAATAATAATAATAATAATGGAAGTCCCTCAAAATTGAGGATGGCAGGCCCTAGGGCCACCTAGGTGTGAATTTGTTTAAGGTGTAGAAGCTGTCGCCAACACAACAACCACATCCTGAGTTAATGAGCTGCATGACCCAGTATCAAGGAATAGTCTGAGAAGACCAGACAACTCGCCAACTGCACTGGCTAACCATTACCCAGGAATGTGATCCGCAAATCGATTAACATCCAGGTTCCCAATTACTGCTGGGTAGACAGAGGCAAATGGCATAAAGAAACTTGCCCAAAGTTTCACCCTGCCTGGGGATCGAAGATGGGTCCGCTCGCTTGCAAGGCGAGAATGCTGACCATTACACCACAGGTCGCCACAGTACACTTACACTTTTGTATTAAATCATCCTTTACTCTTCAGAAGCATAAACTAGGGGTCTTGGAACAATCTGCCAGTGTTGTGACAGAACCGAGTGTGAGCTCTTTCAATACCAGACTTAACAAGCACTGGAGCAGGTTCAGATACACTCAGGAGCCAGTGCATGCCCAGTACTTGCTAACAGTGCATAACAGAGACGTGACCGACCGCCCAAGTGGCTAACGAGCCAATCAGTAGGTGAAGAGGATAAAAGTATAAAATATAAACAAACAATCGAGTCTCTTGGTAAGTGAGGTGTCTGAGTGCTGTATCAGTGGTAGCCTTTGACCATTTGTTGTCTATTGGCTTTCTTTACCATATCTTGGAGGCCAAGTAAAATTACAAAATTACTTGTGAAAAGTTCTATCAAACACATACCTGTACTCCTGTAACTGGTTATGTATGCAACATCTGTGTATTAATCCACTTAGTTTCTTATCAGGTTTTCCTTCTTACCATAAACAGAAAATATTTGAAAATACAGTACAGTACAGTACTATCAAAATTTCTAGGTAATTAATAATTATCTCAGTCTACCACACGTATAAGTATCTAAGTGTTATTTAATTTACATATACAGTACATTATGATGTGCAATTGCTTTACCTTAAGTTCTCCTCTCCCACAGTAGGTGGCACAGTTGTTCACTGCTCTGCTGGAATTGGGCGAACAGGTACAACTCTACAGGTGCTTCATATGTGTGAAATGCTTACATTGGAAGGAAGTTTCAACCCTATTGAAGTACTGAGAAATCTTAGGAACTCTCGAGCTCGGCTGGTTGAGAACGAGGCACAGTACAACCTCAGCCTTGAAATTTTTGAAGAGGTTCTCTTTGGTGATAAAACCAAAGTTACTCCAAGTGATTTAGTCAACTCTTTAGACAGTTGCCTAGAAGAGAGTGTGGCTCAGTTCAGGAAGATTAAAAATTTGCCATCCCCAGTTACGTACAAAACCTCAAATCCCAGCTTCCGATCTATGGTTCGTAACAAGTCAGTACTGCCCGCAGACTCACGCCGTATCTACTTACATATGATAAATGGACAGCCAGAAACCCAGTATATCAATGCCGTGTGGATCCCGGGTCTTAATCAACAAAGGGCAGTTATAGTCACTGAACATCCCTTACCTGCAACACTGCCCAAATTCTGGAGGCTGGTGGCTGAAGAGAAATGCCCCTTTGTCATTCTCATCAATCAGTTTGATAAACATAGCAAGGTAAATATTGACAATATTCATATCAAAACTAAATTAAGTTAATGAATGCTTGTAATATTTAAATAAAACTCAATTTCTTGCTTAAAATCAAATATTATTCAACTTACACAGGTAGCCTAATGAAACATACTAATGAGTAATTAATGATCTGTAGGAGGAATTCCCTGATGTAATGCCTGCTGAAGGGGAGAAGCAGACCTTTGGTAAACTCACTGTTCATGTACAAGAAGCTCAGCCTTATGGAAACAATCTTATACAATACATTGTAAACATCACTGAGTCAGAGGTACAGTGTTCTGAAAACTTTAATTTAGTTTAACTTCTGACGTGTATTAACATTTTTAAGTCAGACACAATTTTGGATTATTTTTGTTTTGGTTTGTTTTTTCATTTGATTCATCAAACTCAAGGAACAACCAACAAAAAATAGATGAAGATTATATTTTAAATGATATGAGGAATATTTGTGTGAAACTTAATGCAATACTAAACCTCATTTATTTTTCTATTGGAAAAGGTCTGTAAAATGTGAAATAAAGGAGTTCTAAGTTATAAATCAGTGGACAGAGTATTGTAGAGCTTACAGATGAGAGTAGTTTAATATGAGCATCTCATATTAAACTTACATGATTCCAAATTGCAAGGTAGGAAAATTAAGTCTTCAGAATTTTCAAAAGTCCCAAGAATATCTCAAATATAAAACAACTTAAACTATGCAAGTATCCAACAATCAAACTTAAAGGAGATATGTATATTTTATCTTCAGTTAAAAACTACTGTATTTTTCTCTGATAGTTATGTAAACAACTTAAGAAAGTGTTAGAGTTTAGCCATTATATGAAGACCACAAAGGATCCTGTAAATTGGACATACGGTAACTAACATATAAAAAGATTCATATACAGTATCCCTTTATTGCAGACCATAAAACTAAGGGTAAAGGTGTATCAAGTGCTCTCCTGGATGTTTGGTCAAGATGAGCCTCCCACACCTAATATCTTAGTCATTTTAGCAGAGTTGTTGCTAGAAAGTCGTGGTGGTCACTCAGGTTCTCCTCTTCTGTGCTGTGGGTAAGTTTTCTGGGCAAAGTAATTCCCTAGTCATGTGAACAGTGAGTTCATATGAAGTTCTATACTGTAAATTGCCTCAATGATTTAGGACTCACTACACTACAGACACCAACACAGGCAGGTTATACATTATGGTCACTAGAGCGCTCAACAGCCGTTTGATGGGGCTAGAGCTCTCCTTCTGTTAGGGTTACTGTTTAAGACTCTCCAGTGGGTCAAGGTTTTGTACAGCAGGCATTTTACTGTCATTATACAATAGTGCCAGCCCATTTAATCTGTTGACCTTGACCATGTCTTTAGTCGTCGCAAAGAACTAAATGACCTCTAACAGGAGCAAGATCCTAACAGCAATGTGAGCAGTAACTGCAATACAGAAGATATGTTTGTAAAAATTCTTCATTGCAAACATTTACAACAACTGCAAGAGTTTGTTGTTTATTTTTCCACCTCAACACTTCTTGCTGAAGCTCTGATGCAAATGGCAACTCACCCCTAAACTGTACACAGATCTCCTGTTGAATTGCATCTGTCGGGTCACCCAAGTGCTTTGGAGTGAGGTACAGTATGCTTCAAGCATAAGATCTTCAAGTTTTGATGGAAATCTGCTGCTCATGTGAGCAATTACATGGTCCAGAAAGGGATAAAAGAAGATTATCTTGAAGTATGCCTCTGTGTCAATAGAAGGAACGTTGGCTCTGTGAACTTGACGTCCAGCAGACTGAAGCTTACTGGGCTGTACATCTGTGCTGCTAGCATACCAGTACCCAACAGCTTTCTAGTAAAGCTGTGTATGCTGGACTCCACAATGAAAGCCTTTTAATAGTTATCAAATTCTGTGCATCCTCATGAAACTTAAGAGGGTCATAGTTAACAGACTGGAACTGTACAGTGAGAGGTCGAATAAATGCCAGCACATACTGGCATATCACTGCTTATGCTTAGTACACATAAGTTCATGGAGCTGATGTATGACTGTGCATCTGAAGAGGACGACTGTCTTGTTGACTTGTCTTTGATTTCATAAAGTGCATTATTATAGATCGACTCAATATGTTCCAAATATGTGCTTATTGAGTCAACCCTGGACAACCATCTAGTGTCTGACAGTGTTTGGCGATAACCACCTATCATTACAAACCCAAAGTCTCTATTTTCACTTGCATCAGCATCTGCAATTAGATGATCGAGAGCTTCCTATGCTGCTACAAGTGAATTTAAAAATGGCCTTTCTCTCAGTACTGTCATTCAAGAAAAATGTATAAGTTGATGAAAACTGGTCATAAAATTACAAATATGAGGTACACTCTTGCAGCTAGCAACTATGACCAAATTTAGACGGTGAGAAGAACGGTGCGCGTGTGAAGTTTGGCTTTGGGATACATATACCAGAAGCTTCTGCACCTCAGACATATCACCACTCATTGTCGATGCCTCACCAAATTCCTTGTCTTTGATATTTCCCATAGGCAATCCCCAACCAGTCAAAGTTTCATCGGTTGTTGTAGCAAGTCTCAGCATCCACAATTCTTCTAATTCTGCAATAAATTTGGCAGGGAGGGAGGGGGGGGGGCGACTGCCCACCTTCCCTGCTTATAGCTATGGGCCTGTGCAGATTATGTTTAACATTTGCTGTACTTGCCCCAGGCAAGTGACTTTTGAAATTTACTCGTCCTGACAAATTTTGGAAAAATTCGCTTTCTTAGTTTTTCTGGGGGAAAGGTTAAACACACACACACACACACACACAGAGCCCCCTCCTGTCATCTCGCTGGTTGACAGACCTCACTGGCTAAAATTGTATGGAGAGGTGGATTCATACAGCACCTAACATGTGCGCAGATATGAAAACTTTTTGCAATGAAATAAATTCATTGGGTGAAACTGGCATTGGGTAATAATTGTAATGTTACAGAAATATCAACTGTGAAATTGTATTTGTTTAGTAAGGAGAGTAACATTAAAGTTACGAAATTATACAAATTCACACATTTATTTGACAGCAATGGCGTAACTAGCTGTGGGTTAGTGACGGCCATGAGTCTGTTGTTGGAACAGCTGCAGAACGAGCAACTAGTGGATGTCTACAGAACTGTTGTGAAACTGTTGAGGAGTCGACCTCAGTTTATCACTTCTGAGGTAAATCAAGATAGCACTTGGAGTGAAAGAATGCAAGGATATTGTGTAAACACACATACACACATGTACATATATGCCCCACAACATCACACATACACATATATGCCCCACATCACACATACACACATGTACATATATGCCCCACAACATCACACATACTGTACACACATGTACATATATGCCCCACATCACACATACACATATATGCCCCACATCACACATACACACATGTACATATATGTCCCACAACATCACACATACACACATGTACATATATGCCCCACAACATCACACATGTACATATATGCCCCACAACATCACACTTGTACATATATGCCCCACAACATCACACATACACACATACTGTATACATATATATGAACAGTCAGGGACAAAAGTTTGCTCCCCGCGGTGTAACCGAGTCACGGGAATGAGTCTCCAAACTGACGTACCCTGACTGTTGCATCTCGTTTGGGGTCGATGCTGCTTCATTTTGGGAGGGAGCAAACTTTTGACCCCTACTGTACAATACATAACACATATGTTATGTATTGTTGGCAAGTACTGCATGCCCAGTACTTGCCAACAGTGCATAACAGAGAAGTGACCGATCGCCAAAGAGACTAACGAGCCGATCAGTGAAGAGGATAAAAGTAAAGTACATGTTCCTCGACCACACACACACACACACACACACACACACACGTTTCCCCACCACACACACACATGCATGTATGACTTTCTCATTAATACACACATGTATGCCCACACACACATATACTGTACACCAAGACACACATTCAGTACATATACCAAAACACACACACAATGTGAAAATGCTATGCTAATTTTTTCCGGGAAAATATTAAATTAAGATTTTTGCTAAAACATTTCTTCTTTCCAGGCACAATATGCTCTCCTGTATCGTGGAGTTGCAGAATACATCAAGAACTACTCCACCTATGGAAATTTCCAGTAATAAATACAGTTTAATGAGTAAGTGATAATGTGGTGTTGAAAAAAGTATACTGTACCTGGTATACTGTACTGTACATTATATTATTTTAGGCTTCAGAGAACTTATCCAAAGTACTCTACCAACAACTTGTAACTTAATATGAGTTCAACACATGTTTCTGTCTTGCCTAAAGTGAATGACACAGAAAGCAAGACAGGTACAATATTACTTTTTCGATAGCTGTCAAAGATGACATTGGCAGTACGAACAATAAGTTTTATTATACAGGGGTCCTCGTTTAAGTGGTAATAGGGACCAGAAAAAAAAGTCACTTATAATGAAACCACTTATAAATAAGGTGATCAGACGTCCCGTTTTCAGAGCATTCTGACAGCATCTTGATAAAGTCCCGCATAAATTTTGACACAAGAAATTTGAAACATTTATGAGAGAGAGAAAGAGAGGTGGCAAACCCCCAAACAATTGTTAAAATGTATTTGACCAGTTTTGCCTCCTCTTTGTGACATGACTACAAAAATGATCATCAAGCAGCTTGTCATGTGATTTGGCTAGCCAATCATTTTGAAGCAGCCATTATGAAGGCTGAAGCATCCAATTTTAAGGGTTGTGATGGCGCGCGAAAAGTGTTCTCTCCCTTATCTAGCTGTTATTCAGCGGGTTTATCAGAACAATAGTGAAGCAATCCAAATAATACAAGATCATGGTGTCCTACCAACATCAAGACTGTGCCCTACGTGTGACAATTGTTTACTTTTAAAAAAAGACGAAGTACTTTGTCTGTAATTATATGCATACCAGATCGCCCAGCTGTATTTTCCACCACAGTAGCAGGTAAGCTCCAAAAATGGTTAGGTTAGGTTAGTTTTTTGTGTTTCTTTTATGGTGTGTTTTACTCAAACCTGGCCACCATTTTGGTCCAAATTAGCAGTTTGTTACAAATGAAAATGTTCAGTTTTTTTCAAAAACTGTTAATCCTCTCATCTTATTGGTCTCTTGTGCTAATATTTTATGGTACAGGTACAGGTTATATATGGAACTCATAAAATGAAAATTTCTTGAGATTCATACAGTGAAAGCCACATTACAGGTGTATTCTGAAAACGAACATCCCGTTGACCAACAATTACATATAGGGGCAATGCTTGTTTACACTGCCTGTGGTGTCAGCCTGTGCCACTGAGCACAAGTTCCCTGTTGTGCAACAGTCTACAGTACAGTACAGCCCAAATGGGCTACTGTACTTTTGTATATAATTAGTTTAGTTTTAGGATATACATACAGTACATAACTGATTAAATGTATTAAGAGGTGTAAGAATGCCCAATATGAGGGTGTTTGACATAGAGAGGATGATGTTACCAGGTACTGTAGTTTATTATGTACAATAGTATAAGCTGCTGTATACTCTACAATATTGAAGTTTAATTTATAGCTCGGAATGTAAGCTATCATGTACAGTACTGAAGTTTAATCAATGGTTCAGAATATAAGCAAATGTATACTTATGTTTTTTTTATGGCTCAGAATTTAAGCAGCTCGGCATTGAAGTTTCATTTATTGCTCACAGCACTGTATAAAGCACAATATTGTATCGTATTCTGATGTTTAGTTAAATCATTAATGGCTCAACATTTCAGGTAGTGTAATAGTTTTGTCGGTCACGTCTTTGATATGCACTGTTGGCAGATTCTAGGCATGCACTGGCTCATGAATATATCGGAACCTGCTCCAGTGTTGGTCAAGTCTGGCCTTGAATGAGCTCACACTCACGCCATCACAACACTTTCTGAAAGATTGTTACAAGGGTTCACAATTCTCACTCCAAAAAAAGTTTACCATCATTGTTTTTTGGACTTGTGGCTTCTTCAACCTTGAGCAGTGACCCCTTGTGGGGCAGATGTCCGCCAGCTCCAAGTATGTACATTCGACCAAGTAGTGCCCTCCGAGATGTTTATAGCTCGGTAGTTACAAGCGCTCCAATCTCAGGGTAACTGAGATTCCGTATAGCAGGCACCAGTCTGGTGGCCCTTCTTTTGTTAATTTTCAATCTATTGACAATCTCCAGCATACCTCAGGGACCAAACTGGGTGACAGTACTCCAGACGGGGAAGCACCTGACTCTTGAAGATCTTGACGAGCGACGGACCATCCAGATATCTAAACGACCTTCCTATAAAGCCTACTAGTTTTGTTGCCGGATTTACCTTCTTCTCACAATCGCCCGAGAACTTAAAGTTCATTATGGACATACACACCCAGGTCCTTTTCACATTCATTCTCAATTAATGCAGTCTCTTCGTCCTGTTGGAACATGTGATACACTTCCTTATTATTGGTGTGACCCAGGTGCATCCTTTGGCACTTCGTGACATTGAATTTTAGCAGCCATTTCCTCGACCATTTTTAAAGCTCATGGGAATCTTTCTGCAGCTCTTCACAGTCTGTTTGGTTCTAAATTTCCCTAAATAACTTGACATTGTCTGCAAACATTTATATGGAGGAGTGTATAGCTTCTGGCATGTCATTAATGAAACAGACAAACAACTACGGGCCCAGTGATACCCCGCTAGTCACAGGTACACATGACGATTTCTTACCATTTATCACCATGCACTGTTTGCGGGCAGGAAGAATGCCTCTGATCCACTCTAGGACACTTCCCCGAATCCCGTACCCTTCCAGTTTAACTCTCAGCCTTTCATGTGGTACACTTTTGAAAGCCTTGACAAAATCAAGGTATATATTGTCAACATTTCCGCCTTGATCTTGAATTTGAGCTAAGCAGAATCTTCCCGGCATAAAACTTCTTGGCATTCCAGTCGTCGGCTCCTTTTGCTCTTCCAGGCATTTGCAGAACAGGATCCTGGGGCGCTCCACAAGCTCGTTACACAGTTCTCTTAACATTCTGGGTGCACCATAACAGGGCCAGGACTCTTGTGAATCTTTAGCTTTGACAGTTTATTTCTTATAACCTCGTCCGAGAACACGATGTGGGTCAGTACTGTGTCAAACTGTCTTTCCCCAAATGCAGGTAGATTGCTCGCATCCTCTATTGTGGTCCAATATGCCTACTCACGTTTTTAATTTCAACTTTGCGTAGCGGTATAAAGCCTTTGGATTTGACTTGACCTCACTAGCAATCTACCTCGGGAACTCTTTTTCAGCCCTCCTACACTCTGACTTAATCTGGTTCCTGGATTTGGCATACATCCTTCTGTCCTCTCATCATTTGTCCTAACCTGTGTCTTGAAATCTGAGCTTTCTTCTTAAATTTGCCAACCAACACATGGTTCATGTGTAGTTGTCTCCCTGGAGGTACTGGGCTTGAATGGTCTACTTTACTGGCTATGATACTCATAGCAGCATCTGTGTTCTTATTCCTTAGTAAGTCAGACCAGTGTATAGTTGTATACTCCTCATCTCCTCCCTCATCCAATCGTAATTTCCTTTGTAATATTTGAAACTGGACCTGGTTTTGCCTGAACCAAGTAACAGTTAAATCTTAAGGACAACATTATGTGGTGACTGGTACCAACTGGGGCTAAGTATTCCAGATTGGCCACCACACCCTCCTCATTAGTTATGATGAGGTTTAGCGATTTGAGTGTTTGCTCCCCTCTGTAGTGAGTCGAATCTTTAACATGTTGGAGTAGAAAATTGTCCCTCAGAGTTTCTACGAAAAGAGTGGCTGAATTATTTAGGTTCGGACTTTCATTTCAAACATATTTCAAACAAACCCCAATTTAAAAATTTTACGATTCAAATTTTTTCATATCGTGTTCTTTATTATACTGTACAGTACTGTATTGTACAAACAAAAACCCAGGAAATATAAAATATTTGTCGATTTTTTTGTATCATTAAAAGTTTCTGGAGTGAGATAAATAATACCACAAATAGCCATAGTCATATCATGTAAGATATAAATCACTATGTATTGTATATAACTGTGTTTACATTTTTTCATTATTATACTACAATATGATTAGCTTCAAATACAGTAATGATGTTAGTAAATGCCAGTACAGTGCATCAGTGATCAGTGTGACCACTGGGCCATGAGTAGAGAGCATGGCGTGGTTAAGTGCATGACCTACCTGAGCTGCTTGGTGGTCACAGGTGCAGTGATTCCTAAAAGAGTATTCCCGCAAAAAACACGGGATTACTGTATACTATATACACTTGCATAAATACACACACACACACACATTACTATTATCGTATCCAGGGTCTTCCATATCTTCATTACCAAACAATCACAATCCTTCCTTAATTTCTTAAGACACTCAGACCATGACAGGGATGCTTGGATACTCATCTACTCTCAGCCATGACTAAGAAGAAACTGGCAGGCCTAGAGCTAATTTGTGGGTCATGACTGCCTCCCTAAATGCCAGCAAACCAATCAGCAGTAAGATTCAAGGTATGGGCAGGAAAATTTATAGCCGCATATGGTGTGGCCATTGCACTGGCATTGTTTACTGCATAGGGTGTGGGAATCGCATCAATTGAGTTAATCATTCGGTTACGATGGGGATTCTAAGGTCTGTGTGATTTATCCTCTAAGTTGAATGAAAAACATATGTGTACCAAGTTGAATATGTTTATAATTAAATAAAGCTTCCTTCAACAACGTTATTATCGACAACCTTACACCAGTTTACCTTTCATCGTCACTTTGTTGGTCCCAGCCTTGTAGTGTAGGCTCCTTGTAGAAGTTCTCTGCCAGCACACTCCATCTTGGTTTCTTCTTAGGTGGTAGATCCACTAGTTCTTCTTTGATTTCCTTTAAAAGATAAATCAAGTATTATCATTGTTACTATTATCCCTGTACTTTGACATTCACATTGACATAAGAATATATCCCTCCCTTTCAAACAGCAAGGTCCTCCTGTATTTGTTACTAATATGTAGAGGAGTACAGAATTAAATGCTTCAATGATATCTACTGTTACAATGACTCTATGAAGAAGTGTGCGAGGTACTTTTTATCAAAACAATTCAGGATAAATTGTTTGGATAAAGAGGTGAATGGTGGTATATAATAATAATGGTTGACCCTCATGTTTGAGGATGGCCAGCCCTAAGGCCACCAAGGTGTTAAGTTGTTTAAAGCGTAGAAGGTGTCGTCAATACAACAATCACACTCTTAAGTTAACAATTTGCATAAACTAGTGTCAAGGAATAGTCTAAGATGACGAGACAACTCACTAACTGCACAGGCTAACCATTAGCCTGGAATATGATCAGCAAATCAAATCACATCCAGGTTCCCAGAGGCAAAACAAAGTTTCATCCTGTCTGCGGAACAAACCCGGAACCACTCACTCGTAAGGTGAGCATACTGACCATTACACCACAAGTTGCAATGGTGGTACTGTCATGTACTGTATAGTGTTGGGTCTACAGTAGATAATGTATTGGGGGATGGGATGTGTGGGTTGACTTTTCCGAGTACAAGTTTCTGCAGGAGAAAGATGGATGCTGCAGGGGGATGGGTGTTGGAGAGGGAAGGGTGCTGGTGAAGGAAGGCTGCTAGAGCAGGAAGGATTCAGGTGAAGGTGGTGCTGGAGAGGGACATCTCAACATGGTGGCACCGACACCATTGCAGAGAAAAGCGAGTGAAGGATGAACTATGGATGCAGCTCCTCCCCCCCTTGACTATGCACAAAATGCAAATGTGCCTCAACTCTCCCTTCTTATCAGAGATAGTAGAGCCTGGCCGTCATGAGGATGCAATGCTTCCACAATGGATGAGTTGTCGGTTCAGAGCAAACACAAGAAATACACTCTGCCATGTTCCTAGAGTGATACAGTATATATAATTTGTAATAAAGTTTAAAGTCCTGCTATAATAGTTTCCCTGCAGACGACGTTCTCCATCAAACTCCCCGCTGCAGTCAGGGGTAGTATAAGGATGGCCTCTTCAGACCCCAAAGGCCATGTTCAGGTAAGTTTAAAGGGTGTTATTTTATGGTCTAAGTCATGGACATTTCTTAAGACAAGAAATATGCCGTGAAGAACAGCATATGGACATAAAAAACTCCCATGTTCACACCAGCTCAGCTGTCATGTATTCTGACCTGGAAGACTCTCTTTTTTTTTCAGTGCCTTTACAGAGTATATCAGTACTAGATGAAGATATGAGTCAATTTAGAAGTAATGCCATTGTCTGGACTTTGTTTTGAGAATGCATTGGGATACATCATTATTTATATTAATTAATGGGTAAAATTTTACTTTAACTACCATAAGTATTTGGACATTTAGATTCAAGATAGGCTATATTGGGTAAATTTTAAGTTTTGGTCATCCCTGTACTTAGATATGCAGACTGTTTCTTCTGATGTGTTATTAACGATTTATACTGTACCTTCATTTCTATCGGAAATTACTAGTTTTCAGTTACTACCCCCCCCCCCCTTACTGGTATATTAAGCTAACCTTATAACTTATAATATAACTCATCATACCTTAACCTAACTTAACATATGACCTTTTTTTATGCGACAAAAAATGTTTTGTGACAGAAATCCAGTACAGATAATGTCTTATTGTTTAAAGTACTGTACTTAATCCCACAGTGAGAATCTTAAAGTTCCCCAGATGACCAAAACCAAAATAATACCAATGTTGTTATAATGTTTATACAGTAGGGTCGTTATATCGCAACTATCAAAATCATCGACATTTTCCAATACATACCCTGTAGAGCTAAATCTATTTATTTCACGAGGGAAATCGGGCAGGAAATATTTAAAATTTACCGCCATGGCAAACAAATGCGATGTTTGCTCACCAGAGGCACCACCATGGCTACTCACTCACACATTCAAGCTCGCCCGCACAGTCTTTCCGAGTGAGTGACGGGTCAACACCCGACTCTGCTACAGATTCCGACTTCTAAGGCGAGTATAAATGGGTTGCCAGTGACGTGAAAAGTGAAGTGAAGAGAATGGAAAGCTTAATGGAAAAGATTTCATACTGTAACTAATATTTTTGGTTTGTTCGTTTATGTAGGTGAGGTATTGTCAAGTGAGGATGGCAGTGTGGCATCAGCTGCCGAGTCTGGTGTTCCTTGATATTGATACTGAAACCGTCTGGTGTTCCCGAGTCTAGTGTTCATTGGTGCTTTAGTTAGTAAGAAAATAAACTCGTTAAGTCAAGCTAAGTCACTTTTATTGGCCTCCAGAACCTAACACTATTTTCCCCTTTGATTACATGTAATTATATATGGCGATTTAGTATATAGCGAACATCCTTGGACCCTATCTCACAATATATCCCAACCCTACTGTACTATGAAATTTGTAGTAGGGGCAGCTAATATCCATTGAAGCACAATTAATTATCCAATAATATTTATTTACAGACCCGATCAGCCGATAAGGTTGGACAACTAATTTCAGGGTTTATCAAGACAGATGAAAGAAATTCACGAAAAGTAGATGTCTTTATGATTGTAGAGTATTATTAAGAACTCCACCATCCAGCTATGAAGCACGTTAAATTACATCTGTCATCTGATCATCTCAAGCCCATCCCTTGGCCATGGTCGTCCCTAGTCCTCCCACAACATTAAATATAGACACCAGTGACAAAAACTTACATTTTCCAGACATGAAATAGAGAACAATGATGAATACTTGTACGTTGGAGTTACCGGCATTTTGCATCATTTTGGCAGCCAGCAAATAAATACACACGGTGATACTTGAGCAGTAATTTATTTTAATCTAAAAATAAGGTATGACTGTGTATATCAACATTGCATATGGCCACAAGTCCTGTATTTCTGCTGGTAACAACACACATACACCACAGCTGGCTGCCTCCAGGCTCCCGCTCAGCTGCTCGAGCCAATCACAGATCTTTTCACAATCACGTGACTTTTTAGCAACTTTAACCCTTATTTTTTTATACTTTTTGGCTCAATTTATTTAAAAATATCATTACCATAGTTAATTTATGCATTTTCTTTACCCATTGACCTGCCATCTTACGAAAAAATTCTGACCAATAACTCATCCATTGGCTCATGTACCTCAAGACCAACTGCCTCGCTTACCGATTTAATAGACTCCTCTTCCTGGGGTGCATTAACCTTTTCTCCTTGCTGCTTCAAAACTTCTAAGAAAGCTTCTTTGCCAGTAGTCTCTAATACTTTTTCACGTCCCATAATACTCCGAGTTTCTGATAGTTTCCGCTGGATCATATTCTTGTGTTTTTCAATGGCACTGAACAACTGCACTACACCCCTGTTGGAAAAAAATTCATGGTAACATGGTCTTATTTATCATGTATTTATATAGTCTTTGTTGAGTAGTGTTGTTCATCATTCAAGAAAGGGGGATTATACTAAATTAGGTTTTCATAACTCAGGCCAGATTAGGTAAGGTTAGGGTGTGTTAGATTAAGCAAAGAGGAAATCAAAATAAAGCTAACTGCCATTATATTATGGAGAAGTTAGATCAGGCAGAATATGGAAAAATCTCAGTGAAGTAGCTACATTACTGTACAGTACTTGTAATATCAGAAGGAGTGAACAGAACACAGGATGCTCAACCAAATTTACACAAAGTTGGCAGCTCAGGGAGTTTCAACCCTGCCTTGCCAACTGAAATGAGGGTTGATGACAGAATGGGTATCCAAGTGTAAAACTTGTTTTTAATATGTCTGATGGCAACCGGTACATCATGCCATTACGTAATCATGGCATGGAAAATGACCATAAAATGATGATAATAGTAATGTAATGGAGGAGAAGGGAAAATTAATGAGGCAAAGCACAAGTCTAATTCCATTAATCATCTTTATTCTTCTTCCATTTTTGTGAGGTATTGGTCAAAGGAAATACAAACCTCAAGAAAGATGAGAAATGGTAGAGGAGAAAGATTCAAGACTAGTGCACCTAGTGACAGGGAAGGGCTGAAAACCTAAGCATAAATACCCTTACTCTATCCATTTTTCTAAATACAGTTGCTAGCTGAAGAATGTACTTCAAAGTAAGAAGTGTCAAGTTAGCCACTAGTATTATAATACCCATGAATGTTAATCACAAAGCATGGAGTAGACTTGAGGGCAGACTCAAATTTTTAAGAAATTTGTTTCATTATTTGTGAGAGGATGTGTTTTGTGTGTGTGTATTTACACACACACACACACATATATATATATACAATACAGGTAAAAGAAATAATTGTCCTAAGGGCAAACACCTAAAGGGAATATACATTTCTTTGTACACAAGTAAAAACCCATTTTGAGAACCTAACCCTCATTAATTTGAAGGGCATAATTTAAAGGACATGCTGTATTTCAAATATTCATATACTGTGTGTACATGGTATAACACAGTACAGTTCTGTACTGTACTATGCTCTAACGTGACTTAGAAAAAAAACGATAAAATACGAAAAATTAAGTGGGAAAACAAATCTGCGGGGAAAAGGTAGGTAAGGCAGTTTATGGGAGGTTGCACTCAGTGGAAAATTCCATCACCTTTCAACCCCATCAAAACAACACTGTAATTTTACCATATTCCCATATTATTTCGGCACATTTGGTGCCGGATTAATAAAAAAAATTTAAAATAAAAAATTTTCACGTGGAAAAAAAATTACACTCCACCCCAGATGAGTTAGAGTACAGGTACACCTCGATAAATGATGGGGTTAGGTTCCTGAAAAACCCATGGCTATGTGAAATATCGTAAATAGGGAGCATTATAATGAAGGTTCAACGAGATACATTCCCAGCCAGCCCCCAAACACTTATCACTGACTAAAAACCAATAGAAAACAATTAAACAACACACACCACATCCTGAAGAATAAGCCTGGTAATTGTACAAATTTATTGATTCTATGTCTATAAATAATAATTAGAGTAATTTAGACATTATTTAATTATTATAACAACAGGATATAAAACTTATTTGGGCTCTTCAAGGCTCAGGAACATAACATATTTTCCCCACAAGTTATTAATATCAATAAAGTTGTACAGTATGTGATCAATCACATAGAGATGATTTTCTTTAGGTCCCTAACCCCAACGTATAACAGCCACTACCTATACAGTATAGTATATACTTAAGATACTCACTGTGTAGCCAACACCCTGAGACGTCTCTCTTTCTCCCGGTCTTCTTTTACGTTTGGTTTCACTCTGAACCTATTTTCCCAAATTTTTTTCTGAAATAGGATAAAAGTACAGTAATTAAAATGCGAGTTTAAATCATCTATAAAAAGAATACCGAAAAAAAATCACTTAAATAAAACACAAAAACTCATTTCATGTCCTACACCTTATATGAGGAGCTCCAGACCATAACCTGCTAAGAGCCATACTGTCATTGAAATGTGTTATGTATTGCATTGTAATACCCAATCTCTTCTCTGTACCCTGGATAAGTCAGAGAGCCAATTGGAAAGCTGTACATGTGGGTGAGAGTCCTCTGAAAAGATTTCTAGGTCACATTCCTACCTGAGCATCTTCCTTTATTATCTGTTTTGGTACTTAGTAGTGCCTGAGCTGTATGGGCATAGCTTGTGCTGTGCAACATTCTGACTCATTAGCTGTGGCTTTTTACTCACCATACTATGGGCATCCCAGGGTTCCTAAGTAAGCCCCAAGCCTAAGGTGGACATGATCACAAGTCATTCCAAGCAGATTTAATTAATAATGTAACACATATACAGTACAGTATAATAGTACCCATAGGTCTCTATTAAGTGAAAGTGGGTCCTATAATCTTGATGGTCTATCAAGGACAGTGTGGATAATATACAGAACTGTACACTGTTTACTTCACAACCTTTCAGTACACAATGAGGCAGCATGACTGGCATGGAATTTGACTACCTACACTTCCCAAACTATAAAGTCAGGGACCCATTTACAGCTGGGATGACTAAGGACAGCCTGAGATTAAACCAGCACCCCTCTGGACAAGAAGGGAGTAAAGTACTGTATCTGCTCAGCCACAGCATCTCCCTCTAACATGTTATTAGAGTTAACTTACCCGCAACTCTCTCTCGTGTAATGTTTCTGTGGCTTTCTGGTCCTCATTCTCCAACTTAATATTTGGTTCTTTCTTTACTTTTCCGCTGTCGTCGACGACCTCAAAACTGTCACCACTCGCGTCATCAACTGGCTTTGTAATTTTCTCATTTTTCTTTGCTTTTGATAAAATCACATTGTCTGACTTCTTTGTTCCCAAGATCCTAGTCATCACATTTGCAAGCCCTGAGCTGCCATCCTCCTTGTTATTATCTCCATCACTTTCAACACCACTTTCACTTTCATCACCACCAAAATCATCCTTGTAAACTTCACTTGCATCACTGTCATTATCATCATTGTCACCAGAGTCCATCTCTGATTCATCACTGGGGTCTTCCACTGCACCGATAGTTTTCAGAGATTCCTCTGTTGGAACGGATTTATTATTTACACTGTCATCTTCATTATCACTGACATCCTCTTCCTTTATCTCATCACAGCTACTATGGTCCTGTGCTTTATGCTCTTTATCATCCAATTCAAGTATTTCCTCTACCGTTCCTTTTAAAATACCTTCCTCTTCCTGCTTAATATCTTCTAAGCTATGTAATTCTGCTTCAGCTTCCACATCGCTACCATTTCCTGATTCTTCATCACTACCACTATCTTCAGACTCCAATATATCTTCAACAACTTGAGGTTTTTTCAAAAGATTACCATGTGAGATAGCCATGGCTGCATAACCTGGAAATGAAATGAAGAAAATAGCAATTCAATTTCTGGTAATACAGAACAATTAAAGAAACAACATAATATCTGACCTGGAGGTAACACATCCACTGGGTCCGACTAATTACCCAAATGTCCCCAAATGTAGCCTCAATGAAGTCAAATAATGGTCCTACATGAATAAATCGGGTTACCAATCACTTCTCGACTAGTATTTGGTGTCACAAAGTAAAAAAAAATTGGAAAACGTAATTTAATTTGAGTTAATAGATCAAGTGCATGTACCTAACCTAACCTAATCTAACCTAACCTAACACAACTCAGATTAAATTAAGTTTACCAATTTTTTGTGACTTTATGACACCAAATAATAATCGAGAAGTGATTCACAGCCCAATTTACGCTTGTACGACCATCATTTGACTTCATTGCGGCTACATTTGGGTAATTACTCGCTCCCTCGGTACATGCACGCGATCTATTAACTCAGATGAAAGTAAGTTTTCCAATTTTTTGTGTCACCAAATACTAGTCGAGAAGTGATTAGCAGTCCGACTTATTCATGTAGGACAATTATTTGACTTCATTGCGGCTACATTTGGGTTCATTAGGGTAATTAGAGGGACCCCTTCTACACCTTTACCCCATAACTCCAGTTACCCATGTGAGTGTGGATTGAATTACTTACCAAATTTTTCCCAGCGACTGCCCAGTGTATTTACAATAAGTCAACCAGGCTCAGCTATGTTCCTGCGTATTATTTCTGTAGACCTATGCGTTCCTTGCTTAATAATTAAAGCTGAGCCAAGTAACGTGTTGCACCAGGCAGCACCACAACAAACACTGGCCGCCTTCAGTGCCGTTCACATTAATTCATCTTATACATAGACAGCATGTGTTTATGAACAATGGTTAACAGTAAGTCCATTTAGTACAGTTATTATGGGTTTGAGTCCTTTACCGGCTGTACGTGAGATGTTAGTTAAGTAACCAACAAAAACTTTCTTTCAGGTACTCATCGAGATAATCTGTTTTTAAATTTGTAATAAGAACACTGTAGTGGATTCCTTCCCTACAAACGCTGAGTCCTATCTTCAAGAAGGGCGATAGTCACTCCACGAACAACTATAGACCGGTGAGCCTGACCAGCACAATATGTAAAGTACTTGAGAGTATTATCAGAGATGCAGCGATGGAACATCTACTACGAAACAACCTTGTAAAAGATTGCCAACACGGTTTTATGCCGGGACGCTCTTGCTTGACACAATTGCTCAAGGTATTGGATATTTGGACCCATATTCTAGAACGGGGTGGTAATATCGACAATATTTACCTAGATTTTGCCAAGGCTTTCGACAGTGTACCCCACGAAAGGCTGAAAATCAAACTGGAAGGGTACGGAATTCGGGGAAATGTCCTAGCGTGGATAGAAGACTTTCTACATGACCGCAAGCAATGTGTGGTGATTAATGGCACGAAATCGTCATCTGTACCTGTAACAAGTGGGGTACCGCAGGGTAGTGTATTGGGCCCGCTGTTGTTTGTTTGTTTCATAAATGATATGCCTGACGTTGTACACTCCTCCATACAAATGTTTGCCGATGATGGCAAGTTATTTCGGGAAATTAAGAACCAAGCGGACTGTGAAGAGCTGCAGAAGGACCTCTGTGGGCTCCAGGAATGGTCGAAGGAATGGCTGCTGAGATTCAATGTCACGAAGTGTAAGAGGATGCACCTGGGGCGTACCAACGGTAAGGAGGCGTACCATATGTCCCAACGGGATGAAGAAAATGTACTAGTTGAGACTGTGTGTGAGAAGGACCTAGGTGTGTATGTTGACAATGAGCTGAAGTTCTCGGGCCATTGTGAGAAGAAGGTAAATCAGGCAAATAAATTATTGGGTCTTATAAGAAGGTCGTTCAGATATCTAGACGGTCCGTCCCTCGTGACGATCTTCAGGAGTGAAGTGCTTCCCCATCTGGAGTACTGTCACCCCATCTGGTCCCCGAGATATGCTAGGGACTGTCAGTTGGTTGAAAATGTTCAAAGGAGGGCCACCAAACTGGTGCCTGCACTTCGGCACCTCAGCTACCCTGAGAGATTGGAGCGCCTGAACTTGCCTAGCTTATACTACAGACGGGCAAGGGGGGACCTAGTTGAGGTTTATAAGCATCTCAGGGGGCACTACTCAGTTGAGTGTCCTTACTTGGAGCTGGCGGACGCTCGCCCCACAAGGGGTCACAGCTCAAGATTGAAGAAGCCGCAAGTCCAGAAAACCGTGAGGGCAAACTTTTTCGGAGTGAGGGTTGTAAACTCTTGGAACAATCTACCAGAGTGTGTTGTGACGGCACCGAGTGTGAGCTCTTTCAAGAGAAGACTTGACCAACACTGGAGCGGGTTCAGGTACATTCAGGAGCCGGTGCATGCCCAGTATTTGCCAACAGTGCGTGACAGAGACGTGACCGATCGCCCGGGCGGCTAGCGAGCCGACCTTTTGGTGAAGAATATAAAGGAAAAGAGACGTGACCGATCGCCCAAGCGGCTAACAAGCCGATCAGTGGCGAAGAGGATAAAAGTAAAGTAAAAGAGTAGCCGACCCAGCGAATTCCCCTGGTGGTCTAGGTCAACCAGCGCCGCCTTACATGACGGAGGTCAACTATTAAGCCACGCCTACCTCCGCTATATAAGACCTGACCTCGTGGTGACCTATCTCTTTCTACCTACACCAACCAGCAAGCAACACCTCCTCCTCCTCCTGCCTGGTGGTCCTCGCTCCCGCCGGCGACCATGGCGACCCACAAGCTGGTCCTCCTCTGAGGGCCCTCACCAACCAGATCTCTCTACATCACGCTTGTAACCATGCTGCCACTTCCCAGCACCAAGCTGCACTGTACATCCAATACAATATGTATACAAAGAGCACATTGTGAGCTTCCTTTCTCCATCCCATTCTGAGTGTGAACCAATATCTCATAACCCCCACAACACCACTTAGAGTGCTGGACAACTCGTACCCATCAGAACAAGTCAACTCGTACCCAATTTACGAGACAGTTCGTACCCAGAACTCGAACCCACGATTTTATGTGTGTGACCAGGAACGTTACCTCTAGACCACTAGGACACTAAAAACAGCTCTAGACTTTGTTATATTTCACGCAAAGCCTGTCATCGAGCTTATGGCGCCGTGAACCTCCAATAGGGGACTACCCATGCCTCGTAAGTGATTAGAGTAACGTTTTACCAAAGACTAGGGCTGCTTTTAGTGTCCTCGTGGTCTAGAGGTAACGTTCCCCGGTCACACACATAAGATCGTGGGTTCGAGTCCTGGCGGGGTGAGGTTGTTGATTGTATGTAGAAGTCCGAGCGCTTTATGGGCTTTCGTGTAATTCACATCTTCAGGGGTGAGTACAGACTATGGAGAAATACTTGACAAGGCTGAAGATGTGAATTACACTAAAGCGCTTGGGAACTTCGTGTTTCCTTGTGGTTATCAGCCTATACTTGGATCACGCGCACCTACAGTGATTTACTTGCATATATATATATATATGTATATATATATATATATATATATATATATATATATATATATATATATATATATATATATATATATATATATATATATATATATATATATATATATCGTATAGGAAGAGCGGGAATATTGGGCGACACATAATCAAGACTCAAGAGGACAAACACAAAGAGATGAATGAGAAAAGGAGGTGGACTAGATGGAAGGAGGAAGAAGAACATAAGGAGTCTGCAATAGGCCGGTTGGCCTGTGCATGGCAGCTCCTGTCGAGAGTTACAACCACTCTCTATCATCCATGAATCTATCTAGCCTCCTTTTAAAACTTTCCAGCATTCCAGCACTTACTACAAAGTTGCTAAGCTATGATGAGGTCTAGTGGCTTGGGTGCTTGCTCCCCTCTGTGATGTGTCGGGTCTCTAACATGTTGGAACAGAAAATTATCTCTCAGAGTTACTACAAAAAGTGTAGCAGGGTTATTCAAGTCATTTGGGGTGAACTCGTTTCTCCAGTCAATGTCGCCATAGTTGAAGTCCCCCATGATAGGAGGTGGCTAGGGTTGAGCATCGCCGCGTTGTCTATTAAGGTTCTTAAGTTCCTTTGATTTAGTGGGCCACAGTTTTGTGATCTGTAGATACACCCGACGATAAGTAATTACCCTCCCTTTATTTTAATTTTATACCACTTGGACTCTTTAAAAACATCCTTTCCCTGTACCCTCGCCTGGCTGGCTCTAAGGTCTTGTCTAGTAAAGGTAACCACACCCTCTTGCAAGTTTCTTGAGAGATAGAAGATAGAAATCCGTTATATAGAGGTTTCACTGTAACCAATTTAAATACTAATGACCAGGTCCCAAGAAACAGCAATTTAATCATCTAAAGTGACCAAAGACAGTCAGTAAGGTCAGAAACACAAACACACACACACACACACACACACACACACACACACACACACACACACACACACACACCAAAAACAGCAATAGACATTTAAATAATTTTTTTTGACGAAATAATTTTTTAAAAAATATAATATGGTTACGTTTAAAAAAGCTTTATATAGCGAGAGGGGGAGACTGAGGCGGACTGTAAATAACATTACATTCACTCTCCCTCCATTGTGTAGTATTGATGTGGTAACCCTAGCGTTGTCATGGGAACAAGGGACGCTCAGCCCAGTCCCAGCGCTCACTTCCTCCAGCAGGTGAGTACAAGTATCTATCACTTTATCCTAACATAGTTAATATAGCAGAACGATTTACATAGAAACATACACACATATTTACGTCCGTTTTATGTACAGTGTACAAATGTGTCGCATTCATTACGTCACAGACACATGCAGTACATCCGCATTACTGACAGCGCATATAGTTACAGGAAAGGAACCTCTTATATAAAAGCTTACATACATACATACATACATACATACACAATAAAGTTAATAATAATAATACCTATTTTGCACGGCTGGAAAAATACTCACACCTAGACAAGTACCCACTCCCAGGACAAGTCCCAACTCCTAGGACAAGTACCTATACCTAGTACAAGTTCCAGCACCTAGGACAAGTACCCATACCAAGTACAAGTGTACAAGTACCCACACCTAGGGCAAGTACCCATACGCCTAGGACACACTGTAACGTCTAGGACAAGTAACAGTGACTGGGGAAGGTATATACTCACGCCCTAACTGTCCTAGGTCATGGCGGAGTCACAGACGGACTGGGAGGTGTGTGGGGAGAGGCGGCGTCGAGCCCGGAGAGTGGCGGAGGTGCTGGCTGCCAAGGAGGAGGAGTACCGCGGCGCCCTCCACCACAGGAGATGTAGGTAAAGAGCTGTGTGTGTGTGAGTGTGTTCAATAGAGATTTTATTTAAGAGAATATTAATTACGATGCTACTATGGTATGCGGTCTACCGAGCTGGAGTTGTGTCTACTGGGATATTTACACTGTAACGTCTTTAACCTAACCAAACCTAACCTAAAACGTAGCCTAGGTTAAGTTAGGTGCAAATACAGTGTTATTATCCCGATAGACAACTCCAGCTCGGCAGACAGTAATTGCTATATTGGGCCACAACTCCAGGTAACAACACAACACGCGTGAACTTGAGGACCTGTTAAGCTGATCATCACAACTTTTCACCAGTCGACCATATAACGTAAACAAAGTCGAAAAAAATATTCTTCAGTTGTGATAAACAATTCTTACTTTTAACGAAAGAAAAATAACGAAAAAATCCCTATTTATAATGAATTGTAATTTAATTTGCAGGATAATTTGAGATATTTTAGACGTTTTCTTCAACGAAAGATAATCAGAAGGAAATATAAAAGAGACACAAATATATGTAACATGTAACAGAGGGGAGGCAAGAAAGAACAGATAGAAAGGAGGGAACGAAAAGAAGAACGAGATAAAAGATTCGGCGGGAGAAGGAGAAGAAGCAACAAGAGAGAGAAAGACGAAACAAAGGCACACTATTTCGACGAATTGTAATGGAAAGAGAGGGGAAAGGGAGAGGGTGAAAGACAGATGGATAACGCGGAGAAGAAGAGGGTGATGATGCGGAGAATATATGTTAATACAAGCTAATAGGAATAAGAAGACGAATAGAGAGAAACATTGTTCATTCTCAACACGGATCTGACACAAACTAACTGAGGTTCAGCTTTGACCACCGTATTATAGAATGGATATCGAATCCCTAGAAACTATTCAGAGGAGAATGGCAAGGCTAATCCCAGGCATTAGGAACCTTGTGTATAGAGACAGGTTAAAGCACTCCCTCGAGAGACGTAGAGTGAGGAGCGAAATGATCGAGGTGTATAAATGGAAGTCAGGGCTAAACAAAGGTGATATTACAAAGGTGCTTAAACTATCTAACCAGGAGCGAACTCGTAGAAATGGTTTTAAATTAGATAAATTTAGATTTAGGAGTGTTATAGGTAAACATTGGTTTGGAAATAGAGTAGTGGAACAAGTTATCAAACATCATCATTAACTCGAACACGCTGGATAACTTCAAACATAGGTTGGGGGGACATATGAACGATAGGGGTTGGGTGTAAACTGGACTGCCCAGTATTGGCCAATAGGCCCGCCAGTTTCCTCCGTTCTATGTTATGTATGTGTGTAGAGTGAAGAATATTACGCGAGTCTCTGTATCAATATCAATAAAATATCGAAACAAAAACAACCACAAAGACTGTTCGTATTGTTATTACCATCAAGATTATTTATTTTTGTCGTTGTTGTTGTAGGCTGCGGGCGTTGTTGGAGGGTGAGGCGGCCAGACTACACGATGAGCTAAAGAAAAAGTTCTCAAACCTTCAAGAGCAACAGGTAAGTTTTCTCTTATCTTGTTCTCTTCTCCTCTCAACCTTGTATCTCTTTGTAGCTGTTTATTCCTTTCTATTCAACTCTTTCCAATGTTTCTCTTTCATTTTCTAATTGACCGCTTTGTGAGAGTGAATGAGAGAACATTCCCTAACTTCTCTCATTTTAGTTTTACTCTTGGTTTTTCACAGGATAAATTACTTCTGTGTCTCTCCTGTGAGATGAGAGATGCAACCATAATTCTCATTTGTATCTTTATTCACACTACTATTACTTTGCTGTCACTCGGAATCGAGTATGCGATCATCAAGCTATGATACAATGAGATATTAAGGATGTCACCTTCGTTGGTGAGCTCTGAGGTGACTAGTGAGGCCGATACGGGACCGGCAGAATAGTTCACAGATGTTGCACGTGTGGAGGGCTACATCTAATGCGGGAGGGGCGGCACCACCGTCTTTCCGGCGTTGGTGCTTGTCTGCCTCGGTTTGCCGTCGGGCTAACCCGAAAGTATTATCACGTTCTCGTGTGGTGCTCCTCCAACCGTTACGGTGTGGAGTAATCGTTTCCCAGGTAAGGGGGGGCGATTTGGCACTTTTCAGGTTTGTCTTAAGACTATCCTTATATTTTATCAGTTGCCCGCCAGCAATACGTTTACTATTCGTTAGGTGACTGTAAAGTACCTGCTTTGGCAGTCTACTGTCGTCCATGCGGGCGGCATGGTCAGGTCAACGCAGTTGTTCATGGATAATGGTAGCCTCGATGCTCCTACAGTTGGGGTCAGCGAAAATACTGACATTTGTTCTCTTGTCATCCCAGCGAACTCGGAGGATGGAACGTAGACTACGTTGGTGAAAGTTTTCAAGTGCCTTGAAGTGTGTCCTGTATGTGACCCGTGTCTCGCTGCCATATAGCAGGGTGGGGAGGATCACTGCTCGATATACGTGAAACTTTGTAGATAATTTCAGCTCCCTACAGCTGAAGACGCAGGTACGGAGTCTGCCAAAGGATGTAGTCAATGAGATGCCAGTGTTTGGATCGTGGGTGTTGCCACGAACCCTTGAACTTGTCGGGCTGCCTAAACAAGGTATTGGTGATAGTGAGGTTGTGTGCAGCAAAATTGCTGAGAAGGAGTAGGCCGTTGGGATTACACTTGACTGGTTCATTTCTGCCTATGGTTCCCTGCCAAATGTCAGCATCCTTGCCAACTCTGGCATTAAAGTCACCAAGGAGCACAACCTTATCTTCTCTGGGGATAGAGGTTAGCACTCTGTCAAGGTTGGAGTGAAAAGCCTCATGGATGTCATCCTTTGCATCCAGTATTGGGGCATATGTACTGATGAAAAAGGCACGACGTGAGTGACTCAGTGAGATTCAGAACGTCATGAGGCGCTCGTTGATCCTAACAGGCATTTCAGTTAGCCTGTGTAGGATGCGTTGGCGGATGGCAAAGCCAACTCCAACTCCATAAATGCGGTTTCTCTCCGCAGCAGGCTTACTCTTCCAGAAGAAGGTATAGCCAGACCCCTTCTGTGAGACGACCCTCGTCTGGGAGCCGGGATTCACTAATGGCTGCTATGGCTGCTATACCTCGACTAATGTAGTGAACACGTGAACACCAAGTATTGTGGTACAAAAACTCACAGTATAAGAGGTACCTAAAAGGGAAGAGGTTCATGCTTGTCTTCACACACTCGAGCGATGTTTGGGTGAAAGGGTCTGGTTGAGACAGATAGATAAACAGACAGACAGACAGACAGATGGGTGGGTGGATAGAAAGATAACCGGAATGTTTCTAAAATTATCAGAAAATTATTTAATATTAAATATTTTTTCAAACTTTCCACAAAAACTACGAAAGTTTTAGGATTTCGTTTATATCAAAGCACTAAAAATCATTGTAAGTATTTTGCGTATAACTAAAATAAATTTGTTCATTACATAAAAGTTATTAAACCTATTTCATTCACAAAGTAATACATAAAATTTAGCCAATTCGTTAATAAATCAATTCCCCCCAAAATTGTCTATATGCATTTCGTTAATAGGTCACAAAAAATGAGTTAATAATTTCGTTCATAATAAATTACCCCAAAAAATAATTAACATCAATAATCTCAAAAATAACATACCCAGGAGGACTCTGAGGGTCTTGATATAACACAACCTGAGCTGCAGTGAACTAAGGAGTGATTGTGTTGCCTCGACTGCCAGTTAGTAAGTTAGTAGGTAATGACCTGGCTAATGGCTCCCTGCACAGGTGACTAAGAGGGCGGCTGTTCAGGGAGATACAACATGTGGCCAACAGTAGATGAGGGAGATAGTTTACCGAAGGGAGGGAAAGAGGGAGAGAAGATGGTAGACAAGGAGGAAGGGAGTATGGTAGGGAGAGACGAAGGGAGAAAAGGAGGAGGAGAGGAAGGTAGACAAGTAATAGGAGGAATGTAGGGAAGGCTAGGAGGAGGAACAGAAGAATAAAAAGGAATGAACGAAAGGAGTTGAAAAAATATGGGAGTAAAGGGAGAGAAGGTGGGAGGGATAAAGGAAAGGCGGAATGGATGGAATGAGAGAGAGAGAGAGAGGAAGGGAAAGAGGGGTGGAAGAAGGGATGGAAAAGGAAGAGAAGAAGAGAATGAAGAATTGTCAAAATTTATTCACTCCACAATACTGTAACTTCCAATCATGACAACGAAAAAAACAACAAATTTACATCAACCCAGAAATCCTTAACACTCCTACAAAAAGCTAAAAGGGGAATTGTGAGAGGGGAAGGAGGGGGAAAAGAGGGATTGTGAGAAAGAGGTGATTAACCCCAAGTCCCCAACACTGTCTCCATAACCCCTTCATATCCAATCGAATTCCGGGATTCATTAAACTGCCCAAACGAACCATTCAGTGGAGACGCTAAAGAAGTTTTCAGTAAGGAGAAAACAACTCGCTTCTTCTCTCCTACCACTAAGAGAGAGACCAAACGATAGGTCCATAGGTGTGTGAGGAACAAACGATACGTCAATAGGTATATGAGGATCACGCGATAAGTCAATAGGCGAGAGGTTTGTATCGCAGTATACTAAGGATAACGTTATGGCTACCGCCCCACAGTCTGACCATTAATTGGTAGGAAAAGACACTTATTGATGGCGGGTCAATCAGTAGGGGGGGGGGTGTGGGTGTGTATGTAATATTTTACTTTACATGCGTCAGCTTGCGGACCGAGTGGAGGCAGCAGCTGTGGCTCAGGAGAAGCTGGAGGAGGAACGACTGCGGCGAGTCCATCAGGCAGATGATCAGCGCCGCAGACAACAGTGTCACCAGTACAGGTGAGTTATCCTGCGTTGGTAGGTCATCCTCCAGTGTTGGTAGTACTGGTAGGTCATCCTCCAGTGTTGGTAGTACTGGTAGGTCATCCTCCAGTGTCGGTAGTACTGGTAGGTCATCCTCCAGTGTTGGTAGTGCTGGTAGGTCATCCTCCAGTGTTGGCAGTACTGGTAGGTCATCCTCCAGTGTTGGTAGTACTGGTAGGTCATCCTCCAGTGTTGGTAGTATGGTAAGTCATCCTCCAGTGTTGGTAGTACTGGTAGGTCATCCTCCAGTGTTGGTAGTATGGTAAGTCATCCTCCAGTGTTGGTAGTACTGGTAGGTCATCCTCCAGTGTTGGTAGTACTGGTAGATCATCCTCCAGTGTTGGTAGTATGGTAAGTCATCCTCCAGTGTTGGTAGTACTGGTAGGTCATCCTCCAGTGTTGGTAGTATGGTAAGTCATCCTCTAGCCTTGTTAGCAGAGAGAGACAGAGAGTGTGTTCCTCTATGATGGCCAGCTGTCAGAGATAATAAAAACAGACGCTGTGTGAAGGTAGCTGTACTCTCCCTCACCCAACTGTAGCTTTTCACCTTGACTCACCCTGCACCTCGTCACCTACCTCGCCCTACCCTAGCTCTCCCTAGGTACGGTGATGCTGTTTATTCTCTTCTTCTAGGCCTGTACTATCTCGAATATGTATATCTGTTCTCACTTTAACCTCTCACTTCTCTCCCCTGGGTGGCAGAGAGGCGTACTCGAGGGAGATGCAGCGATACTTGAACGAGTCTCGCCCTCACGAAATTACCCTAAAAAATCATATGCGAAGACTCTACGGTGTTGATGTCTCCCGGCCTAAGAAGCCTTGATGTCACTCGCTGGGTTGACAATAGCTCGGCGTTGACATCACCCGCGTGAAGAAAGACACATTTCCGCCGAGAAGCGAGACACTGAATAAGTAAATAAGTTAATATTAAGAAAAAATAAAAAAATTGAAAAAAAATGAGAACATTTTTTTTAGGTGAGAAGGAAAATGAAACCTGTTTACAATACGAGAGGTTTAAAGTGTTCAATTAATATGATAGTGTAGTGGACGTCTCCCCTACAAACTAACTGCGTAGCAGCCCACCACCTGCTATCACATTCCAATGTGCCGCCTTCCCTAGCAACCAACCAGATGTTACCGAATCTTAGCAACGAAACTATTCACCGGCTACTTCTCGGGTTTTCCCACCATGACTCATAGCGGCTGCTGCGGGGTATATAAGCTCTGTCTCTCCCTTGAGATTCAGTCTGACCAATCTTCTTGAACAAGCAACACCTCCTCCTCTGCCGCTGCCTGGCGACCCTCGCCTCTCCTCCGCCTGCCTGGCGGTCCTCGCTCCCGCCAGCGAGCATGTCCTCCTCTGAGCTTCCTCACCAACCAACTCTCATTCTGCCCATTTTCCTGAACAAGCAACATCTCCTCCAGCAAGCTCCACGCTGTTAACATTTCATTCAACCAGGAGGCCAGCAACAGGCAACATCTTCTCTAACGAAGCTCCTGCACATCTACCTCCTTCAACAAGCTACTCACCGCACGTCTCTACCAAGCAGCCCCTCACCACACAGCACCTCCAGCACCAGACTGTCTATCATATAACTTATATATTATACAAGAAAACCACCTTAGAGTTTCCTTCCATCCTGAGTGCTAGACAACTTTAATATCTCGATACCCCTACAATAGTCTTTTGTCTTCACGTCTCACTAACCACTATCTACTCCCCACACTGAGCAACAGTGTAGAAAGTGTCAACAAAGGTAATTTTTTTCAGCCCTTTCCAACATACGTGTTTCTCTTATGTCATAGATTCCCGCCCAAAAATATCCAATCACTTTTTTAATTACAATTATAAAAAATATATATACATTTGCTGGATTTTGCTCCTCGCGGTTTTATTCGGTAAGTAAATGAAAATGAGTTTTATAATTCCGTTGTGAAATATATCATAAATTTTTCATGTATGTGAAGGGTACGAATTATCAATTAACACATGAAATACGAGAATATATGCAGGGTAATGGAAAATAAATACCCAGATAATAATGTTAATATATTTGGGCATTCTTTGTGGAAGACCCGGTAAATAAGTCACCCTCATGAAGGAGAAGTTTTAGCACACATGTTTATGGTCAGATAAAAGTGAGGATTGTTTTTATTGATGTAACTTAATGGAAATGTGTTGATAAATTGTAAAATAATCTTCGTATTATTTATGACCACATGAACTGTGACATATAACATTACACTGTTATTTTATCTATCGCAGGTTAGGTTAGGTTATATGTCGTTAGTTGGGTTAAGTTAACCTGGGTGATGTTAAGTTAGGTTAGGTGAAGTTAAGTTGAGATAGGTTAAGTTAAGATCGGCTACTAACCTGGAGACATCGCTGGGGTGTGAATCAGCCGGCACAAGTCACTCGCCTCTATGGCCGACCCTTGTCTAGAGTAGAGTCTTGCACGGTGGTCCTGAATTGACTGACTCCTCACCCGACCAGCTATCCGAGGTGAACTACAATCAACCAAACGAAACGACACCTCGAACCCAATTCATTAATCCCGAAACTTCCGGAGTGAGATCCCAGCACGACTCAAACAAGGTGGTGTGCGGATTGGCTCTATTAAACCCTCACACACCTCTAGGGGAATAAAACACGTAATTACTTCTCTTCTTTATTCTAACATTTCTCAGGTATAATATAGCTAAAAAAATCTACTGTACATATAATATAATACATCTGTTGTACGTACAGGCCTCGTACTGTACAACTCCCGTTACGTGACATTCTCTGTACATCTAGTCTAGGACATAAAATGTACACTGCTGTACTTTTGTGGTTTAGTACACTTCCCGTACACTCTTATATATGTCATGTACAGTTTAACGTGATAGATCTTGTTCACTTTAAAATACTGCATATTGCGTGTATATTGTAATAGGGAACATCATTGATAAACATGCTTTGTACAGTGAATTATAAAACATTTGTTATACACTAATCTATAACTCATCTCGTGTACGCTGAACTATAACAGCAGCTTGAACACTGAAGTATAACAATGTACACTGCTGATGAACTTTGAAAGTTGGTTAATGTCTCAGAATCGTAATGCTGACATTTTTCCTCAATACAATGATGAGGTTCCATTAAGTTTTACATAAGACTGTTCCCGGCGGTTTAAAAAAATGAGTTAGCCTTGAGTTAAAAACATTACTCTGAAGCGAAAAGAAAGCTGATAAAAGTCAGGTCAAAAAGTGGACAGGGTGACTAAACGTAGCCAAACATACTGGAAGAAGTACCACCCAGTCTTGTACCTCGTCTTGAAGGTTAATAATCAGTCATTCTTAACCTAGACAGATTGAGACTAGAATTGCTTTAACAGATAACCCAATTATCCAGGTTCCGGCTAATGAAGGTTTTCACAGTACCCCTTAGCATCGTAAAACAACGCTGCTGGATACGAACGATAATTTAATAAAAACAAAAACAAAAATAATCTTTTGAGAACTCTCTATTTGGTATAATATTGTTATTTTCTGATCATTGAATTACATAATCTATTAGTGGCGTTTAATGTCTTCTTCAAGGTTAAAAAAATATTATGCGCGTCTGTGTAAGTTTCTACGGCGATGGTTTGTTCTTTCCTCCGACATGGCAGCTGCATCCTACACAGTTTCGGTACACTTTCAGTCTAACGCTTAATTTACCTTAAACTATCACTCCTACAAGGTCAATATGATAAAAATAATAACGTGCAAATAACTTTTTCCTTACACAACACCGTGACATATATTTCTTTATTAGACTTCTTGATAGTCGTAACTTACAGCATTATATGTTTGTAAGTAACAATTTGGCGTCAACACTGTTGAAATATTTTTTGCGTTCATTCTTGTATTTTACATACCAGCAAGTCTGACAATATATATACCAGCTACAGACTGACAGCAACAGTCTGACAATATACATACCAGCTACAGACTGCCAATATACATACCGGCAACAGTGACACTAAATATACCAGCAAAAAGTTTGACAGTATACATACCATCAACAGTCTGACAGTATACTTACCAGCTACAGTCTGACAGTATACATACAATCAACAGTCTGACAGTATACATACCAGCTACAGACTGCCAATATACATACCATCAACAGTCTGACAGTATACATACCAGCAACAGTCTGACAGTATATACAAGGAGTAAATCAACACTAAATCATGTGCGTTTTATATGAACTGAGTCGTTATAAACCCTCTACAGGGTGAGTCAGCAAAGAGTACATTAAATTGGAGGATGAAATCATTGGATAATTCTAAACCACAATATCTCTTTGGTAAAATGTCAGATTCTGCATAGTTTCCCTGTTACAATACATTTAAGTTGTTGTATTAATGAGAGTGAATTTGAAGTGGAACCCCCATAGGTTTTTGTAATAATTTTTTCACAGATCTGTACAGTGTGACCCCTCTTTGTTACAACCTAAAGGAAATGTTCAAAGTTGCCCCCTTCTGCCTCAATGCAGGCCTGCACACGTCGTACCATTGATTGTCTGACGCGTTCCAGAATGACTGGACTATGTTTAATTTACTCGCACCTGTCACGAACACGTGGACATATGCAGAATCTGACATTTTTCCATAGATACATTGTGGTTTGGAGTTATCCAATGATTTCATCCTCCAATTTAATGTACTCTTTGCTGAATCACCTTATATATAAATATACATTATACTGCCACTATAAAACTTTTTCCTATATAGCATCAACTAGATATTACTTAAAATACAGGTATAAATAATTTACTATGTAAAACAGTATGATTTACATATACAGGAAGTGATGATTTAAAGTACAATTGTAAATAAATGTGTTTTTCTGTCTCTCCCAATGCCGAGAAATAGTTGTGTTTTGTGTTGATATTGTCTCACATCACTTGTGTACGTATTAATATTGTGTGAGAGACTTCTAAGAAAATTCCCTTTAACCCTTTGGATCCTGAAGTGTTAAACCATCGCCATCAAAGGATTAAACCATTATCGTCAAGTGGTTAAACCACCGTCATCAAATGGTTACATAGCTTATATCTTAAATAGTTTTCAAGATTCATAAATTTCAGGAACCGGTTAAAAAAGTTCGTAAGAGAAACGTAATTTATGAGTAAAGATGTAAGAATATATCAAATTGGTAGATATATATATATATATATTCATGTTTCAATATGAGTATCATATAAACTAAAAACCTTTAATATGACCCATAAATAATTTGTGTAATTCTAATAAGGGTTTGGCTGTTATTTTTGTGACGTAGCTAAAGTGAACCTTATAGTTACTTTTTATTTCTTCAGTTACAAGGAACAAGTTGAGCATAAAGCTCGAATCCTCCTTTCTTCCATTTTCAACTCCTCTTAATTAACTGTCTCTCATCCTCCGCGTTACCTCTATTATGTAGAATGAACTTGGGGAGATGAAGCATTGAAGCCATTAACACTGTCTCACGAAACATGAATGAGACAGCCGCTATTGTCCCAAGAAACAAAGAAAAATACTTCATTTCATTTTCGCATTAGTGAAACAAATGCTACTTTCTCAAGGAACAATGAACCCACTCGACTCTCGCACATACCCGTGAAGTAGTAATCTCTAACTCACACAAATGAGGCAGTATTATCACCATCTGACTCAGGAACCAACTAAAATGGAAGCCTCATGAAGCTTGTAAGTGTCTCTCCATAGTCTCAGAAGAAGGTGAAGCAGGAGTCTGTAATCTCCCCAGGGGACAGCAGAGCCTCAAGGGCACTCCAGGTAGCGGCCAGGCCACTCAAGGAGCCCACCACCACCACCAGCCACAGAAGAAACCTCTCCACCCCACTGATGTGTCTGTAGGAATCAAAGAAAACGTGTGAGGTAAAACTATATTATCTTTAGCTCTGTGTCAGGAGTCATCACAGAAGTACACTGTTTTTGGGGGTTTTTAAGAGACTTTGATATTGTTAACCGTTGTCTTTAATATAAAACTTAAAGGATACCTTTATCTCTTATTCTCTTTCTCCACGTCTCTCTTTTTCTGTCAGTTATTCTCTCTAGAACGCAATATACGCATTTTTTTACAACTTTTTAAAATACTGTGGCTCATCACAAAGATTATCGATTTACGGGATAAAAAACACTTGCAATTTACCATACAAGGGAATATATTAATAGCAGTGTACGAGTAGTTGAAAGCGAGTTTGCATACCAGCTAGTGTCACCGATAAGTAAGAATGTCGCTCGCAGCCATAATTGTGTTTTCCGGCGGTCTGTAGCAACTAAATGTTTACACGAGACACAACTGTTCTCCTGAAGCTTTGGTATTAACTTCGATGTTAAGTTTCGCTCGCTAAGTCTGTGACGAATCTTAGAGCTTCATTTTGGACCACCTGTAATTTTAATATTTGATTGGAGAGGGTGGGAGAGGGAGGGAGGGAGGGAGGGAGGGAATGAGCAGGAGGGGGGGGGAGGAAGGAAGAAGGGGAAGGGAGTAGTAAGAAGGGGAAGGGAGGGGGAGGAAGGGAGTAGTAAGTCCGTGGCTCTGAATTCTAATTAACAACACAAATGAGGCCAGTTAGTTAATTAGCTAATTACTGAGTAAGTCAGAGCACTTAGGATAATGAACCGCAGGTGTTGGTGTTGTTTTGATGGTAAGTGTTGTATATTTAGCCAAGTCAGGTGCGGGTGTATGAGCTTGGGTAAGGAACAGTGTCACCTTTATGGTCATTTTCTCCAGACTATAGACTAAACTTTACCATATAAACACGGTAGTTTTAACCTACCAGAGAAAAGCCTCATCTCGCTCCAGAAAAGCAGGACCTTGTGTTCCAGCTCTTGAGGTTCATTACGTAGATTTTGTCCAAATTTCACATAAAGGTACAATATCTTACATGATGAATATGGGTCTACGATCAAAATTGTAATATTCGAGTAATTAGTGAGAATTAATGACTTCAAAATTATATGGATATTCAATGTTTAAATCATCAAATACCTATGGTAGAGTCCACGAGTTGAAGAACAGTACTGGACGAGACAAAAGCCCTTGACAACATAATCAAGAATAATGGATGAAACCACACCAGCCCTTCCCTGGGCATGACCACCTCTTATAGGTGACCATTAGGTTAACAATTAAATAATCACGAAACTCACCTCTTCTGCCATCCCTCCTGTTCTCCCGAGTCGCAGAGACGCATGTAGAAAATAGGCGGCAGGACGAAGGTGAGGATAGGTACGGTGAAGCTACCAATCAGGTTGAGTATCCTGCCGAAGTTCCTCACTGCCAGGCTGATGATGATCCCCATGATGACGATGGTGGTCCTGAGGACACACCGCTGCCACCCGAACGCTGTAGGTGAGGGAGTGATTGACTTACCTACACGACTTGGCTACACGACTTACCAACACGACTTGACTACCAGCCACTTATCTAAGATTTAACTCTCATAACACAATCACAACCTACGTTATCTTAATTGTAGTCATATTCATTAACATCAAAGTGATTAATATTAGACAATTTACTCCTATTGAGTTTTGAAGGGGGCTATAATATGAACCTAACCTAACCTAACCAAAATTTAGCTACGTTAGGATAGATTAAGTTAGCATTAGGAAACCATATTATCTTAAGGTGAATTAAACTGAGGAGGAGGAATCGGTAATCTTCATGATAATCTTAAAATCTTTCTATCTCATGCCACCAAGAACCTGAGCCTCACCGTTGGGCAGACTAAGGCCCTCCTCCAGGTTCTGAGAGAGCGGGTTCACTACGATGATGTAGGTGAAGGCGTTGTTGAGGAGCATCAACACCCGAACCACAGTGACTGCTGGCCCATGTACTGACAACAGGACGTTCACGTCTACTTGGTTACCGAACTCCATGTAGCCCAGAACCGCCAGGGGCACATACATCACTATCAACGCTGAGGGAGAGAGTGAGGGAGGGTGTTAGTGTGGTGAGGGAGAGAGTGAGGGAGGGTGTTAGTTAGTGTGGTGAGGGAGAGAGTGAGGGAGGGTGTTAGTTAGTGTGGTGAGGGAGAGAGTGAGGGAGGGTGTTAGTGTGGTGAGGGAGAGAGGTGAAGGGAGGGAGGGAGGGAGCTCATATTGCTCAAGGTGAAAAGTTGTATTTTAGATTAAAGATTAAAGAGAGAGAGAGAGAGAGAGAGAGAGAGAATGACTTGGGCGAAACCCATTTTTCTTGTTTAAAGTTTAACGTTAATCGAATGAGACGAAGGAGACACACACACACACACACACACACACACAGTTTTATACAATGACAACACTATTAAGTCATGGTTAAATTTTCCACTTGAGAAATAATAAATTCAAACACATTAACTCTTATAGCTTCCTCACTCTGTATGTGTGTGTTAACAGGACAAAAACAAGTGATAAGATTTAAGGATAACATTTCTATCACCCGCAACATAAGAGTCAGACACAGAAAATATTACTCTTCAAAGTGGCCGGGAGGGGGGGGGGTTGCCGGGAGGGGGAGGGTGGCCGGGGGTGTGGCCGGGCGGTGGGGTGTGGCCGGGCGGTGGGGTGTGGCCGGGAGAGGGGAGGGGATGAATGTTGGGAGGAGGGGTGATCCAGACTGAGTGCCTGCAGGTTACATCTGGGAGTCCCAGTCTAATTTCGACTCTAATATGGCTGTCATTTCTCCGTCGTGGATTAAGTGGGTCAGTTATAAGGAAACTTTAGTTGAAGTATTAGTTTTAAAAATCTAAATAAATTGTTCTTTAAATTCCAAACCTAATGAATTATAAAAAGAAAAAAACATCAATGGATTGTCTAAAGTCCACCACGAAGAGGGAATTAAAAATGGGATTAAAATTCAAATAAATTATTACTACTTCTCTCTTCTGTCATGAACCAAGTTAAGGGAAAACACAGACGATAATAATCTGATAATGTTTGAGAATACTGACTCTTTGGGCACCCCTCAGCAGCACGTTAAACTTAAGAGAATAACACCAATAACAACACCACACTCACCTATAACACAACACCACACTCACCTATAACACAACACCACACTCACCTATAACACAACACCACACTCACCTATAACACAACACCACACTCACCTATAACACAACACCACACTCACCTATAACACAACACCACACTCACCTATACTCACCAACACCACACTCACCTATAACACAACACCACACTCACCTATAACACACTCACCTATAACACAACACCACACTCACCTATAACACAACACCACACTCACCTATAACACAACACCACACTCACCTATAACACAACACCACACTCACCTATAACACAACACCACACTCACCTATAACACAACACCACACTCACCTATAACACAACACCACACTCACCTCAAAATGCTACATCACAAGACACAACACCACAAACACCACATCCTGTCACACAACACTAAAACCATACAACACCATATCATACTACACATAAAACTCATATCTCGAGCATACACCCTCATCATTTCATACTTCCAATACCACACATCACGCCTCGAATACCACACATCACCACACCACTAACAAGACAAATCATATACCATGTAAAGATCTGTTGTTACATTTTGCGTTGACTCAACTTTTTAACGCACTATGTTATAATTACCCTGACCTCCTTTGTTGGCCACTGCTTTGTAATCCTATATTTTTTTTTTATCTTGTTCCGGTTCACACAGGAAGAGTATATAAGCTGTAACAATAAATTGCCTTAACCAGCATTATGAATTACAAACAACAGGAGAGTATAACCAGTTTAGATCATGGATGGTAGCCAAACACTTCAACACGGTCTCTCAAAAGAATATTCCTTCCCTTTCTTTCCAATACGGCACACCTCATACCCCCCATTCCCTACCCCACCCCCCTCTCTCCCTACCTTATACCCAATACACCAAAAATATCAAGAGCAACTTACTGGCAAAAGCAATAACCACTGCATAAGGGAACTTGGATCTATCAGCCATATCGTTCTGGATGGTAGGGAAGGTGATCGCTCCACCGTAAGAGAACATAATGGTACCGAATCCCAGGAAGAAGGAGGAGAAGGTCGGGGTAGCATGGGTTGGTTTGTACTCTGGTGTCTCCAACAACACCTTCGCCACCACCACCAACACCGCCGCAACCGTAGCGACCAGAGCCAACACCGACACGTGCCTGGTGGTGGAGAAAGAAAACGAGGAGTGAATATTAAGAGAGAACGAAAGATGTTTGAGGAGAAACTAATAGAAATAAAAAAAAATAAGGAATTATGTTGCCTTTTCCCCTGAAGATGATTAACTTACCTATTCCTGTAGGTTATGTATCTAAGCTACTGTGCCGAGTAGCACCTATGTATATAATTACGTGGCAACACTGCACGTGTTATGTGGCATTATTGCCCCGAGGCTGCCATATGGCAGCAGGGTCTACCATTAGACAACACATTATGCTTCCAATATCTTCCTAGGCGGTAGTACCTCCCTGTTTGATAGCTGCCTACTATCGTGGATCCGTTGATGTTAACCCCCCATCTAACGGATCACACTGAGAGAAGTCCGTTTTATGGAGGTTTAACTGTCCAATAATATTTAGTCCCTTAACCATAACGCAACATAAATACATTTTAATACATAAGTGAGTTGATCGTCACGTTGGACTGACATATTGAGTAAATAGTTAATATTTATCAAAATACGATATTTAGTCTCTGACTGTAAACAACTGAAACAGCCAATTAGAGTGTATTAACCCACCAGTCACGTATCAGTATCTATTAAACCTGAGTATTTCCTGGAATTTAGGATATACAGTAGGTCTATTTTGAAACGCTTTGGATGTTTTTGTTGACAGAATCCTAAATTAATTTAGAGAACATCACTCGGGCTCTGATGCTGTTGAGACAAATAGAACATAATTAAAACTTCAAATATAACCTTAACATAAATCTCAAACATTAAGGTAATATCACAAACACAAATTTCCTCAACACATCAAAATAAAACTCATAAATAAGAACCACAGACAAATGTTTTTTCATACTCCCGCTTCTAACTGTACTAAAACCAAATGGAAACACCGCAGCTTCTTTATAGCGCAGAGAAGCAGCTCCGAGGCTCATTCTAACAGTTCGGAATCTCAGGAGTGTAGAAGAACTTACGCCCGTGACTGCTTTTCATAAGTACGAAATGAGGTAAAAACATTTATGACAATAATCCAGACAAATATATCTGTTGCGTCTTTTGAATTAATAAACAATAAATGTGATGATAATAAGTGAGAGGGAAGCATCTTTGGAAGCATCGTGAAAACTTTGGAACATCTTTAGAACACTTTCCAATACTGGTAACAATATTGGGTTATTAAGGACAAGGCACTCGATTCTCCAATACAAACACAGTGGCCCGTGAAGGTGAACGAGGTGAAGTGTTTAAGGAGATCGAACATCTCAACCAGTCACGACACGACGAGGCAGTCAACCACACATAAGACACATGCGGTTTAATTCTCCTTTAATTATATTTTCTCCGATTATTTTCTTATTTAAATAAGTTTATGTGAATAATATATCCAGGTAAATGACCTCCTGCACTATTCTTCTTCTGAATATTTCATAATGTAATACATGTTATTATTATTCCTCAGAAATATGGTACAAAAACATTCTTATTTAACAGGTCATAAAGGTGAAAGTTAAAGAAAATTTCACTTTTAAATTTCTATTGCAAGTCTAAATAAAGTTGTTTACGTATAAAAGTTATAATGAAACTGACACACAAGACTTGGTTTGCAAATTAACTTCACTAGCATCACAAAAATATCATCATGGGATTAAAGTCCTTTCACCTCTCCCCCTGAACAACGAACTCCAAGATTCCGACTCATGAACCCGAAGCAGTAGACTGATACATTATTCTGTTCATAAATGCTTCGGGTTCACGAGTCGGAATTTCGGGGTTCGTGGTTCAGTGGGAGAGGCAAACGGACTATATTAATTGACTGTACTTACTATATACTCGTACAATATCAGCGTAATTTGCGATTTTATATTTCTGTTTACACACACTTATACAGATGACGCGGTCAGTACAGTTATGACACGATGGTAGTAACTATATTATGATGTACAGTAACCCAAATGTAAATTCTCTCAAATGTGTGACAAATCCTATTTCGTGTTCAGCTTATTGGGGGGAAAAAAGTGAGCAAACACAGGAATGTAAAAATCTTTCTGAAATTTTGGCGATCAAAGGAGAGAGAGAGAGAGAGAGAGATATTTACCCTAGATAGAACATTACCATTTTCCTTCGACTATTTTAACGAAAATATCAGGACGTTAACTTTAATAGCACTAGACAAAGCTATATTAGTACATATAACCTAACTCAAACAATACACTAATATACTCAGCTATTAAAATGACCTTCATGTTACTTGACCTAGAGTACTTGGTGGTTGAGGGTGTGGCCGCTTCTGTTTGGGCGAGTTATCTTGAATCGGCTGTCTTTAAAACTTACGGAATCTTATCTTGTCATTAAGTTTAAATAAGGATATTGTTTATACTACTTAAGTTTATTTTATATAATATACTAAATTATTATCGATCTTTATGATACGTGCTTGTATGTATGTATTTTATTCTGGTTATTATGAGTTACCGAGTTATTTACACCCACTTCTATCGCCGCCTTGATCACTGTAGCTCTCAGTCCGTGGGGAGTTGTATTGAGCTTTTGTGATTTTTGTTTTCATTCACTTCATTCCAGTGCTTTTTTTTTTTAAGACTTTTTGAAGACTTTTTATTTACTCCTTTATAATTTAGATTTCGATGTTTTTAAATATAATTGAGGAATGTTATTATGATTTCATATTGAGATGAGAATATTTTATCGTTATTTTTACTTTGTTACTTGTTAAGGCTGTTCTCATAGCCTTATAAGTATGATATAATATTATATTCTTGTTTTATTGCTTTACTTTCTCTTTATAATTTTTGGTGTAGTTTCATAAAATATGTAATACTTACATATACAACCTTAGGTTAATATGGTATAGGAAATATTCTTATTTATGTCTTCTGTTCTGACATATTGAGTTGTCTCCTTGGGCTCACGAGCTGAATGTTAACTTTACTCAGGTTAGTTGGCCCATAACTAGATTATAAACCTCTTCTTCACACACACACACACACACACACACACACACACACACACACACATATATATTAAAAGTTTGCTACAGTTATCCTCTCATAGATCATGACTGAAGCCAGAGTTTAGAAAGTAGGTTATCATAAGAAACTTGTATGGGAACATCGTAAAGTGTGTCGGGGGAAACTGTGGATACAAAGCACTGAGACTAAATTTATGATATTGGAGGACAGAATCAGTGGCGGACACTGCACTGGGTCGCCTCATTTGCTCAACAGTTAGTAGGCTATGTCCCATGTGCGAGCGTACTGCGGCTACCTACTTTCCAAAGTGACCTGTGTCCCACCTGCCATCGTCTTGCCAGCGTAAACATGCCGTCTACGCAGCGCAGACGTTTGCTTTTCAACGTGCGGTACCTGGCCCGGGAAAAAAACCTCCCATATATCAGAGGAGGATGTAAGTAGACGAACTTCACCAACTCTACAAGGAACTTCGCCAAGATCTAAAGAAGTTTTACTAGTACATCAGAATGTATTCTGATTGGGGATGCAGCCTCCCCACTCAGTGTATATTTGTTGAAACCCTATCCTAGGAATGCTCTGAACATAAAAGGGAATTTTTAATTACAGATTGTCACGTGCCAGGTGTGTTGTAGAGTGTGCTTTTGGAATTTGTACAAGTAAATGGAGAATTTTAAATAAAGCTATTGAAACTGCTGTTGACATTGTAAAGTGTGCTACACTTTCCCATAATTTCATCATCGACACAGAAGGTCTGGACGCAGTCATATGCAATCCAAGAATAAACAATGTTTAACATTCTTCAGCAAAGAATGTGAGAGACAGTTTGCAGCTACTTTAACAGTCCACAAGAATTTATTTCTAGGCAAGATCAAGCTGTTAACAGTGGATAATTAATGAATAGACTTCTTTAGTTTTGGTGCGTCTAGTTCCCTCTTCCTGGTCGCTCGGTGCCGCAGGGTGCTCGCACATGGGACATTGCCTAAGGTTAGGCGTATGGGGCGCCCCACTGAGTGACACTTGAACAAGGGACTACTGGGTCAGGAGGTGAGTGTTATATTCCCTCGGCCTCCGCCCCCTTGTATCGGTACCATTAATGTGTGTGACAAATCCTATTCACTTTACAGATTACTGGGGCAAAAAGACGAGCAAATGAACGTATAGAAAAATCGTTCTGAAAAGCTGTTCATCAGAGAGAGAGAGAGAGAGAGAGAGAGAGAGAGAGAGTGCTGCACCAACTCAGTCCCTTCATCAAAAGAACCGCTGTATAGAAAAAACCAACATTGGTCCCACAGCCACTTACCAGAACTCTTTGGGGCTGCCCAGCCAGGAGAGTGGAACAAGGACGCACCCAACGGCGACGACCCAAGTACAGACGGTGAGGGACGGGACGAGGGGCTGTAACACGGACTCCACCAGTTCAGCAGACAGGAGGATGGTTACCGTAGACACACCAAACAACGTGACACACTGGATCACGTTCACCAAGTACCTGTAAGGGAGATGATGAGTCAGGAACAGCTGGAGGTAACTTCGGGAGGTGATTACGGAAGTGAACGAAAGACGCATTACATTATACAAGAGTAAAACTTCAATATGTTACTCATTGTATAAATTAACATGAAACCATCTTCAAAGAAACCATACAGACAGGTAAGGAAGGGGGAAGATAAGGAGACAATAGGGCAAGAATCTGGAAGGGGGGAAGAGGGGGAAGGGGAGGGGGAGGAGGGCTAGGTGGGGAGGGGGGAGGGGAGGAGGGGGAGGGAGGAGGGGGAGGGGATGGGGAGGAGGGGGATGGGAGGGGGCAGAGATGGAGGTAGGAGAGGAGGAGGATGACAAAGGAAGAGTTTGGTAAGACAAGATATTGGGTGGAGTAGTTTGACTCATAGTACAGTATTGGTGTAGTTATTTATTTTACTATTTACTATTATTATTGACGTTACTGTTATTGTTACTAATATTAATCGAAATCTTAGTACTGTAGTGTAAACCAGAGCAAAGGAACAGTGTTACTAATCCTCAGCTTGGTAATTTGTTGTGAAATTCGAAGACTAAGGGAGGGAGACGACTCGTGTGGTTTGAGAGAGAGAGAGAGAGAGAGAGAGAGAGAGAGAGAGAGAGAGAGAGGCCTACACTCGGTTCAAGTGTTGGTCACGAGGTAACTCAAGGAGAGGGGCGACTCTACCCACAACCCTACAGCGTTATCTTTGTTTGTTTACTTTACCTGGCGTGTTATTGTTGACATCATTAACCTATATATATACTGTATATCATTACCTGAAACTAAACAAAAATAAGTTATCAAAATGTAGAGAATCAACAAGAAACTCATTAATTAGTTTTGTTGTCGTAAATAACTGTAGTGAAACTTACCAGCCAAACATCCCGAGAGTTCTGAACGCCATGGCAGGGTAGGGCTTACGACACGCCCTTTGATATTCGGGCCAGCGTTCCTCCAGGATCACCCAACACACTCCCAGGCGGCAGGCAGCGTATGCTACTATTATACAGGACACAGCCAACACGCCCACCCCCGCCCATCCTGTCAGTATGGGCGGCTAAGTTAGTTATAGGTTAGAGGGATGGGTGGGTAGGTAGGTAGGTGAAGATTTTTGTTTTTAAGAGGTCGGGTAGCTAGGGTAGAATGTTTTAAAATGGAGAGAGAGAGAGAGAGAGAGAGAGAGAGAGAGAGAGAGAGAGAGAGAGAGAGAGAGAGAGATTTAATTAATTCAAGCCAAAATGTAGGAAACGACATCCCCTCAAAAAATTCTGACACCCTGGCCAACATTATAAATTAATTAAAGGATTTCTCCCACCTCTCTCTTTTTTAATTCTACCTTACTTTCTCTTTCTCTCTCTCTCTCTCTGGGAAATAACAAAAGGAAGGTAAAATACTAAGCGAAGAGAATGAAGAAATAACAGGATTAAAGGTGGAAATTGAACGTGAAAACAAAATAGAATGGAAGTGTTCAAACAATATCCTTAAACGACAACAACAAAACATTTAAAACATGGGAGAGAAAGAAATTATTCAGCATTGTACAAAGAAACAATCAAAATGATATTGAATAGCAATATGACAACAAGAGAGCGGGTCACTCACCTGTCTGAGCAATGGCCCAAGGGAGCGCCAACACACCGAGTCCTGCAACTTGTGCCACCAAGAAGAAGGATGCAAGAAGGACTCCAAGGCCATTCTCCGCCCTCCCGTGCTGGCCGCTACGTTCAAGAGATGATTCTGAGGGCGAGTCACTTCCCTCTGGACTGAGTGATCTGTTGGAAGAGAACCAGTAACAGTTCAATCATCATAAAACTCTACAATGACTCAACATCCAGATTCCTCTCAACCGAAGACCCGGAACTGTTGCAGCGAGTTCCTCTCACAAACGTCTAACAAAAGTCGAGACTGAAGTATAAAAACAATATTAATAGGAAATTGAAGATAATGAAGAGGTTATTAAATATTATGATTAGTAAGATGTTTGAAGCTGATAGTAAACTGTTGGTTGAGAGACGATGGGAGATGATGACAGTAAATTTGAGCTTAATGTTGAAAGTCTTATAAACTGCCTGGGCTCAAAGTCAGTGTTATTAACATGGAAAGGTTAGAAGCACAGACTGAAAATAACTAATTTCCTTCTGTTGATTATCTTAACTGTTTTTTTGTGTGTAATTCATTACTACGTGCATTTGATCAACCATTGAAGCGTCTTAATTGTTCAAAAATTTAATCAAACATTCATTTACTTACATATATGAAGTTAATATAAAGCAGAAATGTTACATAATCTCGCTGAAAAGAGAAACATACAGGAACAGAAATTAAAAACTTTATATAGTGCTCAAGGGATCTAACGCCAGAAGCCAGCCAATTAGAAGAGAGCTTACAAAGGCAAAATATTTGACCAATCACACTCCAGGAAACTGAGAGAGAAAAAGGAAAGAGATAGCCAACGGCGAGGCGGCAAATTTTTACGCCAATTTGTTAGTACGATTCAATGTTTTATTTTTCTACACTATCTGTTTATCATACTCGATTAATATGTAAAAATACCTGATAACTTCAACGTTTTCATTAATACTTACGAGACTCGGTAATTGAAAACACAAGGAAAGGAATGAAAAGAAAACATTCCAAAGTAAACGGTGTAAAAGAAAGATATGAGGGGAAACTGTAGGAAAAAATAGACACTGGGGAAACACAAGTCGGGTGTAGAGGAAAACAGGTTGAGTGGACAACGGCAAGAAAGGGAGGAAACACTGTATTGTTTGATGGATTTATTTGTCTTTATATTACGGAAGTATATTTAGCCGGGGGGAGAGAGGTCATACATGTGATTAAACGATGGGAAAAATAAACGTAAAATTAAAAAAAAAAAAAAAAAAGAATCCTGGAGTTGTGACGGTCCTATTCGTCCATCCTTCTATCCCTGACCTCACTCATAACCACAACATTGCTCACAAAACAACACCCACAACTAATAACACTCATAATACCTCACCACAACTCACAATACCTCACCACAACTCATAATACCTCACCACAACTCATAATACCTCACCACAACTCATAATACCTCACCACAACTCAATCACACAGTTCACCACTTCCATCCCTCGCGTTACGAAGAGTTTACACTTGAATTACCCAACTCGGAAACTCCCTCGGGCGAGTTGTCTTTGTAATGCGATATTAGAATTCTGTTTTTGTTTTGTTTTTGTATAATTTAGAAGGATGTTTACGCCTCTCTCTCTCTCTCTCTCTCTCTCTCTCTCTCTCTCTCTCTCTCTCTCTAGTGGATGGATTTGTTTATTCTATCTCAGTTCACTTGTTTTTCGGGAGGAAACGACAAGATTGTGGAACCCGTAAACAGACAATAGTGAAGGTATATTAATGCAGGTGCAGGAATACAGATGTCATTAGTGTTAGACGCAATTAAGTAGTGTTACAGATGCACAGATGTACATTTTACACTATCATGATCTATTGATTTGGTAATGAAAATAAACGATTATTTCACTCACGTACATTAATACCCATTATGTCACTTCAGAGTTCCTTGTGTTACCGAGACAAAACATAAATTAACAGGGATTTTTGTTTATTACTGTAATGACTCCAGTCTCTCTCTGTTCTGATATAAGAGTTTACCACACGACTGAGCACCTACCAAGCATACACGAGATAACTTGTTATATTGGGGTGATTGTGTGTCTATGGATACTTTAATCAATTTAAATTTGTTTACTCTTTCGGAAACAATATTTCTTCTGATTTACAAGTAACAGGGAAATAAATTTTACGGAGAGACTTTCCAGAGTATTTTTCAATGTGGCCACCATTGTGAGTTTACCTATGGTAGTGACCTTTTGTTTGTGTTTTACTTTATAGAAAATATTACGAAAATATGTTTGACGACGACTCATTGACATATTGAGATGGTTCACCTCCAGTACTTGGTTGTAAGATGAACTGAAGAGCATCGGTATTAACGTCTTGGAAAGTGTCAATTGTTATGTTGCAAGATTTTCCCGCTAGGAGGCCAACTGTGCAGTAAACTGTCGAGCTATGAGCGTTAATGATTACTTTTTCCCTTTACGAACACAATACAACAATAATGAATAGCTGTAATTTAACGAAGCGAGGTATATTTATGCTGACAGCCTGACAACGACGGCTGTTTTATCTTCTAAACCTGACACACAGCGAGGGGGGTAGGGGGAGGACCTCAAATCACTGTACAGATCCGATGTTCTGTATCAACTGAGAAACCAATAGTGGCAGCTTCCACAATATGAGGAATACAATAAAACCTTTCCATGAATCGCACATAAATAGCGGTTATCTCTTTCTTGTTTTAATATTACAATGGTGGCCAACTTAGAGAGAGAGAGAGAGAGAGAGAGAGAGAGAGATGAATGAAAAAGACTCCATATATTAAACCCTGAACCAAACTTGTTCACGGAATAGAACCCACGTCTCATGAGGTAGTAGTACTAAGCTTAGAGTGATAGCATCAATCCTAAATCGATAACAATGATCCTTGTATGATAACAAGAAGCTTGAACGTTTATCGTGTATGGTAACCGAAGCACCAGGTAGTAGGTAGGTATCAAACAAGAGAGGTACTACCGCCTGGGGAGATATTAGAAGCATAATGTCCCACAGGTTACTGATCTGACTTTCTGCCTCATTTACACACAATTGCAGGGTCTCAATTGTTTCTCTTACTATTGACAACACAACATACATATATTGTATATCGTTTCTCACTCTTGACCTTTTTTCAGTGTTGTATTTATGCTTCTTTATTATGATTATTATTATAATTATTTTTACTTTATTTTTATTTTTATTTTTATTATTATTATTATTATATTTTCGCCCCCCCCCCCGCCCGCAAGTGGGCTAATCCCCGTAAAAAAAACCCGATGCTAATACAATAGTTAGACAAGATAACAGCATCGTCTATTACTGGTCCAAGAGGCAGTCCCATTCGTGTAAGTAATGGCACTCAATGGCATTCCGGGTGATTCTTGGCACTGCCGGTCATTGATCTCGTGAGGGAACACGACCCAATCCCTTTCACCAGATTAATTACTGGACATAAACTCTATACCCCCACCAGCAGGAAAATAATAAGAGCGAAATACAACACTCAGTTGATGGGTAACTGAGAGCGGGAGAGATGGGGTAAAAGGAAGAGGAGAGTGGGATGGAGATGGAGAATGGGGTGGATAGAAGGGTAAAGGAAGAAGGGAGGGGGATGGGACAGGGGTAGATGGGAGGGTAAAGGAAGGGGGAGGGGGGTTGGGAATGGGGTAGAATGAAGTGAAAAGGAAGAGAAAAGGGGGAAGAAGAGGGGTGATGGGTAGAGGTAGGGGAAAGGGGAGAGGAGAGGGAGATGAGTACAAGGAGAGAGAGAGAGGAAAGGGAGTTAATCCAGGATGAGAAGGGAGAGGGAAGGGAGTGATAGATAAAGGATTAATAAGATGAAAACAAGGAAGGGAAGCGAGAAGAACAAAAAGTAAGGAGGAAAAGAATGAGGATACTAATGAAGTGTTCAGTGTACCTCTGAAGGTGTAACAGAGACCAGAGTGTGTGTGTGTGTGTGTGTATCAGTGTATGTGTGTATGTATCAGTGTGTATCAGTGTGTGTGCTGCATGGTCAGAGTTATGATCGTGGTACAATAAACACACACGGTATGCAAGTGCGCCCCCAGGTAGTATGTTAGTTATAATATTGAAGCAACAGTTCCTCGCGACGTAGACAATATACTTCACTGAAATACTTAGGATATTATTACACCGAGAAAGCGAAGACTGAGTGAGGAGAGCAAATTAACCTGAGTGACTCCTTTGATATTACCTGTTGCAGAAATTATGATGAATTAACAGCAAATTGATCTACGAGAGGTAATAGAGTTAATCATATAGAGTTTATACACGATATTTGGATTGTACACTTTACATTATTCATTGTTGTTAATGAGAGGAAATACAGTCTTACGTTCTGTTATACCGACTTGTAATATAGAACTTGGGATATACTCCGATATTAGTGACTTAAAACTATATATAGTGAGGTTGTATATATAGGAGGAAAATATATGCAAGAGACCCGCGACCTGCGTTGAATATATTCTTGCTAGTGGGTCAGCCATGTCGGATATATGGAAATAGACTGCTTACACATAACAACATACATACATACATACATACATATATACATACCTACCTCTACACACACACACACACCTACATACATACATACCTACCTACCTACCTACCTACCTACATACATACATACATACATACATACATACATACATACATACATACATACATACATACATACATACATACATACAACACATACACACACACACACACATACACACATACACATACATACACACATACATACATACATACATACATACATACATACATACATACATACATACACATACATACATACATATACATACATACATACATACATACATACATACATACATACATACATACATACATACATACATACATACATACATACATACATACATACATACATACATACATACATACATACATACATACATACATACATACATACATACATACATACATACATACATATACATACATACATACATACATACATACATGTTGCACCCCTCAAGTATTCGGGATATATGGCCTTGACCTGGAGAGGGAGGGAGCAGTTCGGTCGGCTTCTCAAACATCTCAGCTATTTCAATGTAAATTTGGACAAGGAATTCGGAGAAAGAGAAAAAATAATCCAATTAAGGATAATTTTCTTTTTGAAGGATTTAATGGAGTGGACTTTTCATATACTACCATCGTCATTACGGACATGAAGGGTGAAAATACTGTGTGTGTGGGGGTGTGTGTGGGGTGAGGTGGGGGGTGTGTGTGGGGGTGGGGTGTGGGGGGAGGTAGCTTTTAGTGTAAACTTAATCTTGTAAAAGTTTTATGAAGTCAACTAATGTAACTAAAGATATATATCGACAATGTATTAAAGTGTAGTGATAATATAAACTTTTTCTTATTTACAGTGAACCAGCGGTAGAACTTCATATACCGTATATTAAAGAAGGAAAGGAAATATTGTTTTGAAATATATCCCCCCCAAAATAGCTTAAAGTATAATTATTACGTTTTGTTAGCGGTAATATTTCAAAAGTAAATCATAGACAAAGTGGTTTAATGATTCAGTCGCGATAATCATAAAAAAATATTCGTAAGATAAATATTCCTCGTAACTTAGAATGAATAACAACATTTAAGAAGATGATCTAATGTAAAGTATAAAATCAACAACACTTGATGTACCGCTATCATGGTCAGTCACCTCACACCAAAACTGTCAGTATCTCGCACCTGGGTTGTGGTCACGTGCACCTCCCCCTTTCAGGTCATATTGTTGGGAAAATATTCAAGGTCATTTGTTTAGATTTTGGTGGGTTACAATGGCGGAAGTCACTGAGAATTCATACCAGGTACAATGACACTTGATCGACTGACTCTGGGCTTAAAATATTCACCTTTGGGGGCAAATCTAATACAATTTCTATCTATTTTACATCCAACTCAAAGAAGGAATTGACGGACTTTGAAAATACTGACAAACTGTTTTCACAATACCTGTACTAAGAAATATATAATGATGGATACTGAACTCTTCTGTCTATTAAGGAAACAAACACAGACTAGTTATATAAGTGATAATGTCTCCAATATGGGATTATGTAAACGTTAGATATATATATTAATTCATTCGTGGAGGAAGTTTACAAATAACCACACACACGATTGTAGATACTGAGTGTGAGACCCAACCAGCCAGAGCGAGCCTGGCTGGTTGGGTCCACCACAGACCTGTTTGGCCAGTACACCCTGCCAGGACTCCTGTATATATATATATATATATATATATATATATATATATATATATATATATATATATATATATATATATATATATATATATATATATATGTGTGTGTGTATATATATATATATATATATATATATATATATATATATATATATATATATATATATATATATATATATATATATATATATATTACATTTAGTTTCACTATGCAAATTCAATAATACCAGCACGTGTATATAAGTAGACATACAGACAGAGGTATAGCTGCAGGTCTAGAGATAAGAACAAGTACAGCTACAAGTACAGATACAGGTCAATGTACAAGTGAAGGTTCAGGTATGGATGCAAGTGTAGGTACAGGTACTACAAGTGCATTACAGGTACAAGAAAGAGGCACAAATACAGGCGCAAGTATAAGTACAGGTATTGATACAAACGGCTAAATGTCGATGTTATAATTTCAGAAGTGTGAAGCAATCGCCGATCTCTCAACGCAAAAATGTAAAAAAAAAACCCTAACCACGTGTGTTTAAGACCACACTCTACCAACACCTAACTGCGGATAATAATAAAAAAAAACCGAAATGCGGATATTATCAACACAAACCGCGAACAACTAACCGCATTTATTAACAATCACACTATCGACGGATAACTATGGGCATTGAAAAAAAAAAACGATATTAGCAGCACAAAACACAATCAACTAACCGCAGGTAACAACAAGACTCCCATAGATGACTTACCTGCCGCCGTAGGTAGTGATGGGGGGAGCGGTGGGTGTAGTGCTCCCTGGCTTCCACCCTGGCAGGAGCGAGGACTTCTCCGTCTTTTTCTTCCCTGACACCACCATGTTGCTGACCTCTTGATATCCTGATGATTTTGCAAATCCTCAGTCCTCCTTCTCGTCCTTAAAGGGAGAAGGATAGAGTGCAGTAAGGGCGTGGGGAGATAGGGTCGTTGTAGGAGCGTAGGGTGAGGGGGTCGTTGTAGGAGCGTGGAGAGAGGGGGTCGTTGTAGGGGCGCAGGGAGACGGGGTCGTTGTAGGGGCGTATTGGTATGGCAAAAGGGAGGGACACATTTACTTCTACAGCGTGTCACCACTTTCCTCTTCCCTCAAATTTCTGGACGAACATGACAGCAGGGCGTGTGGTGAGGCAGGGATTCAGGGCGCTGCGTCACAAGGTTCTCCTCCTGTTGGTACGGGAGAGAGAATGGGGTGAGTATTGTTCCCCCTACACCACGTGATACTAAGGTTACATAACATTCTACCCTTCCTCACCACCATCCTTCTTCCACCACAAGTCCTCGAGCAGACAATGGAAACTTCTGAGGGACGAATTCTTACCTTTGTATCATCTCTGAACGTTTGTGAACCTGTACAGTATAATTGACTAGAACTAGATACTATATTTGTTTAAAGTTATTGTATAACATTATTACCACTGAACACAATCTTCGAAGGACAAGTAACATTGTTCATCTCAAGGACGTTACACTAACACAGTTTTATACAATGGTCAAAATATTTAAGCTGTAGCACAGTGTAACAACAGCATATTGGGAGGTATATTATGGGTCATGTTTATCCTTATAACCTTCCTTCCTCCTTCTCCACCTGGAATAGAGAAAGGGAAGGAGACTGTAGCACATAGAGGGCAAGAGGAATGGATTACAGGTAGAGAAGACCTTGGAGGGGGGGGACGGTGTTGCTAAGGCTTCGTCCATGCCTCCCTCGCCCCCCCCCCCTTCGCTCTCTTGCTCACTCCTTAAGCTACGAGTCAAACCTTGCAACGCTTCTCGTGTCATGAACGTTGCCAACCTACAGGTGTGTGTGTATGTGTGTGAACGGTACAACAGTATAGAGGTACTGTAGGAGAGGAGTGCAGTGGAATAGTAAGAGAGTAGTGCAATGGTACAGTGGTATGGCGGTACAATGGGACGGGTGTTCACTGGGACGGTGGTACAGTGGGACGGTGGTACAATGGGACGGTGGTACAATGGGACGGTGGTACAGTGGGACGGTGGTACAGTAGTATGACGGTACACTGGTACTCATATAGTGAGGCCTAAAGTAAACACAGATTCAGACAATCTAAGTAATGACAACAAGATTAATCTATCACGTTAAGTACATAAAGTGAATCAAGGAGACTCAAGTGTAGAGATAACGACTGAAGTGGCGTCATATACCAGGTAACTTAAGTGTGAGTTACTGTTTGGCTTTTGTGCTACTGACTGACTGACTGACTGGCTGGCTGACTGAGAGAACTTATCTGAATAGTCCGAGACAGAGTAGTTTATGTAGCATATTTTGGATCACTGTTGATTGTTTAAGTAGATTGTTATATTTTGGGTGTTTTATTGTTAATATTTAGGATATTGTTTTAGTTTCGGTCATCCGGGGAATCTTAGGAATTTAACCCCCACCAGAAAGGGGGGTTCGGGGAAGGGGGAGTCGGGGAAGGGGAGTCGAAGGGGGAGTCGGGGAAGGGGAGTCGGGGAAGGGAAGGGGTCAGGGGGGGGGGGAGTCGGGGAAGAGGGGGAATCGGGGAAGGGGTTCGGGGAAGGGGGTTGGGGAAGGGGGTCGGGGAAGGGGGGTCGGGGAAGGGAGGTCGGGGGAAGGAAGTGAGGTCGGGGGAAGGGGGTGGGGGGGAGCCGCCAGGTTAGGTTAGTTATAGTTCCTGTGTTCTGAGGTTAGGTTAGTTTAGATATCAAAATAGAGGGATGACCGAAACTAGAATTTTATCGTATTTAGATTACAATTTGTTAAGGTTGGTGAGAAATTGAATTTTTCTTAAATAAATTCTACAAATACAACGACATCAATAACGGTGGTTTGTGTACGATAACCTTCCTGTGATACAGTCAACTACTAAAGTCTGTTCACCTCTCCCTCTGAACCACGAGATTCACACTCATAAATCCGAAGCATTTATGGACAGAATAATGTATCAGTCTACTGCTTCGGGTTCATGAGTCTGAATCTCGGGGTTCGTGGTTCAGAGTGAGAGGTGAACAGACTTTAGTAGTTGACTACCTTAACTTGTCTCCCCACACACGTCTCAGGTCTAAATATTTTATTAATTCATTAATTTGAGTTAATAATAACAAACAAATTAAGAATTGGTGATATTTATTCCAGCAAGATTCTCACTGATCTTCACCTCAGACCTACGTGTATAGCACACCACCTACGAGGTCCTGACCACCTACCTACCTACCTATGAGGTCTTGATCACCAACAAACGAGGCCCTGACCACCTACCTACCTATTACCTATGAGGTCTTGATCACCGACCTACGACCACCAAACAAACTAGTTCTTCGTTTCCGTCAAGTTCAGTCACCACACACACACACACATCTAAATGTTTATGTGACACTAGCTAGGGTCTTCACCACCGGGCGGGACACTCAACTCCACTATTCACTTGAGGTCATCACCAGGTACAACTTCCCTCACATTACAGTCCTTATGCAACACACGAGACATGTTCACAACCTACCTATGAAAGCGTACACCAGGTTCCTTCACCAAGTAGTTCCTTCATCACCTACGAGGGAACACTTGTTTTGAAACGCGCGCGTCCCTGGTCCCTGCCACACTGACTGGTACCAGATCCAGACTTCAACTCCCCCTCCAGTCCCCCTCCTCCCTCCCTCTCCCCTCCTCCTTCTCGACCATCAGCTGACTCTCTCCTTCCTCCTCCTACTCCTCCCCATCTCAGCTGACAGGGCCCCGCCTCCCCCTATCCTCCCCACCATCGGCTGACCCCTTCCTAAGTTACTATACTAGCTCCTCCCCCTGTGGACATCAGCCGGGGTAACCAGGAGTTGAATTATTCGTGTTTCTATCTCCAGTATTTATCATATTATATCTACCTCCTCTTTCGTGTTATTAATGGATCGTATATCAGTATTCTAGTCATATTTTGTTGCTCTCTTTTACCACAGGGGCAGAAGTATGTGAATGGAAAACCAGAAGTGAATTGACGAGGGTGCAGATCGCGCGGGTAACACTAGACAAGGTGTGGGGCCAGAACTGGTAGTGACTTGCTATTTTTATTCCAGGATGATGTAAAGCTAATTGTAGAAGAGGAAGTGGGGGGGTCAGGGAGGGGAAGAAATGGAGGGAAGGAGTGGATAGAAGGAGATGGAGAAGATAAGATAAGGAGGAAGGGATAGGGTTGATATAATATTAAGGTGAAATGAGCCGGGGGGCTTAATCTTCACCCGATCTTTTCTTTTTTTCTGGCTAACGCGTGGCCAGGGATGATCAGACCAATATTTTTCCCAGGAAGAAAGAGTAAGAGATTGAATGAGTAATACTCTGATTTTCTCCCAGGAAATGACAAGAAACAAAAATGTACAATAATATTAATCCTATTTCCTATGTTGTTTTGTTTCTCATCTTTTATGAATAAATTTCAAACAGCAATAACTTACTCACATGAGAGAATATTTTGTTGTGCTATTTTTAAAGTTGTTTTTATAGAGTCAACGTTATGGTTCGAAAACATTCTGGTATCCCTGACACTGAAGGTAAAAGGTCAGAGGTCAAGGGTAAGAGGTCATATATACAGTAGAGTTATCAGTCTATAAGATCACACCTGTAAGAGGTCATCCTGGGATTAAAAATAAATAAAAAAATCGACCCAGAAAATAATTAACCAAGAAATGAATAAGTGTTACCTTTACACCTTCCTTCTCCTCCACTATCCTGCCTTGGATCACCTGGAGATCACCCCCCCCCCCACTACAGCTTATTTTACATGGTAATTAGAGGCGATATGATCGAGGTGTATAAATGGAAGTCAGGGCTAAACAAAGGTGATATAACAAGAGGTACTCAAACTATCCAACCAGGAGCGAACTCGTAGCAATGTTTTTAAATTATTGTAGACAAATTAACTCGAATACGCTGGATAGTTTCAAACATAAGTTGGATGGATATATGACTGATAGGGATTGGGTGTAAATGGGACTGCCCAGTTTGGGCCATTAGACCCGCTGCAGTTTCCTGCATTCTTATGTTATGTTCCTAGTTCCTTCACAGCTTATTTCACCTAAAGATTAAACACCCTAACGCTATCTGTGGGTTTGGATAAGTTATGTTTTGGTTAGGTTAGGTTAGGTTAAGCAAGATTAGGCTAGGTTAGGTTATTGTTAAAGTGTTTAATTATCAGGTGAAATAAACTGGGTGTCTAATTTTCATGTAATTCCTCTCATTCCTCGACTCTTATGTTAAACGAAATATGCATCATATGTCCCTCTGACACAAAATCACCAACAGGAAATATATCAGCCAATTAATAGTAAAATTTTTTAGTTTTATAAATATCCTGTAAGTGCATCACCCACCCAGTACATATATCCTGTAAGTGCATCCCCCATCCAGTTCATATATCCTGTAAGTGCATCACCCATCCAGTACATATATCCTGTAAGTGCATCACCCACCCAGTACATATATCCTTAAGTGCATCACCCACCAATTACATATATCCTGTAAGTGCATCACCCACCCAGTACATATATCCTGTAAGTGCATCACCCACCCAGTACATATATCCTGTAAGTGCATCACCCACCACCACATATATCCTGTAAGTGCATCACCCACCAATTACATATATCCTGTAAGTGCATCACCCACCCAGTACATATATCCTGTAAGTGCATCACCCACCCAGTACATATATCCTGTAAGTGCATCACCCGGTATCTCAAGTGAAAGAGATTATGACGATAAATATTCTGTAATATAATTGAAGGAAGATAAGATAATTGTCTCTCTCCAATGTCCGTATTATTAGCTACTTCACCTGTCTCTTCCCCGTTTGACCTCTGACAGTCCATCAGCTCCTCGTGTTACCGTCTCTCATCATCTGTCACACATAAATCAGTGATCAATAGTACAGTCAACTACTAAAACCCTTTCGCGTCTCCCCTGAACTACGAACCCCCCAAGAGATTCAGACTCGTGAATCCGAAGCAGTAGACGGATACATTCAAAGTCTAATTTGTTGCTTGAAACTGTTGTATAGCTTAGTCATCTGTAATATATCTAGTGGCCACATTGATAAATTGAAAACCTCGACATATATATATACTTGTATTCACTAATTTACTGGAATAGCTTTTGGGGGAGAGAATGATGATAATTATAATCATTAACAATATTGATTATTTTCTTTAACTATTTTATTTAAATATGGTATTCCTTCTGCCCCCCCCCCTCCCTTCCACACAGTAAATAGCTAGCCCAGATGCTTATGATTACTTAATTGCTTTTACACTGATACTGGCAGCAAAATCATAGGAGTATAAATAACAAAATAAAGTTCAGAGAGGAAAAAGAGGATTATTAATAATAATTATAATACATTTTTAATAACAAGAATAAGAATACCATAAAAATAATGATTACCTGAGAAGCTCAAGTGGCTAACTGAAAGATAATGTGCTAGGGGATGAAAAAATAAGGATAGACGGCAAGAATGGGATAATATACGAGTCTTCCCTTATTCCCATTTTCTTCAACTACGGCCTTATGACGTCACATAATTAACTCCGCCTCCTGCATGTGGGTTGACTTGGTTCAATTAGACTTTAGATACATTATTCTGTCCATAAATGCTTAGGATTCACGAGTCTAATTCTTTCTGGGGTTCGTGGTTCAGGGAGAGAGAAGAACGGACTCTTAGTAGTTGACTGTATCTTGCTTTACATATGAGCTGTAACAGCCTTAGTTAATGTGAATAATCTTATAAGAGCACAAGAGGTGTATGCTGGGTGTGTGGTGACTGATATTAATATAGAAATTATAGAATAAGTAATGCATTGAAGTGGTCAAAAGATCTTAGTTTTTAGCTACATAATCCTCACTTAGGCTTACAGTGACGTCACAGTGTCTTATGACGTTGGGTTAGGTTAGGATGAGAACGAAATAAAAAGGACACTTAATTTCGCAAGTAAGTGTGGTGATGTTTTCGTATTTGGACTTATGATACAATTGGGGCCCATTAGGACTATATTTAAACCTCGCTGATTAGATTAGGTTAGGTTAGGTTAGGTTAGGTTAGGTTAGGTTAGGATGGGTCCCTGTACGTTTGGGGCCTATTAAAAATGGGGCCCATATGACTAGTTACCGTTTCTATTCGGGAAGAAACTCTGGTATGCTTAGGTCATTGTACCAACTTGGAAAAAAATCAAATTTAAAACGTCCGTGATCATACTAGGAGAGAAATCTGGTTCAACTGGATAAAAACAATTAATTTCATATTATGGCGCTGTTCATCCTGGAGACAAAACTGGTTGAGGTGATTGGTGGAGTGGGCGTTGGTTGCTAAGGGTGATGGTGGAAACGGTCCAAGCATGATCACGTGTGTGGTGGATGGGACACCTCCCTCACCTCACTACCCTTATCTCTTCACCTCCCTCACCACCCTCACACCTCCCCCTCACCATCTTCACACCTCACCTCCTCCCTCACCATCCTCACACCTCCCCCCTCACCATCCTCACACCTCCCCCCTCACCATCCTTACACCTCCCCCCTCACCATTCTCATACCCACCACCTGGTTTGGTTCATCACTAAGACACAGTCACCATTGTAGAGATAAGACATCCCCGTCACCAAGACATGCTGCTGGTGTTTCTGTCTGCAAGTTTACCGATGGCTGGGTGTTCACTGTGCCGCTTACTGATACCTAATGGGTCGTTAGGTTTATAAGACCGAGCTTTATATGTACGGTATTTAAAGTATTGGTCAACAGGTGGTAGAAATCGCCAGGTCATGTCCCTTACTAAACCATACCCAGTTATAGGGTCATGTTACTTACTAAACCATACCCAGTTATAGGGTCATGTTGCTTACTAAACCATACCCAGTTATAGAGTCATGTTGCTTACTAAACCATACCCAGTTATAGAGTCATGTTACTTACTAAACCATACCCAGTTATAGGGTCATGTTGCTTACTAAACCATACCCAGTTATAGGGTCATGTTACTTACTAAACCATACCCAGTTATAGGGTCATGTTACTTACTAAACCATACCCAGTTATAGGGTCATGTTACTTACTAAACCATACCCAGTTATAGAGTCATGTTACTTACTAAACCATACCCAGTTATAGGGTCAACTTACTAAACCATACCCAGTTATAGAGTCATGTTACTTACTAAACATACCCAGTTATAGGGTCATGTTACTTACTAAACCATACCCAGTTATAGGGTCATGTTACTTACTAAACCATACCCAGTTATAGGGTCATGTTGCTTACTAAACCATACCCAGTTATAGAGTCATGTTACTTACTAAACCATACCAGTTATAGGGTCATGTTACTTACTAAACCATACCCAGTTATAGAGTCATGTTACTTACTAAACCATACCCAGTTATAGGGTCATGTTACTTACTAAACCATACCCAGTTATAGGGTCATGTTACTTACTAAACCATACCCAGTTATAGAGTCATGTTACTTACTAAACCATACCCAGTTATAGGGTCATGTTACTTACTAAACCATACCCAGTTATAGGGTCATGTTACTTACTAAACCATACCCAGTTATAGA